ATACACACAACCTCAAGTTCACTTGGCTTCTCTTCTCCTGGTCGAAATTTCTATGATAAATCATTTGGCCAACAACATAAACCCCAGTCCGCTCTGTAATTTCTAAACAAAACGAAAAAAAAGGGGCAAAACTAGAGAAACGTGCTCCAAAAGAAAAAGAAAAGAAAAGAAGAAAAAAAAAACCTATTAGGGCTAGGATTTGGATTCGGTAGGAGAAGCGAATATCCAGACAATAAAGTGTTTATAAATATTAGGGCTAGGATTTGGATTCGGTAGGAGAGGCAGATGAGAAGATAATTTGAAGAGACGAAGAAGGCAAAATATTTACCTGGTAAGCGGAGTTGACCGGAAAAATTTCAAGAATACAGTGTTTATAAATCTGCTAAAAGGTGTTTGCTTAAGGTTCTTATACAAAGAGGATTTTTTTCATACTCTGAAGAAATTACAGAAGACACTAACAAAGCAAAAAGTATAAGAAGAAGCGAAGACAATCAGCGAGAGACACAGAGACAATCCATCATCGATGGAGGAGCAGAAGAAGCACGAAAAGTCGAAACTTGCTTCGTCATCAGAAAGATGTGAAGAGGCAGTGTTTTAAAAGGATAAAAGACGATGATGATAAATCATCAACTTTGAGCTACGAAAAAGACCGAGTAAGCAAAAGAAGAAGAAGACGAAGAGAGGTGATCATTGAGATAATACCCAACGACGACGCGTTAGAAGAGATTCTTGTGAGGCTTCCTGTGAAATCCCTATTTAGATTCCAAACCGTGTCTAAACAATGGAGACGCATGATAACGTCCAAGTATTTCAAGGATAGATACATGTTGCATCAGAAAAGCCAGGAACCCAAATTTCTCTGTCTATATGAAGATAGAGACTGGTTTATGTCAAACTTTGCTCTAAAGACGATGAGGTTGGAGTGGTCTTCGGCTTGGCTAGTGAAAGAAGAAGAAGAGTATCATATTTATGATAAACCAGAAGATGAGACAGTGATGGTTTGCACAAGTCTTGATGGTCTTGTCTGCTTCCATGGCGGTACGGAGTTGAAAGAGCCAATTAGAGTGATAAATCCAGCCACGAGATGGTCTCAGACGCTTCCTCTTGCCAAGATTCAGCTGGAGCATTTACACATCAAGGCAAAGTTATATATACCTTGTCCATGATTTGGAAAAGACAACGTCACAGGAACCTACAAAATAGTATGGCTCATGCACAACATTTTTCGACAAAAACACCTCATCATGCGAGGTTTTCGATTTCGGTGTCAAGCAATGGAGGCTGGTGATTCCACCTGATCATCCGACAGACCACAAGGTGTCACCAACATTTTCAAACGGATGGCTTTATCGGTTCAGCCAAGAGCATACTAAGTTGGTTGCTTTTGATCTTCACATGGAGATGTTTCAAGTCGTTCCAAACCCGATCATTGATCCATCATCTTCATCATCATCATCATCGTCTATTAATATGGAGATGGACAGCATTGATGATGAACGTGGTCTTGTATGGATTTCTGTGACAAATGGAGATGGCATGCAACACGTTTGGAGGATCAGTAACCACAATACAGGAGGAGGATTGTTAAAGATGTACAAGATGTTCTCCTTTGAATTGAACAAGATTACGTCGACTTGGTTTGAAGAAACTCTTCTTGATTCGACGCTCCTCATGATTGTTGCAATTTCCAAGAATGATGACAAGGTGATGCTCTCAAAATCTCGCTCCCAAACCCTCATCCTTTATCAACCCCTAAACCCTAATTCTACTCTCTAGTCTCTATCACATCTTTTCTTATTCTCCTCCTCGACCGTGTCGCAGTGGAATTCTTTCTTATTTCCCAAGTTTGAATTAAATCAAGTGTTTAAAGTGGATTTGAATATCATTTACTATACGAAATTATTTTAATATTTTTTATTTTATCAGTCCAATTTTCGGACTAGCTTCATTTGGATTTGATTATTGACCACTCTTGCATGCTTCTTTGCCTAAATCAGTAATCCATATAACATATATCTTATATTTTACATCTCTTTAAGTGATCTTATTTTACAAACATATATCTTTTATAGATTATATTTCTGGTAAATATCTTTCATTTTATGTTTTTTTTTACTATTTCAATCCATAAAACAAAAGCATAATTTCTATACTTTTGCTTTCCTGCAGTGAACTTACGAATATATGTCTAAATATATATATAGTTACTTTCTTTACTGCCAAGATCATATATAATTTAGATTCTTTAGTCTACTAATATCAACTGTATAGAAAAATCTGGGCTAAATACTTTATGGATGTTTTGTGAGGAATACACAAACAAATGCATGGTCACTGAGTTATCATTAATTTGTCTGCTTAGTGAAATTATTTATTTATCACGTTCATGTCAAATCACACACCAAACGCAGACCAAGTTGCCGATAAATCATATCCAAAGCCAAAAATAAAGCATCAAAATATTTTATGTTCATTTTCTTATTGTATTGGTAGGACAAACGTTAGCCTTACTCATTTAAAACAGTTTCGATAAGCTTTATGTGTGAAGAGTCGGTACAAAACAGTCAAGAGTTTTGTTTACATGCAAATGTTAGGGAACTATAAAAATCTAAAATTTTCGATCATGAAAAAATTGTATGTGACGGATAAATAGCAAAACAAGAAAACGTCAAAAATATATAGTCAAGCTACTTTCTATATGATAATCACGAATTTTACAAAGCGAATATTATTATTAAATTTGGTTATTTTTAATGAGATATACTTTTGATTTTTAACACGCTCAGAGCATATAGTATAGTGAATATATATTTTCTAAGAAATGTACCATCAATTGGAACAAGTCGAATCTCCTCTTGTAATATATAGTATATAATACTTGTTAATATTAAATAGGAAGATATAAAGTCTTTTAAAAGAAAAGAGAGAAGTAATGATGAGAAAGGAACAGCCAAAACATTCAAAGCTTTTAGTCAAATGTTAAAACTCTACATAAATTGCCAAAAAGAAATACATGGTTTAGAAAGGTAATATGAATGTGAACATTTATAAAAATAAGATGAGCAGTAAACTACAAAGGTAAATCGAAGATTATCGAATGCCCATTCTCTTTATTACTATGTAGACTTAGTTTGTTTTTTTCCTTGTAATTTGAATACGAGTACGATATCATGTTTGAAAATTAATTACTTATAGGTTATATAACATAATATATATAGAATCATCAATTAAAGTATTTATCAATGACTTATTTTGAATATGGAAAAGATCATAGATAGAACATAACTTTATGAACATGTAAATAGTGTAGATCCTTTTGATAGTACATATAGAAGTACGTACCACGCAGGGAAAAAAAAAAAAAAAAGAAGGGAAGGATATTACGTTAAAATTGATGTTGTCTTGTCGAAAGGACGGATATAAAAATGATATACCCTACCCACAAATCGGTCCCACATTTTCTATTTCATCGTTTTGTTGCGTCAAAACTTGGTATGATTCTTCGAACTTTGGACATAACCTGATGGGATAAATGGATAATGGAACAAATGGGTTGATGATGATGACCATTTCACTTTCTTAGCAGCTGTCTTCGTACCAAACTATCCTCTTACGTAGGGACCATCACGCTTACGCTTTACCACTTTCTCTCGTCTCTTTCTAACACTCATCAAACCTATGATAGATTGGGCTCAAACTTAAGCTATGGATGGTTGAAATTTGATTTGTGGCAGTATAACATTAAACACCATTTACAATGTTTTGCATTTTTAAGTTATAAGTTCCAATCATCATAACTAGTTAACACAAACATAAAAAAAAAAAGTCGGGTTTAGCTATTTTTATATTGAAAGAAAAAGAAGAAATGGGTCATACAAATGTGAAACGATCTAGCTATTGTTTGGCTACTGGCTACTGCTATATTTATGCTAACCGTTCTTGTTTCTCTATTAAAAAGTTCGGTTTTTAATTAATGTCATTGCCTGGTCCATAGACCGAGCTGTGTGTTGTAGTTGATGAACCATACATCAGATCACGAGATAGACAATAGGTTCATTATAGTAACGATCACACTAAAACTCGAAAGAAGACTAATATTATTTATGAGACAAGGCCAAGCCACAAGGACATACCAAAGGAAAAAAACTAGAAAAGGTGGGTGATAAAGGGGCAAAAAAGAAAAGAAAACAAAGAAGATCACAAGGAAGGAAAAGGTAAAGACAGATATATACAAAACAGTAAGAAAAAAAGAAAACAAACAAACCCCTTTTTCACCTCGTCGCTTGTCATAAGCCAAACCTTCCAAACGTAAACTATTTTTTTTAAATACCATAGAAGCCTTCAGTGTCTCACTCCAAACTGTAGATTCTGTCTCTCTTTTAACTTTCTCTCTTGAGTTTTACTTTTACTATACGGTTCTCAAAACTGGCATGAAGTGCCAAGTCTCTGTCTCTTACTCAACGTTGCGGTCTTGCGTTTTGCGAAAGCCGGTCCAAGCAACTCTTGGAACCTCTCCAAGAACAGAACCCACTCGTCTTCTTTCATGTCTGCTACTTTCACAAAGCTTGCACTCACTGGAAGCTGTTCGTTTGCGCTTTTGTGACCAGACGATGTGTTTTCAGATTTGCCTCTAGTTAAAGGTTTTGGGGCTTTTCGTCCCGTGTCGCTAAGATGTGTGTTCTTCATGGAAGTAGAGAGCTGTGAAAGAGATGTAGATTTGCCAAGAAAAGCAGCAGAACTAAAAAAGCTGTCTTTCATGGTGATCATGGGGACAGCATTTTCAGTATTGTCCTCCTCTTCTTCATCTTCTTCTTCTTCCTTGATGCTTTCTTCCAGCTTTCCGAGTGAAGACCGTCCGTTTGAAAAAGGGTTTTTCGTGAAGTAGTCATCGGTTAGTTGTATCTTGGAGCCATAAACTGATTCTAGCTCATCACAGTCTAGATCAAACTGAAACTCTGCTTCTCCTACTAAATCTGACCTTGGAGAGAACACATCTCGCTCAGTGATTGATCTCTTGGCTTCTATACACACAACCTCGAGTTCACTTGGCTCCTCTTCTCCTGGTCGAAATTCCCGAGTCATCATCTCACCAATCTCGGCAAGACACATCCCATAACCAGCAGCTTCTTTTAGGAAAATAGTACAGAGAACAAGAACCCGTAGACAAGCTTCTCGAATCATTGGAAGTTCTCTTCGAAGCATGTCACAGTCCTTCAATGGATCAAGCTTTTGAATGTAGTCAAGCTCTTCATCAGAGAAAGGCAATGATGCCTGAGGCCAATGAATCCACTCGAAATAAGGATCCTCCAAGGTTTCTGGCAAGCACAGACCATGGTCTATTGGAATAAGCTCAACTTGACCAAAAGTCCCGGCTCCATCTAGCTTTTTCACCAAAAGGTTCCCACCATGACGGTCTGTGTTGAAGATCCTTATGTCCAATATACCAATGCGGTGCACAGAAGCCACAGGGAAGCTTGAAGTGCCATGATCGCTGGCATCGAAATCATGAGCCACAAACTTCTGGAAAGAAGCAATCTTGCTAACAAGCTTCTTCTCCCGAGGCTTGTTCCCTTTCACACCATCGTTGACATTGAATACAGAATGAGTAATCTTCACAAGAGCAGTGGGAGGCACATTCGCAAAGCGGTCATAATCAAGAAGATAAGCAGCAACTTCCCTAAAACCGGTTTCTCCAACCCTTACAGAAGACTTCAAGCCAGGTTGGCCAAGTGCTTTCCCAACAAAGCCTTTCGGATTGTTAGGTGCAAATGGCTCTTCATCCGTCGGCTTCACAATCGCAACGCTCTGACCCTTTTTGTTCCTAAAATAGTATGCACCTCCAAGCCCGCTATGAACAGCGAGTGGTTCAACGCCCACCTTCATCGCCTTCACAATGTCCTTCACCATTTGTTTTACAATCGAAAAACACTCTGATTGGCCTAGTATCTCAATAGGACCACTTCGATCTTTCTGCTGCAGATCCCTCCCAGTAGGTGAAAGACAAGGAGTAGACGAGCTTCTGTGCATGAAGTTACGTTTCAGGAGAAGCGGAGAATCGTTCCTCACAGCACTCAGGTCGTTCGTCAACACCATATCCCCATAGGTCAAGGAGCTTTCCTCAGTGGGGAAATTAAGAGCAATCTGAAGCCTTCTCTTCACTGTATGAACATTGTCACTACGATCAAGCTCCATTCCCAAAACACAACCAGTTTCAGTTTGCACAAAAACCCTTCGTCCAGAGGATTGTCTCTGTAGCTGCTGGTGATGTTTATGCTGCTTCCCTTCCATCTTATTAGCCCCAGTAAGGGGTGTCTTGAATACCGCTACTGCCATCTGTGTCTGAACAGGACTGTCTAGGTTCCGAGACATGAAACGGAAGGTGAAACCAAGGAAACAGCAGAAGCAGCTGCCGAGGAGAGACCGTTCCCGTTCCCTTCAAGACCAGTGCCTTTGTCTGAAACCAACACGAGCCTGACAAAGCAGAGGCAGATAATACCTAGACCGACCATGAAACGTAGAGAACCCGAATCTACTATATGCAGAGGAGACAGATTTCACTAAAAACTCAGAGCTTTGAGAAAGGGTTTGATCCAATTGCTACATCAGGTAAGCCATGTTTTGATCGATCAGGAGAAGAAATCTGCAAAAAGAGCACATCAAAAGGATATCACAAATCAAGTAGATCTATCAAAAGCGATCTCAGTCTCTAGACTTTAAGAGAGATTCCAAAAATGCTATAAATTTGATCATTTCTAAACACATACATCGCACTAATCGATTGAATAGATCCTGATCCGAGAAATTTTACATATTCGCTTGCACAAATCGATTCCAAAGATTGGAACTTTTCATTCCGTCTTTGCTAGAAACAGAAATCAGGAGAATGAAATTGCAGAAAGTCCAAAACTTTTTTAACTTTAAACAAATCAGTGAGCTTCAGAATCGAACACGACGATAATCAAACATAAGGATGAAGAAAACTCACCGAGAAACCAAGATCTGAAGAACAGAGCGGGAAATCAAAACCCGAGGAACTTGAGGCGAAACAGTCGCAAAAAAAGGAGGAATTTGTCAATTCAAAAGCATCATCGTCTCCGAAAAACACACGCACATGGAGGAGGAGGAAGAATCTTCGAACAGGCTTCAATGGAGGCAAGGAATCGAGGGAAAAAAAGAAAGAAAGAATCAAAGTCAGTGAGAAACACTGATCCCTAGCCGCCTCTCTCTCTCTGTGTATGTGTTTCGCTGTCTCCTTCCTTGGTTTCACCTCTCTGAAGAACGCTTTTTAACTCTGATCTCGTAAGGACTATGGTTAAATCTCTAACCATGGTTTGAGTAACTATTTTCAGCAACCTATTTATTGGATAGATCATAAATCTATCTTAATGACACGTCATCGTATTATTATTTTAATTCCTCATTAATTATTACAAGTTAAATTTTGTTTTCTTTCGTTATGTTGTTTATTCCACTGGATTATGATTTGGTGTTGCCGTAGTTTTTACTTTTTTTTTTCAATTATTATTCTGACATATACATATGTTACTTATCAATATAATTTTCTTTGCCAAATCTGAAAATATCTTAATTTCTTTCTTTGGTACTTTTTTCAAAAGAAATTTGTAGTTCTGCTCTCATATTTACCAGTTCATATTTCCTTCTTTTAGGCTTTAACAGGTCCTTTAAATTCTTGTACCTCATTTTCTTTTTCGTTTTTTCCATTTTTTCTTCTTAAATCCATAATAGGATTTAAATTGAAATATGGACAAGTATGAATTTATTTTATTTATTAGCTGTTAGATTGTTGTATCATGATATGACGAATGATAAAAACGTCATTTTTATTTGTACAAAAGTTTTTCTAAGAAAATTAGAATCTTTGTTCTGTAGTTTAGAAAATAAATATTAAAAAATTGGAATATGATTACACCACACTTCAAGATTACAAAATAATGCTAAATAACTTAATTTATTGCCTATGTTCCTTGCTAATCAGTAATCACTACGGAAAGACGTGCGATATCACCAACGAAGAGTTAAGAAAATGAAATTATATAATTATGAAATAATTTTTGCAAAAATGATATGATATATTTCTCCTGAACAAATTGTTTTGCAAAGCAAAAAAAAAAGAAGAAAAATATGAGTTAAATAAAACGAAAGATACAACCAAAAAAAACGAAAAATAACTGAGTAAAATGGACAAGGAAATTGACAAAACAAAAAAAATGGACAGGGACATAGTAAAATAGGAAACATTCATCATCGTCCCCGTCTTTAGAAGAGTCTAGAACAGGCAAAAAGAGCCGTTCGATTTTAGATTCTTATGGACTTTTGACCGTCCGATGTGGGAATGCCGATGTGGTTTGAAAAGGATTTAGTGGTGACATGAACGAAATTGGGCCTCATACCCAAAATAACAATGAAGTAAAATGGCTATAGTTGCAACTGATAAGTAATTAAAAATCAAGATCATATTTACAGATGATAACATTTCACATGACATTAGAATATTGCCATAAGGCTTTTGAAATCATCAAAAAGATTTATGATTTAAATATTTTAATCTTTCCATTTAACAAATACTTGACCAAAGTATGAAATAACTAAAATATATAATTAGTTGGAAAAATTGGGTTTTGTTAAAATAGCAAGATAATATAAAAGATAACTGAAGAATTAACAATGAACAAAAAAAAGTGATGTTCAGTTGAATAAGTCTTCAATAAAAAAATACCAATTTTAATTATGAGGTCCATTAGGTCTCAAATGAATAAAGCGACTACAATGGCACTTTTCAGTCCACATGAAAATACTAATACTGAATCATAATAAATAATGAGATTAAACCACTTTGGACATAAAGATCTTGTCTCCATAATGCAAAATTCAGCTTTGGACACTTTTGTCTATTTTAATGATTTTTATTTTAGGAAAACAAATAATAATAAAGAGAGATTAAGCATAAATTATAGTACATGATCCAAAGCCATGTGCAGTAGTGTCTTCCCATTAACTCGACTCTAATTTTTCATGGGAAATATTTCTGAAAACAAAGAATCATAAAAATAGTATTACTATGATCTTTAGGTACTCTGATTTTATCAAAAGTTATAGAAAGGTTCAGTTTTGGTGTATCAATATAAAACACATTGTCAATTTCATTACCAAATCAAATATTCTCACACAATTTACTGATTCATCAAGAACAGGATCAAGTAGTTTATTATACAGTACAAATCATCGCAAAATCGTAAGAACTCCTTTTACCTTAACCACAAACTTAGCAAAATCTAACACCATTTGCTTCCTTCTTGACATGTGAATAGCAAACAGACAAAATCCAACTCTGAAACTGAGCCGGTTTTTATCTAACCAAGAATTGACTAAATCATAATAACAATGACACTACCATGTTAGAAACAGAGTCTTCAACAGAAACTCCCCCAAGAAAACCTAAAAATCTGCAAGAAACAGAAATCAATTGATTCAGGAGAGAGTAATGCTTATGCTTTACGAAGAACTTGAAAGAAAAAATGAAAGATCACTGCAGTTCAATACTTAAAACACCATCCTCTCTTAGCTGTTTGCAAATGTTACAAGATCCATTCCAAAAATTTGACAAGTTCACTCTATTTTTCTAGACAAATCGATGAAGAAATTCCGGAAAACTATAAGCAAAAAGTAAGGAGCTTCACAAGCGAACAAGACTCGCATATCAACAAATGGATGAAGAAAACTCATCGACAACCAATCTTCTAAACATAGTTTGTTGCACCATCTAAGGCCATCTGATTGTTACCAGTAGTCTCCACACGAGCATTTTCCATCCTCGAAATGATGGTAACGTATTGGATCTCTTATAACTATATTACGGTTCTCAAGCTTCGAGGCGAGCTTGAAAAACACATGACAGTCTCCACATATTCTCAGATTCTTTCTGATCCTAATGACCTTCCCGAAAGGTAACGTTATCAAGCCAAAGGCCAAAGCCAGCTTCTCGCTGTGATGTCTAAGAGAATCTTCCATCTGTTCTCCTTCAAGATCTTGTAGCACAAAGTTTGTTTCAGGAACATAACCAATGCTAATCATTCTATGGATCAACTGATTCAGTTTCTTGTTGACTTCAACTATCTCTGGGTGAGATTCGTCTCCAATGATAAAAGCATGAATCTTTTTGTTAACTTCAATCCAGCTACATCCAGGTTCTTTCTTGATTCCTCTGTCTTTCATGCGTGTCCGAATTTCTTCAACACTGTCCCATTTCTGAGACTTTGCATATATGTTAGACAACAGTGTGTAAGTTCCTGCATCCCCGGGATCGAGTTCAATGACCTTTTTAGCTGCATATTCGGCTAGCATCATGTTTCCCTGGACTCTACAAGCACCAAGCAGCGTTCTCCATGTCACAGCATCTGGCTCACACTCCATTTCATTTAAAAGCTTGACTGCATCGTCGAGCTTTCCAGCTTTTCCTAGAAGATCAATCATGCAACCATAGTGTTCCCTTACCGGATCAATTCCATAAAGTTTCTTCATTGATCTGAAGTAGTACCAACCATCTTCCAAGAGCCCTGCGTGGCTGCAAGCAAACAGAACTCCAACAATCGTAATGTAGTTTGGTTTCGTCCCACAAGATTTCATGGACTCAAACAACTTCAGTGCTTCCTGGCTATAACCATTCTGTGCCAACCCTGAAATCATAGTACTCCATGTAATCACATCTCTCTCCTTCATCTGTCTGAACACACGACGAGCATCCTCCAAGCTCCCACACTTGCAGTACATGTCCACGAGTGCGTTGTTGAGTATCAAGTCTTGGTCATATTTCAAGATATGAACGTGGGCTTGCATCCCAAGCTCCAACAGAGCCAGACCAGTACACGCCCTCAATACGCTAGTCAACGTAGCCTGCTCCGCAATGAAACCAGCTCTCTTCATCCGCTTAAAAAGTTTCAAAGCTTCGTCACTTTTACTATTCTGAGCAAAGCCACCAATGATCGAGTTCCAAACGATGGCATCACCAGTGACCATTTCATCGAAAACCAAAAGAGCATCCTCCGGCTCACCTAGTTTAGCAAACACATCAATCAAAGCACTCCTGACGAAAACGTCAGACTCCAAACCTTCCTTGATAATCCCACAATGAACCATTCTAACATCAGACATCCCGTTGCAGGATCTCAACACAGAGGAGTAAGTATACACATTAGGCCTCACACCTTCTTTCAACATCAAAACCAAAAGCTCCAAAGCCTTTTGGTGAAGTTTACACTTAGAATATGCAGAGATCATGGTAGTCCAAGAAACAACATTCCTTTGAGGCATTTTGTCGAACAACTGGTGAGCGTCATTCACAAGATTGAACTTTACATACATATTGATCAGAACATTAACCAGAAAGAGCATTGGTTGATGCCCATTGAAGTACAAATGACGACAAATTAGATTACCTTCATGAACAGCTCTATGAGACATACAACACTTGATGAGCTCAGAGTAAGTCGCAGAGTCTGCCCAAAGACCATGACTTTGCAACGAATCCATTGCTTTCAGAGCTCTATGAAGGTCTCTCTGGTAACAGAATCTGGTGAATTCATTAAGAAGAAGAGTTTGATCGGCGGAGCTGTAACTACACCGCAACGTGAGGACTGGTCTAAGGAGTTCGAGCTTTGTCGTTACAGACTTCATCTCGCCCACGACAAACTCCAAAAACAGCTCAAATCACACTACAAAACTCTTGTTCTTGTCCAACATAACGTCACATTTGATATTGGTAAGTGTTTAAGTAGTGAAAAATATCAAATTTGGGAGCAACTAGATTCAAGTTTGGTAAAAAACTGATTACTTAAAGATAACAAAGAAACAAGAATAGCCTATGATGTCCCAAATAAGTATATATTAAAACAATGTTTCCAACATCATATTCATAGTAGATACTCAGACACATAATACTCTCTAAAACTCCCAAGTTAAACTAATAGAGAGAGACATAATCTTTTGGAGAAAATCTCTTTAGACAGCTTCTGGTTGACCGAAAGGGTTAGCGATTTCTTCAGTGCCATCAGTTGGTGAGACGAGCATCACCGCTGTTCCACGGCAAACCTAAACCAGAGAGCATGCATAGTGGTTCAGAATCTAAGAGTTTAACTATAAAGCTTCATTACGAGTAAGAAGATGCCAAAATGTAACCAGAAGAAAACAATGCGGTGAAAAAGAAGAGTAAAGGAGTCATACAATTAGACCAAGTCGTCTTGTCTGGTCAGTAGTCTTCAAAGGATCATCGTGATCTGGTCAAACATCAGAAAAGAGTCATAATGCTGAATAATTATAGTTCATGGAAATCAACAAGACAACACAGCTCTAGTTTCAAATCAGAAAAGAGGTGATGCCCACTTATAACATAGCAATCACGAATGAGCAATAAAATATCTAATCAAGATTTTTTATGTAGCAGAGTAAGGTGAATCGAATGAGATACAGACAAGGGTCATAATACTACTGTACATAGCATGGAAATCACAAGGGAAGGGAACACAGCTTCTGGTTTCAAAATGGATAAGAGAGTGATACTGTCCCAATTATATCACGGCAAGAGAAATCATGATTAAGAGATCAAAAAACCTCTCTTGTCACATATCTAATCAAATTTCTATAACATAGATACACATAAAAAATGAATGTAGCAGAGTGAAGAATCAAATCAGATACAGAGAGTCTCCTATTTATGGCGGATTCCACTAGAGAATTGTGGTTGAACATAGATCTACATGACTTAAACTACTCATCTCATTTTGTGCAATAATCATATGAAAAGAAATATAAGATAGGGCCTAACAATAACTATGTAGTAGATACAAATACAACTGCGTAAAGCAATTCAAAAATACACACTAAGAGAGATACCTCGAACAGACTCTACTGCTTCATCAAGAACAAGGTTAAGCAATTGATCGTAGCCCTTGAGAGTTCCAGTGACTGAAAAAAGAGAACAACCAGCAAATCTCAATGCAAGATTGAAATCAACTTCACATCATCATAAAAATTAAAAAAAGTCATTTTTTAACCTTGTCTACCACCGGTCAGCTTAACTTGCACACCCTTATCCACAAACTTGGCCAAATCTAACACCGTTTCCTTTCTTCCTGACTGTGAAAATAAACAGAGAAAATCAAACACTGAATCCACTCAAATCATAATAACAATGATACTTTGCATCAATGTAAATTAACTTACCATGTTAGAGGCAGAGTCTTCGACAAAAAAATTCTTCTTTAAAAACCCTTCAAATCTGGAAGCAAACGGAAATCAAATTGATTCAGAAAGAGAGTCATGCTCATACTTTATGAAGAAGTTGACAGAGAATAAGGAAGATCACTGCAGGTCAATAATTGATTAAACACAAAATTAGGGTTTTGCAATCCTTTGTCCCCAACTCTTAAGTGGAGATTGTAATCCAATTAAAAAGAAGGGTTTGGATTCCAGAAATTCGGAAACCTCACTCCATTTTATTTGAAAAGATCGATGAATGGAAATAGGAAATCAAAATCGGGAGAAAGAAAAGGACTTTACAAGAAGAACACGGCGAGGAAGAAAAAAAACCTGGAGAAATTACGAAAACTACAGCCAAAGATGCTACTATAAGCAAATCAGTGAGATTCAACACAATCGAACACGATTGGAGATTGATGAAGAAAACTCACCGGGAAGACGAAGATCAGTAAAACCCAGAAACTTGGGCAAAGCAAATCGCAGACGAATTTGTAAAGTCAGAGATAACCGGAGAATCCAATCTATAGTGACTCCGTTATGTGGTTAACATCTCTAAACCATGGTTTGAGTCAAAATCCATAACAATAATTTCACATTTAACATATTAAACCATTCTTCGGAGCCTTAACAAATCATTTGATTTGGTTTTAAGACTGGTTTCTCAAGCATGATTTCGGTTCGAAAACTATATAATATTGCGCAATTAATTATCAGAAGAAAAAAATTATTTTATAGACCAATTTTTTAATTTTATTTCAATTTCTTGGCAAAAGAAATTTTACTTTGATGGAAATTTAGAAAAATTATTGAAAATATGAAAACTACAACAGTCTATTTTCACGTACAAAGGTTTGGAATTGATTCACTACACAATTTTTAAGAAGTGAAACAAAACAAAAGTAAGATGTGTTTATATATATGTTACAAAATCTAGTTCTGAGTTGCTCGAAGGCTCCTTAACCAAGCAAACCAACCGACAATGCCAATGGAAAGACTAAAGATGATATGAAGGATATTAATTGTAAGGGAAAACGAATTATTATGTAAATCAGCAATAATCACAGCTTTACATGAATAACAATCGAAGCATAATGTGTTTGCCGAATTGTTCCATGTCTTGCAATCTTCTTCTAAGTTGTTATAATATCTTGAAACCTTCCAAAGATTTGGTTTCTCATATTTGAATCCACATGAAAGTGGTGGCTTGCAGCAACCCGACTGTACGTTATAACAAGAACACAATATTAATTAGAATAATCATTCATTAGAAAAATTTAAACTTGAGCATATCTTACGTATACGTACCTGTAAAGGAGTTAGATTCATCTGATAAAACTCAGAAGCGGGCATGTTTTGGTTAGAGAAAAGGGTGTTACAAACATTATCTTTAACAAGACATCTCCTAGTACGATACCATTCATCTTCTTTGATGACCAATCTACGAACCCATCCAGAGTAATCCTCGAACCTAAACTCATGGATCTTGGTCCCAGGGAACAACCTAGGATTGGTCTCGTGATGGAGACAGTAAACGAAAACGGCTTTAGCAACGACCACGAACATCCACAAGAAGAAGATGAAGAAGTGGATTCTGAAGAGACAATCGGATTTGTAGTAAGCGGCGTAGAATCCGGTGAGAGTCATGGCGAGCAATGCGAAGCTCACGAAGATTCCGGGAGTTGTCAAGAACCGGTTACATTCATCGGTTTTGTAATGTAATGTCGAGACGGTGACGAACCAGAAAGCGGACGTGACGAGGAATATCGCGTTTACTATCAAGAAAGTGGTGTTGAATGGAAATGAGATTTCCTTTAAAAATGACAATGATGATGAAGGTTTTTCTTTTTTTTGTTCTTCTTTTTCTTTCGCCATTATTATATCGATCGTGTTATTGTTCCAAAAAATGAGAAAGGGAAAGAGAGAAAGGGGTTAAGTCAATTAAAAAAGGAGGTTAATGAATAATTGATCAAAAAGAGTCCAATGATGACTTGTTGCACAAGATAAGTTTAGGTTTTGTTGCTTGTAATTTAACGAAACACCTGAAAACAGAAAAAAAAAACTAACATAGATAGAAATTGTCTGTTTTCTTATTTGTATGTGTGTTTGCTGTTGACCGGTTTGGTCAAATGTCCATGGAAATTTTCTAACTTCCTTAAAAGATCATTTTCACCTTTAAACATAAGTCACACAACAAATTTCATTATCACATATATAATATTCCAAGAAGAAATGAATGATTTTTTTTTAGTTGTTATGAAAAAAATTGTATTATTTCTCTTTCAAATTATAAATTAGAAAATAGAAAGGCTGATAAAAATGTGCATATAGTTTTGTAAAATTGGTAAATGCTGAATGATATAGCTTTTTTTTGGGTAGTTTTGCTCTTCCTTAACCAGAAAAATCTGGGTCAAGGCACGACTAATCATGTGGTGAGTAAACCGGTTGATATAAGCGTCCACCAAATTTTCAACTCGGCTGGCCCAAAACCAATACATCGTGAGTTTCTTCAAATGGGATTTGTTAATGTGTGTTTAGTTTTGGAATTTTTTTAAAAAAAATAAGTAGTTATCCTTATCATAATAACTATAAAAACAAAACTTCTGGTTATTATTCTATATGTGTATTGGGGTTTGGCTATGGACTAGGATTATCACATGCTCATAGGATTGTAAGTGGATTTATTAGTAATTTAAGCATGATGAAATCCGTTTTTTTCTTTGTCAAAATCATAATTAACTCAATTAAAATTAACAAATATATTAAAATGTAGACACCAACACAAATCAAATTGCGCTTGTCATTTTTTAGATTAAGAAAACATATAATAATTGACCCCAAAAAAAGCATAATATATATATATATATGTGTGTGTAAATTGTGATATAGCTTTTATGTCATGATATTTTTAATACAAAATGATTTCTTATTGATCAAGCGAATCAGCCACCATGTTTTTGTTTTTGGTAAGTGTAAATCAGCCACCATGTTACAGTGCATGAAACGAAGAGCAAATAAGCTAAACCCCAAACCAGAGTTTTAGGGTTTTGCTCAATTTTTGTCGGCCATTATCATTAATTATAAATATTTTTATATATGAAAATAAAATGAACACGAACATATTCCGTTAATTACATACATATCGCCAAAACTTGTTCCTCGATGTTCCCAAAGAAACTAACTACGTTATACCAACCACTTAACCATCCTAACTTAATCTTAATTCACTAATTAACCTAGCTAAAATTAAATACTTGTATTCAAATGAAAAATTCATGTTTCATGGACTTAGTGGTAGAGACTTGTTGTGAACTGGCCTTCTTCTTCTAAACTTTGGATAATCCATGGATAGGTATTTCGATAGAGCATTCTCCTCTTCTTTTTCACTTAGTTTCTTCTCTTCACTCTTAAATTTTACTGAGAACAAAATATACGAGATTATTGATAAAAAAAATTAGTTGGAATATCTCAAAGAAATGTCGAATCTTTGCGTTTTTCTTTTATATTTTATTTATGAAGATGCTCCTGCAAATTTTTAATTTTAATATATCTGCAGCTAAAGACAAAATTCTGATGAAGAAAGTTTAAATATTGATAATTTAACCTATTCTCCTGACATGGTCAAAGATTCACATGTTTGACTTTATAGCTATTTTTAGGGATTCATTTGACTTATGAGTTTTGCTAATTACCGATTTCTTTTTTAGGAAAAAAGAAATGTCTGATTAAATATATATAAAGAAAACCTTATCAGTATGACCAAATGATTGATATACCTGAAGAAGAGACTCGTAGTTGCTCGCCTGAACCTTCATGAACTGTTGACGTCATCACCTGTTATTTTGCAGAAGAAATAGAGATGTAATGGATGATATTTGATTAGAAACTTTCCATATAATTCAAATTGGACTTTAACAGAGAAATATATATATATATATATATATATATAGATAGATACATCAATTTCTTACATTTACATGTTCTTCACTAGAGATGATCATGAGCTTCCGTGGCGCCATTTTAATAACAATCTTTTCGCTTATACCTGTTTATCATTGAAACTAAAGTTAGTAATGCAATCGATTAGAGTTTCCGTTTTTTCAAGAGCAAAACTACTTCATCTAGAAACAAAAAAAATACTCATTTGCTCATTGTATAGTTCGACAAATTTATAGACTTAGGTTATAGTGGTTGCAGAATATGAGGCTTGGAAACAAAACTGATTATTTACACTGGTGCGAACACAACAAATATATTACAAAAAAAAATGGTTTTGCAAAGCGGATTGTTATCCATCTCAAAAATAGAGCGGATCAATGAGTCACATCCGCTCCAACCATTCCTATTTCCTAAATATCAAAACTTTGGGGTTTATAAAAACTAAAAAGAAACTTAATCACCTTGGCTAGGAGATGAATAGCGAGAGTTGACTTGTAGAGAAGAGGTTGGTGTTAGAAACAATAAAATGCCTATTGCATAAAGCACGAAAGTCATGACTCCAATTAGCTTCATATTCTTCCAAGTGATTTTAGCTATAAGAAGTTTTTTGTGCTATCTTTCTTTTTGTTCTCCTTTTTGTTATTGTTCTCTTCTTTTATATCAGCCAAAAGGAACTTAGACACATACATATGTATATCTATCTATGTATCACTATATTTATATTTATATCATAAAAATATATTTAATTTGTGTATGTCAGATAGAGAGTGCACGAAACACAAAAGTGAGAGTTCCAAAACAAGTTGAAAAAACTATTTACTTATATACAAATTTATTATGTAAAGGTCTAAAAAGGGGTTCACGCCATTGAGGCTCGTTCTCGGGGTTGTCTGTCTTGGGACAAACACAAGTTTGGCATCACACTTCATCAAACCCAATTTGTCGAGTCTTCGCCTTTCTGTCTCTTTTTTTTTGTTTGTTCCTTTTCTCTCACATATCACACACGTTCTATATCTAATTATGTACTATTCTCCATTCAATTGTTCATATATCTTATACAAGATATATGTATAGAAAGATCCAATAGTGAATTATATCGTCATGTATTGTTTTCGAAAATCGGTTCTACTCTATATGTTGAAGCTCAGACGTCTGAGACGATCACATCCTATTGAGATGCTAGATGAATTTCACAATAATTTTTGTTAAGATCCCAATGGAAATTAGTAGACAAAATAATGTATTAGATATACGAGTCAGTTCACTCATTTTCAATGCACTTGAGTTTGACTTTGAGTTGAAAGATCATAAACTTACCAATATATATTAAACAAATGTTAAAGTGTTATATTGTTTGGAAAAGGACTATGTTACTGCCCGTTAAGTCATTCGTGAATATATAAATACGGCAATGAGTTTGAATAACTGAGTTAAATGTTTGTTCGTGTATCTTTTTATAACCACATCAAATAGTGTACATTTGTATTGATTTAGTCAAATAACTGATGATATGCTTATGAAATTTTCATCATGTCAATGATAATTATGTATATTATTATTTCGTTTAAAAATATAGCTTAAAGTTATTGACATATCGTGTATATTAATATATGCGTCTCTTTGCGAGTAGGTATAAACAAAGTTGTTGAGAGTATCACATCATATTTGCCTAAACCTTTGCTCTTTCTCACACTTTTTTGACATTCACACGCCTAAGTTACTTACTTAAAAAGCTGTATCCAAATGGGGTGAAGATGAGAACATCACTTTCTAGTTTGTTACAAAACACCTTTGGTAATAGCATCATTGATCTTATCACGTTACGAAAGCGTTTCAATTCCAAACACTAGTCAACTACAATCAATATTTTGTGTTTGGACCAATAACATTTAAATCAGTTTGGCCTTCCGGATCACGTTTTTTATGTTTTGAAAAAAACAAATATACCAAGATATGCTCTGATTTTTTTCGAATAAAATAAGTCATAACTAGAACAGGGCACGTAAAACCTGTTAAACTTGTTAATTTTTGTTTCGATTTTGTGATTAACAATGAGCTGGCTAGCATGACTACCTACAACGTTGAGCTTTCATTTTATAATATTAAGATCAATCTGCTGGAAGATCTTATTAGGTTCAGATTGGAATTATTCCATATCATGACATTTCTAATCACAATCATCAACCTCGTGCAAGTATTATAACATATTTGATAATTTAACCAAAACGGACAAATAACCCTAATTTAAATTCTGCTAAATAATTAATTCTTCAAAATCTAGCAAATCCCAGGAATAGGTCATCAACTTACATAGGTTTTGTATGTCAAATAGATTGTATTGAATAAATTTTCGTTAAATAATCATAAGAAACATTAAAAAAAATTGTTAGTTGTGGAATATTGATACATTTTAGTTGCTTATAATTAAATTTTAACACTTGCGCATCATATATAGAAAATCATTTTTCTTAAAACATAAAAAATGTAAAATCTTGATAACTTGACTACATTTTCAAAACATGTATGAACAACTGGTATATAATAAAATAGCAACAACACAGCGAGACAATGTTCTTGAAATCGCCGAAAGCCGAGACAAAAGTCTTGAAAAGATGGGAAAGAGGTCGGGATACGTTTGACCATAAGTCCATTGAAATGTGGAAACTATTAAGAAAAAAAAAAAAGAGAGAACAAAATTAAAACAGATTGAGATATAACCTGTTCAAAGAATCAAAAGCATGTACATAACGAACGAAAAAGAACTTATAATAAACTCATCGGTTTACATAACCCGACCATTTTGCATCTGTTACCAAACTCAAAAGCCCTAACTGTTAACCAAAAATAATACTACCAAAATGCCAATCACACACCAATGGCATAAACTATAAACCACCCAAAAAAAAGAAAGAAAGAGATATTTACTTCAGTATTAAAATAAAAAGCAGCACCCTTTTTTTTAGAAAAAATATTGTAGATTTCATAAATCCTTCTTCTTCCTCAGTGCTTCAAAGTGAACAGCTTTTAGACTGGTTAACTAAGAGAATCTACAGCAGAGAAGAATGTGTCTCCATCCTTTTTGTCTTCTCTTATCAGCTTTTGCCATTCTTACAGGACTACTGTTCCATTCCGACTGCAATCTGCACATAAAATTCATCAAATTCAGCAAAAAATTCCTCTTTCAAGTTTGCATCACAGCGATGGAGATTGATTTATATCTTACATTGGGAAAGCGAAAGATCTTCCACTCGTTGTGCTTGCATCAGAACGAACGGAGAGGCTTCCAGAGAATGCAATTGGTCCTGAGTATGTTATATGACCTGAAATTGAAACTGGCTCTGATGCAGAGAAACTCGTCTCTCCAAATCCGCTCGAGAAAAGTTTGTCGTCTTCGTAAGAGTCTTCCACTCTCAACTTTGGTTGTTGTTGATTCTCGGTTTCAGGCCTTTCAGGGTCATTGCAAGTTTTGTTTGGTTCTTGAGAGGTTGTTGTAGAAACAGAGGAAAGCTTCTCCTCTGCTTGTTTTGGCTCCTCTGTTTCGAGAGGTGTGGTTTCTAAGCTTCTTTTTTCCATCTCCTGCAGTCACGCACATCAGCAAGTTAGATACTTTTTAGATAGAAAAATTGAGACTTCATTAGATTGTATAGAGTGATGAAATGTATTGCCTGAAGCAGAGGTGGAGAGTGTTCTTCACGTCTATTGCTACTGTTGTTGTTGTTGAGGTGTTTTTGTTCATCTTCCCTTGATAGAATATCTCCCAAAGTCAAACAACATTCACTTACGACATTCTCCGATGTAGCCACTTCGTGCTTCTTCGAATTCTCATCAGATTCAATTTCATGAGAAATTTCAGAATGATTTACCCCGTGAGTAGGCGAGTCCTTGGCTTCTCTTGTCACAGTCAAATGCTCTTGATTGCAATTGCTAGAACCTTCAGCATCAGCAAATTCTTCTCTTGAAGATTCTTCCACATCACGGTTTGTCTTAGTACCATTACAAAGCTCAGAATCATCAAGCTTACTGTTTCTGTCTTCCAAGGACTTGCTTTCCAAGAGATTCGAACTTGCTTTGTCTGCTTCCATCAAATCCTCTGACTCACACTTGTTTGAGTTTGAGCTACATTTCACAGAATCCTTCTCGCCGAACAAGAACTTCTCCTGGACCGGAACACCTTCATCGACACATATATCCTTCACGACATGATAAGTATTCTCCTTGTAACAAACTACAATCTCAGGCAAGTCACAGGCCGTTACATTCTTGTCCATATAAAACACCGGATCAAGTTTCTCAAGAGAATCCCTCTTAGCAGCAACATCATGACTGTTATCTGGAATTTTCTTTACGGCCTCATTAGAGTCTCCACAAGAATGGCGTTCCAAAGTATTTCCATCATTCTCTTTATCCCATTCGTCACCGCTTCTTGTATCATAGAACAACTCGCACACATTGTTATTGTTCTTCCCATTTTCCGGGATCTTTAACTCTGCATCTTCCCAAATCTCTTCAGGGCATTGATGAGGCTTAGACTCATCTTTGCAACTCTCTGTCGAGTTTCCAACCACGTGATCATTATCTGAAAATTGAAAAACCACTTGATCTACTTACTGGTTTGCAAAAACATTCAATGACCATCAGAGACATCTTAAAGCTACAGAACAGAAAGCAGTTCCAATAACTAAAATATTTGAAAGCTAAAGACTTTTTTACCTGCTCTCATCGTTTTCAATGAATAAATCTTGCATAAAGAGAAGGATTCGTCAATACACCAGAGCTAAGTCTTCAAGCACCAGTCGAAAAAACCAATCTACATGTCCAAGGGAAAAATCTATATCAAGCATATTCATTGATAAGAAACAGAGAACAACAGTGAAGTTGCAAAGAGAAGACAAGTCTATGGAAACTTCATTCTTGGGGATGGAATCCATGAAAGTTAACCTACTCTATCTATCTGCTTCTCTCAAAAGTTAGATACAGAAGCAGCCTCCATATGAGTTAAATACAAGAGTTGTTCAACGAAGCAATGGACCAGGAAGATTGTGACAGAAACAAGCCAAGCTTTGAGGCTAAGTATCCTACGGTTACATACATAACATAGATATGGTCAGTCACACATGTGAAAGATTCTGTTCTTCTTTCCTCAAGTCCACAAACAAATCATCATGAGGTCTAAACAGATAATAAAACAGCAAAAAGATGCAATCAACCACTACCATGACTACTTTCCAACTTTTTGCTAATGTAGAGAAAAAGACATTTATCTAAAAGCTGTAAGGCCATAATAATATGCAAGAAAATTTCTAAAATTTGCTTAATCTGGATTACTTGTAACAATTGTGATAAGATTTATAGCGCAACCAATTATATGGCTACATAAGTGTGGCAAATTATTACAAAGAATGAAGAATCTTATGCACTGTCATAGAAAGAAGAAAAGAGACAAAAAGGAGATAGCTTTAAACTTTATTTTGCAAAGCTTACACAAGCTTTTGTTCAAAACAGCTCCACTGCAATCAATCAAATCTCATTTTTTGAAAAATAGAATAAAATATTGGATAAGACCATCCGAGTTTTCTCAGCCCTCTTTCACAGGACTGTCAATAAACAATTGGAATTTGCAGGAGAGAAGAATCTTGAACTGAAAATCCCAAAAAAAAGTTTCAAGTATTAAAAAAAACCCCAATTGGATCTACTATAACAAAAAAAAAAAAACTAATACCCTAATAAAAACAAAAAAAATCAAAACTAGTGGAATATATACAGATCTAATAACTAGAATCCAAATGAAAATCCTAAACATGAATCAAAGGTTAGACTTTAAGGAGGAATCATTCCGTAGAACAGTGAAGAAGAAAGATTATCAACAACCAAAAAAAACTTACTTGATCACCAGGTACAGAGACTCAACCTTCTTCCGCCATTAACTTTTAACCTAAATTTAGCAATTAGTTAAAATTAAAGTTACAAACAAGGGATCAACAACCCTAGTAGGTTGAAGTAGAACACAAAAATTTCGGATCACTTATAAGAAAATCCAACCTTTGAGAAGATAAAGCCAGCTGCTTTTTGGCTTTTAAAAAATAAAATCTTCAAAACATGTAAGAAGGATGTTCAAAGGTCAATTAAAAATCACTGTCTCTGCAATAAATTTGAGCACAGAGAGATATAACTAAAAGAGTACACAATCTCTCTTTCTTCTTTATTGCCCTTTGGTTTAACATTTAATTACCAACCAAACCCGAAAAAAAAAATTCCCAGCCATGGAAAACAACATTTAATGCCACCATTAATTGGAAACGATAAAAGGGTTATTTTATTTTTTATAATTGAGGCAAAATCAGAAATTTTTTCTATTCCAAGTTGAGTTTTACTTTCCCGGAAAAAATAAGAACTTTTTTTGAATCATTCAATTTTTATTTTCTCGCTACCACGATCTTATCAGTTTCCGAGAAATGGTTGGAAGTAAGAATTTAAGCAAGAGGAAAATGCACTTACCAATACTCTCTAATCTCTTCACTATCCTGGGAAAACTGAAAACTTTCTCGGTAAATCGGAAACCCTTCATAATCATGAGACCATCAGCAGAAATCGTACAAGACTGAAATACCAAGTGTCTGAACTAAAACTGGAAAGACGAAAACTTTTTCTCGGAGAAAGGGAAAAAGGATCGGATTTTATTGTATTTTCCCGGAAAATAAACAGCCGCTTCAAAGGGGAGAAAAAGACCTAAGCTTTGGAGAAATCGGATCTGCGAAACGGCACCCTCGAGAGTATTTTTCTCTCGTGGATTTGACTTTTTATTTCGGGGGATTCAGATTAAATAATATATAAATTTGGAGATTTATAAAGAAAACAAATATAAAGTCAACTATCTGCCAAAGGATTTGGGTGAGGCGGTTTGCAATTTGTCCCTTCTCCATCTTTCATTTTTCATTTATCTCTTTTCTCTCTGTTTTTTAATTAATTTCCTTTTTAATTATATTTTTTTTGTATCTGAGCTTTTGTCCTTATGAAAACGGTTGTCCAATTTGCTAAATAAATATTTCTCTTATTTATTTATTCATGCATTTAGTGGTTCATGTTATATCCATAAAAATGACATAGACGTGAGTTCTAAGTCATACCATCTTTAGTTTCATATATTTCTTCTTCTTGCCAGTTACTTCCACATACATTCCTTATGATTTTATAACAACTGTAGTGTCAATGATGTTATAGAAGATGAAAACAAAATCTGTTAGAAAGGAGTACAAGTTTGCCAATATCATAATAAGTAAAGAAAGATTAAGCTAGAGAGAACAAGAAGTTTATTCATTTTTATTAATATGAGTGTTTTATATCCATTAAATCGAGGTTGGAGATTATTTTTGTTACGGTACGTCGCGTTACACCCAATAACCTGATTTCTCTTCATTTTAAAAAACTCTTGTTTAGGGATCGGGAAAAAAAAAATGAAGATGATTCTCGAAGGTAAACAACCACAGAGTAAGTGACACGTGTGCAGCAAATATTACCTGTGCAGCTAAAACGAAAGAAGTCTTAGCATTTGAGGAATGAAATAGAAAAAGCCTATTTCGTCGTTATGTTATGGGGTCTACGAGTAGAAGCAAGAAATAAAAAGGAAAAAAAGGAAAAAAAAAGAAAAAAGGACAAAAGCTGCGTACGTGGAGGTGTTCTGTATGAATTATGGTCCAGCTAATGAGTACCGTACGATCTCAGCGCGCATCTGCGTGTGACAGCGTGTTATTAACTGTTCCCTACTAATCGACGGCTATGTTTCGTTGGCTACGTTGGACCTACGTTTTCATCTCCATTTAATGTTATAGAAACCAAACAAATAATTTTTCCTATTATAGCTATTTCGTTGTTCATAAATAAATTCTTAGTATTATGTAATTATGATATATACATACTTGAATACGTTCATGTATTGCTAGTGTTTCTTTTTTTTTTTTTTCTAAAGCAAAGGGTAATATGAATCGGAGCCCATCTAAATATCTAATCCACCAGGTGGAATATATACAAAAAAATTGAAATAAATTTTAAGTATAATATCATTTTGATTGACAAAACGGGAATATATATAAAAAAAAAAAATTCGGGTGACAACAAGCGATTTCCAAAAGATTTCATAACTCGATTTCTTGAGTGTGATATACATGTAGCAAAAGTAAAATAAACAACCGTCTATATTAGTGAATGATATTATGGAACATACTCCCTCCTTCTATTTATAATAGTTTATTTATAATAGTTGATTTTTTAAATTTTTCACATGAATTAAGAAACTTTTAATGTTTAGCTATAAATATATTATTTTCTCTTATTAAAACAGTTTTTTATTATTATAAACCAATCATAATTCATCTATCTCAATTAATATCTGTTAAAGTAACATATATTAACTATAAATCATTAATTTAAAGAACAAACATGCATTAATTAGATGTAGAAAATCAACTATTTTGCAACATGAATAAAACCTCAGAAAATCAACTATTATAGAACAGAGGGAGTATTTAAGAAGGTTGTCATCAATTCTTAGTAGACGTAACAAAAATATTTGTTCTGTTTATCATTTATGATATGAATGCATGTCATTCCTGCACACAAAAATATGTTATCCATTGAAGTCGGAATGAATTTCAATGGAGTTTTACATTTCTGATTGATATTTACAGGTGCATGCATTAGATCATGTCATCTATTTGTTTGTTTTCTATAAAATGCACAGAAATCACGTTATTTCACAGATTCCCCAGATTCTACGCGATGTGGGATTTAAACTTACCGGAATTTTACATAATTTACAAGTTTATTATTCTAAACACAAATACATGTAGTTGAAAAGGCTATAAGAAAACTATATGAAATTAAAATAGTATTGAACCACAAAAAGGGAAAAGCAACAAAGTGGTCCTTTATCTGATTTCATGTATCACCAAATGATAAATTTCTCCTTCTCTTCGAGGAAATGAAGAAAAAGGATAACCACTAACAAAAGTGCAAAATTGACCAATCTATAGTAGTTGTTTTTATCTACTTATTTTTTCAGAAATTTTTGAGTCATTTGTTTTGAAAATTAACAAAAATTAGGAGTAACAGCCAAAAATTAAGTTTAGATATTTTACATTGACAAGATATTAGTATAAGTTCACGAGTTAATTGTATTCATAGCCAACTAAATTTTCAATTTGTAATTTGAGAATCTTCAGACGAAGTCAGAATCCATAACACTCAAACGAATTTCCTATCCCAAACCCAAGTAAAGTCAACTATGACACTGACTAAAAGAGAGACATAAGTGACATTTGAAAGTCTCAACTAGATGAAAAGAGACAAAAACAAAACTCAACTCAGCTTCTATTTTATTCCACATTTCTCCTGTATTGTCTTTCTTGTTCTTTCATGTTTTATTCTTCTCCTATCTGAATCTGAAAGGGAACTTACATAGGACTTAAAGATGAATTTTAATCTAAACTTAATTGTACCAGTTTAAAAACAATCTAAACCCATCAAATGATAGATTCTGAATCAATAAACCAAAACTCAGCTCTTGAATACGTTTAATGAGTCTCATAGTTCATGTGAAATCGTTTGGTTTCCCAACATTGATGTTCTGTTCGGCCAAGAACTCAGTAATAGCCTTCCTTTGCCATGCTTTAAAGCTCCTGAAAACAGAAACAAAAACAAAACCAAAAAACCTCATTACTTGTAATCCATGCGCGGGAATCAAGAACGCAAACAGCAATATCAAGAGGAGAGTGGTTTAAGATTTTACTTTTGATCAAGATGAGCCAAGATCTCGCCTCCCGGGAATGATGCTTTAGTAGCTTCAAATGCTGCTTTGATTGATTGTCTCCAAGTTCCACCAATGTGATTCTCTCCAGGTTTTGGTTCTTCCATTGGTAATGAGTATCCAGAAAGCAAATGGCCTACCCACATATCATCTTTCCTAAAAAACGCATAAAAAAAAAAATCAGCCAGAGAGCCGATTTAATGTTATACTCAGAGTTCTGAACAGCTTACAAAACTACATCCATGTGACGAGGAGCATAATGTCCACCTCCGATCCCTAGAAGCACTTTCTTCTTTCCGGATTCACTGTCCACCAAAACGATTCACATCAGTTTAGATTGTTACTACTTTCTTTCTTTATGTCCGAGGTAAAACCAAGCTACCATGGTATGCATACCTGTTCCAGTTTCCCACGGCTTCACCGCCTCCTAGGGCAAGTCCTTCCCACATTAACTGAATCACAAATCACAATGCTTTTACTAAATGGAAGGAACTGATACACACTGAAAGCTACTGGCAAGTCATGAGCTTCGAAAGTTGTTGTTAAGTAGATATTGATGATTAAAAGGAAACTTTAAACTCAAAGAAGTCTTTTTTAACCGACAGGAAGCGACAAGAAACAAGAAGAATGACTATAATTCACAAACCATTCATTAAACTAACAAACTTTTTTTCACTTACAAGAGCCATGACTTGAGCTGCGTCCTGTCTCTTCCAGTATTCCTCTGTACTACCTAGATATACACAAACCAATGATTATTTATACTGGAATCTAAGAATTTGTGACACACATGAGCTAAGCATTCCCAGAGATCGATTATAAGAAAATTGCTAATAAAAAAAAAAACAGAGAGCTTTTCAATTCAGCGAAACGAAGAAAGACATAAACTCACCAATCTCCAAGAACATCGTTGGCTTACTAGTTATTGGTCCATGATGAGTACCTTCCAATGTTATCTACATCCACACAGAAAAGAGCAATCTGCTTTACTTCCAATTTCCTGAGAAATGGCCAAAGCAAATTTCACAAGCAGAAAAGATAAACAATAACCAATACCTCAAACTCAGGAACTAAGTTATGAGCTTCAGCCATTTTCTTCAAAAGACGCAACCATGGACCAATCCTAGGGTTTACCAACGCCGCCCACCCTGGCCGTCCTCCATGCGGCGGCGATTCTCCTTCTTTTAAGTGAAGCACTCCTTCAATTACCAACAAACTTCCTTGAGAAACTGAAAAAGAAGAAAACCCAGAAAGAAAGTTCGGATTTTTCGCATACCAATCGGATGCACAGTGAGAGCAGGGCGATTCGAGGCGGCGGTGTGACGGCTGAGGAAGATGACTTCGTCAACGGCTTCTCCGGTTACTTCTTCCCACCGTAAATCGAGATCGTCTTCTTTCACTATAGATCCATCGTGTTGAATCACTCTCGTTTGCTGGTTAGTAAAGCTCTTGATGTCCTGAAAAGTGAAAACATTTGGAGAAGAACGAATCAGACGAGAGAAAAAGCTAAACGGCTCCGGTGGAGAATGATCAATATATTACCGGCGGCAAGATGGGTCCGGCGGTCCATCCCGGCATGGCGAGAAGCGCCGTCGCGGGATTGATCGACGCTGGGTCGGAGGTGGTGGCTACGATCAGTGTCACCATCTCTCTCTTTGTTGCTGTGACACGACAAGTGGCGTTTACAAGCGATTGGATACGAGTTGCGTTTGTTTGGAATCTTATGTGTTTGTGAACCAAGCGTATAACGTTTCGGCCGCTTATTTTCAAAACCATTATTGTAGGCTTTCTATAGCTTTTAAACTTATTATTGGAAACCTATAAAAATGGAGTATTTGTTTGTTTGGCCAACAAGCTAGTAGTTAATGGCTTTGATTGGAGATCAAATTTGCTTAAAAGAAATATCGAAGAAAATGGTTCAAATGAATATGCGATTGAATGCATTCAGGTGTACAAAATTACAAAACATGGCGCTGCCCGGGATCGAACCGGAGACCTTTTGCGTGTAAAGCAAACGTGATAACCACTACACCACAGCACCTGATGTCTTCTAACGCTTGTTTAATTAAATAAATACCCTAATACTAATAATCTCGAATAAGCCTCTTTGGGACATGGAGTGAGGATCGGAGAAAGCAGACAGATGTTGGGTTGTTCATCGGCGTTCCAAAGAGTAGCCTTTATGCTCATGGCTCCCAAATTAAAAGCTCAACGACTTCATCAAAGTATGTATCTGATACACACACTCCTGCTTTTTATCTATCGTATTTTGTTAACGCATTTATGATCTGAGCGGTCTATTTAGTGTAAATTCGTAACAAGGGTTTTGGGTTTCTGTGTGTGTGTGTGTGTGTGTGTAGTTGCAGAGACTGGGGCTGAGCAATTGGTTAAGAAAGCTAGGACGATGAGTACCGAATCCTCAATGAAAGATGCTTTTTCTAAATACGCTGATTATCTCAATAACTTCGTAAGTTTTGTATTTTTCCTCCTCAATTTTCCATAGAAAAGCTTGATGTTTTCTGGGTTTTTATTTGCTGTTGATAAAGACTGAACCTTGCAATTTCGAGGTAGTTGATATTAAAGAAATGATCTTTCAACTGCAGTTTTGATTTTTGTGTTCACTTAAGTTGAGATTGGGTTTTGTGTATCGTCGTTTTAGTAAATCTGAACCTTGACTATGTATGAATTGAAGTATAACAAGTAGAATGCTTTATCATTTTTGCTATCGTTGTAGAATGAGAAGCGAGAAAGAGTGGTGAAGGCAAGTCGTGACATCACTATGAACAGTAAAAAAGTTATCTTTCAGGTTCACAGGTAACAACAACTTCATCAAAACTTGGTTTTCATGTTTGTTGCTATTATTATGACTTAGCTATTGGCTTAACTCTCTCTCTCTTCTCTGTTTGTTTTGGGTTAAAATATTAATGTGGCAGACTCAGTAAAGACAACAAAGAGGAGGTTTTGGAGAAAGCAGGGAAAGATTTAGAAGCAGTGAGAGAGCAACATTTCTCCCGGCTAATGAAAGAGCTTCAAGGCACTGATTTTTGGAAGCTGAGACGAGCTTACTCCCCAGGGGTCTGTGAGACAAATTCATTGAATCGTTGGAACCTCTTGGTTAACAATTTTAACTGATTTCTTTGTGTGTTTTTTGGGTAACTTACAGGTGCAGGAATATGTTGAAGCTGCAACGTTTTATAAGTTCTGTTTGTCTGGGACTCTCTTTACTCTCGATGAGATTAACGCAACGCTTTTGCCGCTTAGTGACCCTTCTTTAGAGCCGTTGCAGATCAATATCCTTGACTATATTCTTGGGGTATTTAGACTCTCTTTTGACTTATGTTTATCCGTTATGAAGATTTTGCTATTGTTTGGGTTTATATATAATTGTTTTTTTTACTTGCACAGCTTGCAGATTTGACTGGAGAGCTAATGAGGATGGCGATTGGTCGAATATCAGATGGTGAAATCGAATTTGCGCAGCGAATTTGCCAGTTTGTTCGACAGATTCATAGGGAACTGTTGCTGGTCGTGCCACAGATGGATGATAGTTACGACATGAAATCCAAGATGGATGTGATGCTTCAAAGTGTGATCAAAATAGAGAATGGTATACACAAATTTCATATACGCATCTAAGGAATATGTTCTTTTCCTTTATGTTTTCAGTATTGCTTCTGCTTTTATGTCGTTTTTGTAATTCTTTTGTTGTTCTGTTTGTTTATTAGCTTGCTTCAGCGTTCACGTGCGAGGATCAGAGTATATCCCGCTGCTTGGAGATGATGCACCAACATCATACCTATTGGGTGGTGCTGATGTTGAATGATCAAAAGTGATTTTCTTTCTTTTTTTTTTGCCGCCTCTCGGGATGCATTTTCGAGGATCTTGTTAAGGTTATGTTTTTGGGATTTGTGGCGAGAAGTAGGATCATTTAGTAAAAAAGGTTTTCAGAGAATCTGCTGAGGAACTTTAAAGGCTGTAGACTCTGATATGTCTCTCTGTTGCAAGACTTTTCTCATAAATAGAACTTTTCTTTATTGCCAGTAGATTACATTTGGAGCTTTAAGTCTACAGAATACTGTAATTTCTTTCTTATTCTAGTAAAAAAGTTTGGCATTTGTTCTTTTTTTCTCTCTTTTTTGGTTCTTGTTTGATATAATTGTTACTCGGTGAGAAATAAATATTCATAGAATTTAGCAGAGTAATGCATTTGACCAGAATTTATAACTGAACTACAAAAGTTCATGATATCCTATATAAAGTCATGTGCTCTGTAGCATTTTGTTCAAACTAAGTTACAATCTATGACAAACTCCAAAACTACTCTTTCGAAGTTATTGGCAGAATCTAATTTCAGCCAAGAATGCAAGGAGTTGCTGTCTTATCTTCCAAAAGACAGAAGCTTTTTTGCAGAGTATCTCTATCAATACCAAGGATTTTGGTACCCACCAAACCTCTTAGAAGGTGTTTTATACAGTCAGAAGCATTTTCAGGCCAGAGATTCTGATATCATCCTCGTAAGCAGTCCTAAATCAGGTACAACTTGGTTAAAAGCACTCGTCTTTGCTTCGGTTTACAGACAAGAATTCCAAACTCCTCTAGAGTCACATCCTCTGCTCGATAACAACCCACATTCCCTCGTGCCGTTTATCGAAGCTTTCAACTTTCACACTCAAGACACTTTTCCTAGGATCTTCTCCACACACATTCCTCTTGGATCGCTCCCTGAGTCCATTAAGAAGTCGTCTTGTAAAGTTGTGTATTGCTGCAGGAACCCAAAGGATGCGTTTGTCTCCCTTTGGCATTTCATGAAAGATTTGGTTCTTAAGGAGATGGTTGGTTGTACAATGGAGCAAATGGTGAAAGGGTTTTGCAGAGGGTCAAGTGTTTATGGACCCTTTTGGGATCATGCCTTAGAGTATTGGAAAGAGAGCCTAGAAAACCCGAAAAAAGTATTCTTTGTTAAGTATGAAGACATGAGAGAGAAGCCTGAGGATTGGGTGATGCGGATCGCTGAGTTCTTAGGATACTCTTTTACAGAGAGAGAGATAGAGAATGGAGTTTTGGAAGATATCATAAAGTTGTGTAGTCTTGAGAATCTGAGTAAGTTGGAGGTTAATAAAGTGGGGAAGTTAATGAATGGAATGGAGACTAAGGCATTTTTCAGGAAAGGAGAGATTAGAGGATGGAAAGATACTTTGACTCCTTTATTAGCAGAGGAAATAGATAAAACCACTGAGCAGAAACTAATTGGTTCTGCTTTTAGATTCTTTTGCTAAGAATCTGCTTAAACTTAATTTTCTCTGTTTATTGAGCTTTTTCTTTCTATTATTGTGATTTTGTTGTTTTGATATGCATGAATGCATCAATAAAAACAACTAGGATTAGACATTATTTCTAAGTGCTCTTCAAATAAAGGATGTATTGACTATTCCACCAAAAATAATATTTTAAGATTAGACATTATTAGAGTTGTGATTCTCTTGCTTTCTTTAGATTTTATTTCTACGTGCTCTTCAAGTAAAGTATGCTATTTGCTTGTAGAGCAATCTTCTTAGTCAACAGTCAACACAAACAAAACATATATAAAAGCGCATAAACATAACCTCAAAGACATAGACCTTAAGAAAAGAAAAAAATCTCATAGTTTCTAACATTTTTCAAGATTGTTCTATACTCATAATGTCATCATCATCATCATCTGTTCCTGATTACTTGGGAGATGAAGATCTGACACAAGAAACAAGAGATCTGATTTCTTCTCTTCCAAGCGAGAAAGGTTGGTTGGTGAGCCAAATGTATCAATTCCAAGGACGTTGGCACACACAAGCTCTGTTACAAGGAATCTTGAAATGCCAAAAACACTTTGAAGCCCAAGATTCCGACATTATCCTCGTAACCAATCCTAAATCAGGTACCACTTGGTTAAAAGCTCTTGTCTTTGCTCTCATTAACCGACACAAGCTTCCAGTTTCTTCTGGTAAGCATCCTCTTCTGGTTACCAATCCGCATCTTCTCGTGCCCTTCTTGGAAGGAGTCTACTACGAATCTCCAGGTTTCGATTTCTCCGCGTTGCCTTCTCCAAGACTCATGAACACTCACATATCGCACCTTTCGCTGCCCGAATCCGTTAAGAGCTCGTCTTGTAAGATTGTGTATTGTTGTAGAAACCCTAAGGACATGTTTGTCTCCTTATGGCATTTTGGGAAGAAACTTGCTCCTGAAGAAACCGCTGATTATCCGATTGAGAAAGCGGTTGAAGCGTTCTGTGAAGGGAAGTTTATAGGTGGACCCTTTTGGGATCATGTGTTGGAGTATTGGTACACAAGCCGCGAGAATCCGAACAAGGTTTTGTTTGTTACTTACGAGGATCTCAAAAAGCAGACTGGAAATGAGATCAAGCGAATCGCTGAGTTCCTGGGATGTGGTTTTATTGGAGATGAAGAAGTGAGAGATATTGTGAGGTTGTGTAGTTTTGAGAGTTTGAGTACATTGGAGGTTAATAGAGAAGGGAAATTGCCAAATGGAATGGAGACTAAAGCTTTCTTTAGAAAAGGAGAGATTGGAGGATGGAGAGATACTTTGAGCGAGTCCTTGGCTGAGCAAATAGATAAAACCATGGAAGAGAAGTTTCAAGGTTCTGGTCTGAAGTTTTCTTGTTGAAATAATCTTTGAAACTTGTTGTTATGATGTTTTCATTAATCTTGTGAGTTTTGTTTTTTGTTGTCTATGATTTTATTGTTGTTCTTGTATGAATAAGATGAAGCAATATTACTTCCTTCTTTTTAATAGATGTGGAACATTATAGCTGGTTAAATCCGCATTGTTTGTTCATGTCATGTTGTTTAAGATGAGCCTAACCACTTAGCATGTCTATACGCATAGCTGACTTGCGAGATCGAGCTGTCCAAAGCAACAAAGTAAACGTTTTTTTTTTTAATTAACAAACGAAAAGAAGTACAAATCAGAATTGGCTTCTTAAGAACGGTATTTAACAAAAATTCAATCATACTTTTTTTAATGTCAAATCGAATTTCGCTTTCTTTTGACGACACGTTTTTTTTTCTTTATCAGAATCGAAAAACAGGACATAGTGGATTGGTTATGTGTAGCTTAGACGCACCCATGAGTATAAACCCTACCACTTGTCTTGTCTATAGACATATCTAAACAGGTGACACCGATTTGTCCAAGGCACCAAATTTTTTTTTAAAAAAAGTCTATTATCTTCTCATTTTTTACACTATCCTCTCTCTGTGTACACAGAGTAAAAGTATCACAGTAATGGATGCTTCTCAAGAACCTCACCTTCCAAACTACATGAAAGATGACAAGGTTAGCCAAGAAACCAAGAACTTGATCTCTTCTCTTCCTTCAGACAAAGATTTCATGGGTTACAGTCTCTACAACTACAAAGGTTGTTGGTACTATCCCAAAGGTGGTACCACTCGGCTCAAATCCCTAGTTTTCGCCGTTGTCCATAGAGAAAAATACTGCGAAAATCCCCAAATCCATCATTTGCTCTCACGAAACCCTCATGACCTTGTTCCATTTCTTGAGCTTGAGTTATACGCTAGTAACCAAACTCCGGATCTCACAAAGTTTCCTTCTCCTACAATCTTTTCTACACACATGCACTTAAACGCATTGCGAGAAGCCACCACAAAGTCTTCTTCCTCACCTTGCAAAATCGTGTATGTGTGTAGAGGTATCAAAGATACGTTTGTCTCCGGTTGGCATTATAGGAACATGTTGCATCGCACCAAGATGGATCAAGCCACTTTTGAGCTAATGTTGATGCATATTGTAGAGGAGTTCTCTTATATGGACCCTATTGGGAACATGTGCTGAGCTATTGGAAAGGGAGCTTAGAAGATAAGGAGAATGTTCTTTTTATGAGGTACGAGGAGATCATTGAGGAGCCTCGTGTTCAAGTCAAGAGACTCGCCGAGTTCTTGAATTGTCCATTTCACCGAGGAAGAAGAAAAGAGTGGATGGGTGGAGGAGATATTGAAGCTGTGTAGTTTGCGGAATCTGAGTAACTTGGAGGTTAATAAGAAGGGGACAACGAGACTTGGTATAGATTCTAATGTATTCTTCAGGAAAGGTGAAGTTGGTGATTGGAAGAATCATCTCACTCCTCATATGGCAAAAACCATTGACGAGATCGTTGAAAGTAGACTACGAGGTTCCGGTTTGATATTTCAATAAGGTTGTAGTGTCTAGTTGCTCAAACAGGAGGATGGAGTTTACAAAAAAGAAACTCAGCAAATCTAACAGCAAATAAGGTTGTGTTATGTACTTATGTTATATTTTGTTATTGGATTGAAGTTTTTGAATGATTTTAATTTTTAATGTAATTTGATTCTTTTCAGTGTATTTTTAATAGATGCTTTTCAATAAATGAGAATTATTATTGGCTGGTGGATTTGATTGTGTTTAAGACATTGTATCAAGGAAATAGAAAAAAAATTATGGTAAGGAGATAGTATATCCCATAAATGTATCATAAATTGTCCTTTTTCCATTGTTAAACCCAGAGTCTCTTCAGTATCCATACTGAGTTTCATTAATCAAACTCCTCAGCACATAATTATAAAGGGTTCAAAAAATTTCTCTATGAGAAATACATAGTTGAGATCCTCTCATTTAAAGTTCTAGAAAACAAAAATAAGAATATATATGGCTGTCAATTTCTCTCTCTAAAGTAAGAACGAGCGTTCATAGCTTCATAGAGCCGGTTTTGGCGAAATCCCCTATGGATTCTGAAAACTTCCTATATAGTGGAATGGATCTGTCCCTTATGAAAGAGCTGGAATCGAGCTGGTTGAAGTTAACATATAGATGTTGGAAATCCACAGAGATTGGCAAAATTCTTCGTGGAATTTGCAAAAATTCTTTTAAAAAACTCAGCTAACAAACCCTGTCTAAAGTTTTTTTTCCCCTAAGTACACTATTATCAATCACTATAAAAATTTAAACTGTTTATAAACCTTAACAAATCCAACAAATCGAAACTAAATAAAGTCAAACTAATTACATTGTAAAACTGTCCATAGCTTAAATTTCATCCAATCTCTACGTATAGATTTTATCTAAAAATGTAGTCCATTTTAAGATTGTCTAACCATAAAAGAAAAATGCGACCGGCATGTACGCTCTTCTGTTCCCTTCTATCTCTATTTTCTAAATCCTCTTTTCTTTTGATACTTTTACATTTTTATTATGCTTTTCTATTGGATATATTGTAGGAAGATAATAAATACAAAAGGAGCAACATGACTGGCATGATCTCTGGTCCTCTATCACTATATGCGACTATGCATGTAAATTTCATATGTTAAAATAAAATGATCCCGCAAAATATATAAAAAAATGATCAAACTCTCATCACAAGCTCAATATTTGATAATCCACGTCAGCCTAAGGTTTCTTATACGTAATTGGAATTTGTAAATATATTCTGACTTTGTCCCTCCCTACTTAATTTAAACTCCTCCCTTTTGATTCTTTTTGCTCCCCCAAAAACACACTTTTTCTCACGTCTTAAAGAGAAAACGCAATAGATTTCTCATGGCGATTTCGATCTCCGGAGCGGTGCTTAGTGGGTTAGGTTCCTCGATCTTGATCAACGGAGGCAAGAGAAGCGGCGTTGGCCGTGGAGCTGTGAGAGTTGGCCGGAATAATATGATCATTGCACCTCACCGTAAGAAGTCATGGGTCATGGCCACCACGAAAGGTGATGGTAACTCAAAGCTCGATCCAAATTGGCTCGATGATGCCTCGTAAGTCTATTTGTTTGGAGATATACATTTTCAGTTTTCTTCTTCTTTTTTATTATAGTTTCGAGCATTGTCGAATTTGTTTTCTATAGTATAAAATACCCATTTTTCATTTTGTAATAAAAGAGAAAAAGCTTCCAAGTACGTGAAGGATAAAGGTAGTGAAGTGGGACACGTGTCTGCACAGAAAGGACAAGAGGTTTGCGATCAGATACAGAGAGCAAAAGACTACTTTGTTGAGAAAGCTGGTGAAGCGATGGACATGGTGGCTGAAAATGCTAAGTTTGCTTCGGATTTTGTGACGGAGAAAGCTAAAGAGACGGAGGAAGAAGCTGTTTCAATGACGGAGAAAGCCAATAGTTTCCTAGTTGAAAAAGTCGGTGAAGCTAAAGATTTCATCGTCGAAAAAGTCGGTGAAGCCAAAGTTTTGGCGACCGATATGAGCATGAAAACGGCTAAGTACGTTGGAGATAAAGCAGCGGAGGCAAAAGAAGTGATATTGCCTCCCGAAAATGAAGTATAGAATGTGATGGTAATACCAGTTCTCATATACATATATTTGGAGCCCTAAAGCATATACAAGATAGATATGTTTTTGTCAACACAAATGGAAGATACTGAAGCAATATATTAAGAAAAACAAATATTATGCGAGAATTAATTGGTACTACGTAGACTTACTTAAACTGTTATAATCGGTGCTTATTGGTTAATCATTCAAGTGAAATTCTTCAATTCTCATACATATACGAAACTATGCCATGCACAATATAAATCGATTTTGATAAATTGTAGGCGTTTTAGCCATTAGGTCCCGTAGATATAGACACTATATAGACGTTAATTTCAGTCGAACCATAAGAACACCAAAAATTATAAGAGAAAATGGCTCCTTTTTATCAAGCTTATTTTATTTATTTCTCAGCTTTTGTTATTAATTGAAGAAGAAAAGATCATCGACAATTTTTTTTTGACCTTTTCAGTCTTTTTCAACAGAAACATCTCCTATGTATAACTCTATTCTTACTCCATTTTAGAGTTAGTTTAGAATATGGAGTTGAGTTTTACTCCAACCTATTCTTTTTTAACTCTAAAATAGAATCATGATGAAATAAACCTATATGTTACTCTATATTTGGAGTGATTTTATTGATTCTTCCATTTTTGAGTGAGATATGGATTGGGCTGAAGATAATTTTATTTTGAATTCTATTTGGTATGAGATTTAAAGTGGGATTGGAGATATAGTTTAACAAAAAAATAAACTTTGTGCTCAAAGATCTTATTCCTACCCAATTTGTTAACTAAAAAATTTGGGATCCGTTTGCGATTATGGAGAATGAATTAAAAAAAGATACTACAGCGGTTTTTTTCCTTTTTGACGTATAACATGTTTGCAACTTTGCCACGAATATATCGTTCAAAAAACAAAGACCAAACATTTCATTTTAGCTTTAACTTTACGTAATTACTAATCTCCATTCTCCATATACATATGTGTGTCAGTGTTTCTGTTTTGTGGACACAAAAACACATGTGAATCGTAAGTAAACAACAACAACAAAAAAAAAACAGCATATGTGATTATGTGAATCTTTAAGACGCTTTCTTTAGTCACTTTCACGTAATCCCTAAACCAATTTTGGTTGGACCACTGGACCACGGCTTTCGTAAATTAAATGTTTCATTAAATAATTGAATTCTGATTTTCCATGATAATCCTTCTAAAGTTATATACTGTATAGGTAATCCTAAAAACGACCATAGAGTTTACATTAGATATCAATTAAATTTTTGATTTGCATCTTTAACAATGTTTGGTCAAATTTGGTCGACACCAATATCCAATGATTTTTGAAGTGTATTGTTACTTTTTAGTGTTCGGTGGCTTCAAAAGTTGTTGAGATTTGATGCTTATCTGAAAAATGGGTGGAAATATTGAAACAAAAAACTCAAAAAAGAATGACGTAAGAAAAACTTAAAAAGAATGATGGGCCAGTTACGAAATTTCTTAACTATGATGCTTCATTAATTAGTCCAAACTCGTTTGCCCAACCAAAAAGAAAGAAAGTCAAATATTCCATAAAGTTCTTCTATCTATTCAGAAGGTTGACAAATACCTTTATAACTTGCGTCCACCATCCATATATTATCATGCAGTACATATACATTTATATGGTTAACAAAGAAGCAAATGTGTATCTTTTAATTTTTAGATATGCCTTTCTTTCTTTTTTGGGTCGAATTGGATATATATCAATATACCTAATAGACATTATATAGACCTATACACCCCAATGCATGGATTTTGTTTGAGTATATCGGTATACAACTTGTTTATATTACCTTCTACGTTTAATCAGAATGGAGAAAAAAACATAAACGTATAGTCATTCTTAAGATTTGTCAACCATACAGAAGCATACAACCGGCATGCCCCCTCAAATTTATGCCCTTCTCTTCTCTAGATCTTTTTTTTTTCTTTTTTCTTATTGTCATTTCTTAAAACATAAACTTACGTCTTTCCATTATTGTTTATTACGTTTTATATTTAATTAGAAGATATGAGAGACTAACATGCGACCTGCATGAGCCTTCTTTCTACGTATTATAATAAACACAATATTTTCCCCACTTCATGCTATTCTGTTAAGCTAAATTTCATCATAATTCAATAAATAAATAATCAAACTCACTTGCTCAACCCTTTTTTGATAATCTTGTTTCAAGTTTTTAAAGTTTCTCTTTATAAAGATTCTCACACACTATTTACACATCTTAGAGAGATGTCGATCTCCGGAGCTCTGCTTAGTGGGATGAGTTCTTCGTTATTCATCAGCGGAGGCAAGAAAAGCGGCGTAGGCGGAGGAGCTATGATAGTTGGCCGGAAGAATGTGAACTTTGCACCTCGGCGTAAGAATTTGTGGGTCCCAACCGCCGTGAAAGATGATGGCAATTCAAAGAACGACCCCAAATGGCTCGACGATGCCTCGTAAGTCTACTTGTTGGGATTATACTTGAGATCGACATGAATCAAAACTCTCATATGATTTCTTATTAAAAATTTCACATGTTGGAATTTATTTTCTAAATATTTACTCATTTTGTTCATTGTAATCATTTTGTAATTTGCCACACAAAAAAAAAATAAAATAAAGACAGAAAGCTGCCGAGTTCGTGAAGGAAAAGGGAAGTGAAGTAGGAAACATGTCTGCTCAAAAAGGACAAGAAGTAAAAGATCACATGGAGAGAGCAAGAAACTACTTTGTTGAGAAAGCTGGTGAAGCGATGGACACAGTCGCTGAAAATGCTAAGAGAGCTTCGGAGTTTGTGACTGAGAAAGGCAAAGAAACGAAGAAAGAAACTGTTTCAATGACGGAGAAAACCAAAGACTTCATTGTTGAAAAAGCCGGTGAAGCCAGAGATTCGGCAAAGGATATGAGCAACAAAACGGGTAAGTTCGTTGGAGATAAAGCAACGGATGCAAAAGAAGCGATATCGCCTCCGAAAAATGAAGTATAAATTGTGAGGGTTATGACTGAGTATATTTAATTTGGAGCCTTAAACAAATAACGAAATTGAGGCAATAATATGAAATCATATGATATCTTCTATGTTGTGAGAATAAATTGATACAAATATTGACTTATTGAACTGTCATATTCAGTGGTTAATCATTCAAATGCAATTCCTTAGTTATGAATTATGATATATTTACAAACTTTACGGTCTATACCATATTATAAGCTAAAGAAAGACAATGGTTGTTTCAGCTTTCAATCTTGCTAAAATGCAGACGTTTCTAATCAACCAGACCACCGTAAATTTGGAGACTAAACCGAATATATTTTAATATTTTATAAAAAATTAATTTTTGTGAATAACATTATGTGACTTCAAAATATAAGTGTATCATTGAAAGTGTATGAGATGCATTCTGAAAACATTTCAACAACGCCAAAAAGAATGTTGTTTTAAAGGACATGCATGCATGTATTTAAGCACGAAAACATATATTTATTTTGTTATTATTAAGTGAGAGGTATATTAAGAGAGAGTAGAATTGAAGAAAGAAGAGAATGAGCGAGTAACATGCGGCCGGCATGGTCCCTCCTTGTACGCATTTCTCTTTCACCCAAAACATATTTGACTTTCTAAACAGCATGCTAATTCCCCCTTCTTTTTTCTATTCCATTAGAACCTTTTTTTTAATAGAAATAAAGTCACTAATCAAACTCAACTAGTGTTTTCCTATACCTAATCGATTTCTTAAAATTAAGTTTATTGGAGGCATGTCAACGCGACTTGTGTGCGGCGGATTATGAAATCTCTCGTTCATCCAAATTAATTTTTACATACAAATTATGTTCAGTTTAATTTTCCTGATTTTGGAATACATAATATGAATTACTATAATTTGATATAATTACTGAAGGATCAATCGAAGTTCATATATACAACAATTGATTTATACATTCTCTTTATGTGTTGTTCACAGATTTACAATTGCACAAGTCACAATGGTTAAAAGTTGAAGACTTGCTAATGTATGTAAAGATTAATGGAACATCCACGAAAATTTAATGGAAATTTAGTGTGATATGTGAAACATTTTTCCTTAGATTCTGGTCCTTGTTAAGTGCGTAAGTGTTCATGTTCTTTATTTTGCCGTTATGGTTGGATTCCACTCAATTCTAAACATCCAAAATCTTTGGAGTGTAATAACACATGATATATATTCGGGCAATTCAAGAAAACCGGGAAAAGAGTTAATAACAAATCAACTATATTAAAAACAAATAATCAGTATTAGGATATTAAGGAAAACAATCTCGTAACTATTGGGATGGTTCTTAAGCTTTTGATTTATGATTTTAAGATTCAAATATATTAATATTGATAGTTGAATGATCATATTTTATCTTTTGTTTTTCAAAACTTACAAAATCATAAAAATCTAAAGTTTGTTGTAGTTTGGGATTTTTTCACATTGGTGATATTTTTAGCTAGAGTTTTATTTTGTGTATATAGTTTTAAGGTAACTTCTTCTTTTTTGACAAACTTGTTTTAAGGTATTTCTCATCTTTACAAAACCATATTCTAAAAAAGAGCTTCAAAGAATTTTGTTAAACTTTCACCCGAATGAGATAGTTTTTCAAACTAAAATTTGTTGGATCTAACTAGGGTTAAACAAAAAGATATTTGTTTTCAATATCGGAGAAGTTGATGTGAGTGATGATGTTTCTATATATAATCTGCAGAGATATTTTACCAAGTTCCCCTTCTATGCTTAAAAAAATAATAAATTAATTTCATAATTACAATATCTGTTTCCATTGAATTACAAGTTAATTTTTGACTTCCATAAGGGTTATTATTTGGCCTCTTAAAGTAGGAGGCAGAAAAATCTATCCCTCTTTTTAGCTTAATTAATACTACCAGATTTTTTTTTTAATGAAAAGTAGTACTAGTTGACAACAAAAGTAATTGTAATTCAATTAATTGATGTGTATTTATGATATATCTATATCAGTTGGGGTTTTCTATTGTTCCTATAGTCAATTGCCATTCAAATTCAATTTATTATTGTTCCATAATTTGAAATGTAATTGGTCAAAAATTCATCAATTTGTTGCTAATAATCCAAAAATACTGTCTGTAATTTACTACCTAATTAAGAGAAAATCTCCTAAAACCGGAATAGTTCAAATGATTGTAATTAACTTACCCAATAAAAGAGGAATCTCATTAAACCGGTGACCGGCCAAATCTATCGTGAAAGCGAAGGGCGGCTGCTAAGATGCGCCAAGTGTATTTATGAGTAGACTCCTCCTCAAATCCTCATCACAATCACAAGATTTTAACAAATTTATATTTTTTTGGACTCTTTCTTTGCAGGTTTTGAGGAGAATCGTGTCGGCTGAATTTGTGTCAGACTCAGCATAGTGTGAGTAAAAATTATTTTTCCCCATTGGATCTCACTCGTTTTTTTCCCCAATTCTTATTTATTTATAATTGTTTTTTTTTTCTGTCTTCTGTATATATAAATTAACAACTTTCTTGTGATGTTTCTCTCTGGCAATTGAATTTTGCTACTCTTCTTCTTCTTCTTCCAGATTGTACATCAAGGGAGAAATCAATTTTCCCTTTTTGATTTATTCTTCTTACCGGCGCGAAGATCTTTACACTAATCACGAAACAATTGAAAAAATGGGTTCGTTACTATTCTCTGTTTTAGTTCTTCTCTAATTCGATTTCAGTTTGATGATTGATTGATCCAAATATGTCTGATGATTAGTTTCCGAAACTGGGTTTTGGTCAATTTTAGGTCTTTTTTAGTCTTGCTTTGTTTGTAATCGTTTTAGGTTTAGTCTCTGCTTCTTTTTCAGGGTTTTCGTTTAGATTTCTTCCCAATTATATGTCTCCTTCAATTATTTGATTGAATCTGTTGGGTTTTGGATTTATGTTTATATTAGTTTAATTTTTTTTCTTTTTCCAGATGTTTGCTTGAGCTATTCGTATCAAATGGATGATGAGATTGCAAAGTTCATCAAAAGAGTAAATCCGCCAAGGTATTGACTAGCTTCGAATTGCTGTTCTGTTCTTCCATTGTTTCGATCTATCTTCAAATCAAACTGAGTTTAATTTGATTATAATCATTTAGGGTTTCGATTGATAACGACGTCTGCAAGAATGTAACTGTCATTAAGGTACCTTTTAAATTTGCTCTGAGATTGAATTTTCACGGGATTAGGTTTGATTTAGTTGAAAAAGAGAAGTAAGTGAACATTTTGATTTGTTTTGTTAGGTGGATAGTGCCAATAAACATGGGATTCTTCTGGAAGTTGTTCAAGTATTAACTGATCTAAATCTCACCATTAAGAAAGCTTACATCTCCTCTGATGGTGGCTGGTTCATGGATGTTTTCAATGTTACTGATCAAGATGGGAACAAAGTCACCGATGAGATCGTTCTTGAATATATCCGCAAAGTAAGTAAAAAGTTATGAAAGCTCTTGTTTCATATTCAATTTCGATTAGTTTTGATGTTATGATTCTTAACTCTTTGTGGTGTGATTGTTTGCAGTCACTTGGCCCTGACGAGTCTTCTTGCTTCAGTCCATCAATGAGATCATCCATTGGTGTTAAACAATCCGTCGACTTCACTGTGATTGAGCTTACAGGAACTGATAGGCCCGGTTTGTTGTCTGAGCTATGCGCTGTTCTAATGGACCTTCAATGCAATGTGGTAAACGCTGAAATCTGGACGCATAGAGCAAAAGCAGCAGCGGTTTTACAAGTAACCGATGAAGAGACCTGCTCTGCAGTCACTGATCCAGAGAGGTTATCCAAAATCAGGAAACTTCTTGGTTATGTGCTTACAGGAGGAAACAGAAGATCCCGTGAACCCAAAACAACGGTTTCTTCTCCTCTCAACGAGACTTACACAGATCGTAAGCTTCATCAGTTGATGTTTGCGGATAGAGATTACGACGAGTGGGAGAATAACGTTGATGATGAGGATAAAAGTGGGAGAGTAGTTCCAGATGTGGATGTCTCTAATTTGCATGATTTGGATTACTCGATTGTGATGATCAAATGTAAAGATAGACCAAAGCTTCTCTTTGATACAGTCTTCACTTTGACGGATATGAAATATGTGGTTTCACATGCCAGTATCGATGCTGAAGGCCCTGAAGCTTATCAGGTATTATTACACACATTAGGCTCTTCTGCAAAATTTTCTTCATCTTATGCTCATGACTTGATGATCCTAAATACTCTGGCTTTTTCAGGAATACTACATAAGACATGCGGATGGATCTCCTGTCAAATCCGAGGCAGAAAGACAGCGAGTGATCAAATGTCTGAAAGCAGCTATTCAAAGAAGAGTCTCTGAGGTAAATATTGTTGTGATTTGCTTGAAGAAGAATCATAAGAATGTTGTGTGTTGTTTGTGCCTTAACATTTTGGTTCTTGTTTTTATGTTTTAGGGATTGAAGCTTGAGCTTTGCACTTCAGATAGAGTCGGGTTACTCTCGGATGTGACTCGGATTTTCCGCGAGAACAGTCTTACGGTTACAAGAGCTGAAGTGAAAACAAAAGGAGGCAAAGCTCTCAACACATTCTATGTGAGGGATGCTTCTGGTTACCAAGTTGATGCTAAGACCATAGAATCAATTAGACAAGTCATTGGTCAGACAATACTTCAAGTGAAAGGCGGAAACACAGACCCAAAACCGAGTTCTCAAGAATCCCCGACGGGATTTCTCTTTGGGGTTTTCAAGTCGAGATCTTTCGTCAACTTCGGGTTGATCAGATCTTAAATTCTTGAAGTGTTCCCCTATCTGTAAATGGCAGTAGTACATTGTGTGGATAGGTAGAAGAAGCTGCTTTAGGATACTTATAGGGTTTTATAATAGATTCTTGTGTAGAATTTGGGTTTTAACATTTGTTAATGTGTATATAAAATTGGATTTTTCTTCATTTGGTTGTGGCCAAATCATTTTCGATCATTTTCCATAATCGCTGGTTTTGGTAAATCTCATAAGATTTGCTTTTGACTGGCACTGCTAAAACATCATTTTCTGAAAGCGATAGATTTTTTAGTACTGCTCTTAATTAGTAAACAAATGTAGTGATATTAAACAGAAAGAAAAAACATTATATTATGGTATGGATGCAAATTTAAAAGGCTGGTTTTAACAAAAAGTCAAAACGAAAATAGGGTCATGATCCTTGTTGATTGGTTTGCCAGACCTTTGACCATGACAGTTGCCACGTGTCTCTCGTTGCATCCACAACTTTTTCTTCTTATGAAATTGAATTGAGAAAAACTTGCACCCACGAGCTTACGTATTTTAATAGTTTTTTTTTTTTTATGTTGTGAAATGTATTTGCTGCCTTCACGATCCTTAAAATCCATTTTGGACGGCCATATTCATTTCGTTTTTCCTCTGAAATAATGCCATAATGTTCCACTGCCCCCCAACAAATCCTAAAAGACATGTTTACAAAAAAGAAAGATCCTAGAAGACATAAAATCTTTAATGGACTCTACAGGCTGAGCTAGACATACAGAGGAAAGACAAAAAAGAAAGAAAGAATAACAAACCCAAATAAAGCCTGAAAGAACGATACCAAAAAAAAAGAGGAACTAAACAGAGTAAAATCCAAAAGAGACAAAGGATCAATTACATGAGGATGCCAATAGGCAATAGGCCAATAGTGATACATGTATGTCAATTATCAGGATAATCTAGATTTGATAAATAGAATACTAGGGTATGGGTCTATTCTCTACATATACAGAAATGTTTCATTACATTATATCAGTTAGAATTAGTAAATGGCTAAATGTTACGATATGGTAGATCATGTTTTTACTAATCACATTATTGATATATTACTTCAGTTAATATTTAAGAAAACTATATAATGATAAAATTAAGAAAAATAATATGGCTAAAAGTCATTTTGCAGGTTTTTTTTATAAAAAAAATTCATTTAATATTTGCCGGAATATCACCACACTTACATTTGTTATCATTTGTGTCAGTTGGAGGACAAACAAATTATCAGATGAAGTTATTAGTAGAGTTTGTTTTATGTATGGTTCATACTTTTTGTATTTGCAAATTTAAAATAAAGATTTTTACGTGTGAATAAGAAGAAGAATCGTACGTTAAAGACTTAAAGCATTTAGTGTTGGCCAGATAGAATATACATAGCTTTATTAGACCATATTATCGCAGGATTTAGGATGGTTTCTTAGTCCAAAAAAACAATAAAATATTGATTAAAGCCCAAATTTATTAGAAAACGATTCTTATTTGGGACCATCAAGGATCGAATATTGTTCAGATCTTTTGTCACAACCAGATCTAAACACTTGTAAATTAAAGCTGGTCCGATAGACCAAGAAATAATCTGATCATTAAGCTACGCAACATGATTCGTCTACCATAAATTATATATACAAAGATGCAGTTAACCATCTAGGTGGATACAATTTTGAATAGTAGAAAATTGAATTATATATATAATATATATACATGGTGATAAAAACAAAAAAAATAGTAAAATTAGCTAAAAATATGCAAACACATGTTTTTAGGTCCCATTAGTGAAATCTTGATAGATTCTTGAAATTGCACAGAGACTCTCTCTCACATCACATGGAACAAAACTAAAGGAAACACTCCCGTAATCACATGCAAATATAATAAATTCATTTACTTTGGAGATAATAGCTTAGGTCAAATACGTATAGATACGTTTCAATCCCCATTACAAAAAAAAAATGAAAATTATATGTTCATATTCTTTCCTAGAAATCCCAATCGACTCCCAATGGTGCCATTAAATTCCAATACACAACGTAATTAAGATCTCGTCCTAGTGAATTGAATTGAGATTTTAATTATTCATCTAATGCATCGTTTGGCATCACATCTACAACTATAAAAGTCAGACGGATCTCATCATCTCCAAAGAGAAACTAGAAAGTATATCTCAAAATTGTGATTATCTATCATCAAAATGAGCGACAACAACAGTAACGTTAACAAGGGAGAAGATAAATCAAATCTTGGGACTGCCATGGCCGTCCTAGGTGGTATCGTTGCTATTGCCGGATTATTCTCCGGTGTGTGCTCGGGACCAGACAAGAAGACGATGAAGGCTCCCGGAAGAGATGCTCGAATTTTCAGGGATGCTTTCGAAAGCGATCCGAAAGGGTATTTCCGGAATCTGCGTAACAAATAATTTTTAAGTATCTGGGACTAATTCTTCCTAGCTTCTATTATATGCTTCGATAATAAGAAATAAGGGAATAAAAATAGCTAGGTTGCGCATGATATGTCATGTGTACCATGTTATGATCGTTATCTTGATATAAATATTTCTGTTTTACTCATTGTTTTTATATATTCATCGATTGTATCTTACTAAGATATACTATTGAATGTCGAATGACCAGCGAAATAAAACACGAACTTGGCCTTTCTTTGCATCAATATGAGCGATCAATAAAACCAGAAGTTTACTTGTGAAGATTAATTTGAAAATTCGATCAACGGAATATAATATAAAAAATAAACTAGATGTTACATTTTGATTACTTATCCACCTGAAGTCATCTTACACGGAAAACAAATAAAAATGTTACTAGATGTATTCACTTAATTAACAATGTTGATTTACATGGTAGTTATCGATAATGGTGGATTTGGTAACAATATATTTGGAATTTGGCAAAAATATGTACACCCAAACGATCGAAAGCATTCGAAACAGAAGGCATAAGGCAAGTTTACGAGTTCCTCAAGAACTATCAATAATATTGAGTACACTAGCTTGTACTTGAGTTAACATGGATATTTAGAAGAGAGAGTGACTAAAACTAAAACTAGAAAGAGATGTGACGAAGATAAATGAATCGCGTAATCAAGTCCTCACTCCTCACAAACTCCTCTGTTTTGATAGAGTCTAAGTGTCTAACATCCTCGCTTTCTAGCTATCTCCCGAGTTTCTCCGTATTACAAATATGCTGGTCTCTTCTTCAACAATATACTCTAATTATTTGGCTATCTCCGTAAACAATTTGACAACCTCTCAATAGTAAACCGAAGCTAAACCAACCTCATGAACTTCACAGAACATCATAAGTTACTCAATATCATTAAAAACTTATTAATCATTTACAAGTCATTTTAATGTTAAATGAGAAAAAAAAAACCCAAATTAATTTAGGATGTGGCCAATGTTTGTTCCAAAAAAAACTGATATGACATTTGACCATTAGAAAAACAACCATTCAATTTTCCACGACGTCTCGTCTTCTCTGAAAAGAGTACTCAAGAGTCTCTCTGAAGTTTACTTAGGACACAAACTCAATCTTGACCTCACCTTGTTTTTTGCTCCCCATAAATTTTAGTATTCCACACAACACAATACAACAATTGTATAAATATATATGTGTGTGTGTGTGTATCAGTATCACATAACTCTGTTTAACCACATAAAAAGAAGAAGAATAAAGAAGATAAGAAATCAGATGGGTCTCATAAGTATGATCGTCCTGTGTATTCTCGCACTAATTGGCATCACTTCTGTCACCGGTGGTTTTACAATAATAGCCGCCGTTACAACGACAGCCGTTACCGTTGGAGCCGTCACCAAAGCATTTGTTTTCCGATTTCATCTCGGCCGTGGAGAAGGAAATGATGGAATGATGGCAATTGGTAAATAATCTCGACATGCATGCGTGAACTTATGTTGAAGTATTCTACTATTGTATTACTTCGACTCTATATTCTATGATCAAATCAGAATAATAAAAATAATACCAAATTCTTATACCGTGACTTTGTGCTCTGCTTGTAATTCTTTGCTTACAATTTAATTTTACTATGTTATATTTTGAGATACCTTACAGCTAAAAGAAAGCGAGATACCTTACAGCTAAAAGCCAGATATATATTAACAATGCCATAAACACATGTATTAAAAGAAAAGATTAATGTCGAAAAGTTTTTAAAAAAAAATAAGACTATAGGATCAAATATCAATGAGGCCTGGTTTTATTTCCGACGTTTCGTGGTCGTCAAGTAACATCGATTGCGAGTTACAGAAGAGAAAATTTGATAACACAAAAGGGACCTAGTCATTTTGAGTTTGGCATATAAAAAGTATGTTTATCAATTCATTTCAAACTCATTAAATTTCAATTATAATTTATAAATTCGCTTTATGAATTCAATCTAGAAACTAAAATTAAATATCTAACTATTAGTATTAATTTATATACCGCTGGAGTATTAATAAAGTATATTTTTAATTTCAATTTACCGTCGAAGGATTTCTTACATTTATTTATATATCAATATATTAACTTAAATAAGTTCATACATTAATCAAACATAATTATTTAACCCAAAAAAATCTTTTAAAAATTATTATAAAAATTTCAAGCATTCTTAAAACCAGTCTGAACGTCACTCGTAAACAGTGTGTATATATCTTAATTAGGTATTGCAGACATTAGACGTTGAATCATCAACCCTTTAACTTCTTTTTTTGATTATTGTAAAATAGTAGCATATCAAATTCCCACGTCTCTTTAAAAGATTAACTAGTTACTACGTCTCTTTAAGAGTCTCTTGCTAGAAATAGAATCCCACCAGAATCATCAAATTACGATTCAAACATTCTTCTTCTCCTTTCAAAGACGATTCAAACATTTAAAGCGATATCTCCTCCTTATCTTGTAAAATGTAGTGAACTCAAATTTCGAACCCTAATAAAAGAAAATTAATCTCGCATTCAACTACTCCATAAATCACATGAACGAACTATTTTTTCATAGGAAAAGAAAAGAAGAAGAAGATAAATTTCTCCAAGAAAGATAAACAAGATGGGCTTTCTAGGTTTTGTTTGTACGGCAGTAAGCGTCTGTACTGCAGTAGTGACCACCGTAATTACTGCAGCAACTGTCGTCGATGCTGCACTAGAAGATCAGAAAATGAAAGATCATCTCCAAACCGAAGAAGATTTTGGTAAGGGCGACTGATGAGTAATGCTTGCTTTAGTTATATTCTAATAAATCTTTGTTCCTTTCATAATTTTATTCAATTATAATAATTGAAATTTGAATAATGATAATTTGTTTTTGGATAGATGTCTCATCGTTGTGTTAATTGTTAAATTAGTCATCTCTCTCTCTCTTACTCTCTCTCGTTGGTCCATTTCGAAGTTTGTGAACTCTTTTTGTTGGAGTGACATTGTTGAACTATACTGACGCCCAATGACACATATGCATATTCTTCATATAAAGTGTATTTTGTTTATTGAGTGTAAATATATAGTAGTTTCGGTTGAACAAAAACTCCGATACCGCGATATATCATTCAAGCTTAACTCATGGATTTGGCGTAAATTAAAAAAAAAAAAAAAATACAATTTCTATAACAAATCTTCCTTGACAATCGCAATTAAACGTTTTTCCACAGAAGCTAGGTTGTCTTATTTGATGTTTTAGGAAATTTTTTTTGTTCAGAATTATTTGATGTTTTCACTTTTCAATGTAAAATTTAATGAATTTTTATTATTTTAACTTTTGATATTCTGTAGATTATTTTCTTATTGGCTGAATGATATTTAAATAAATTATAAATAATTTTTTTTAGTGTAGAAAAAATAAAAACTAAATGCATCATTAATCTGTGTGTAAAATTCTTAAACATTAACTAATTCTGAACAGAAGGAGTATCAAAATTAGCTGATCTTCACAAGAGCAAACACAAATAAAATCAAAGTCTTTACAGTTTTTTCTTCTTTTTAAAAGCAGTCGTACATGATAGAGACCAATCATATCCATAAACATATATCAGAAAGAGGAAAAAAAACGAAGTAATTTTCCATTAACAAAAGAAAAAAGAAAAGAAAAATAAATATTTTGATTTAAGAGGTGTGATCATAATACTAGGCCAAAAGCCAAAAATCTTTGTGACGTTTCGTGGTGATCAAGTAACCTCCATTGTTGCTTTTCTTCCTTACGGCAATAGCCATGCAATCTGAGTTATGAATACAATACTCAACCACTCCTCCTCCCATTCCTCCCTTCGCACGCCATTTCCATATCACTCGCCACTTCGATGTTCTTTTCCTCTGCCCTAAAACCAAAACTCCTGCTCCTTGCTTCTTTGATTCCTCCACTATCGTCTTCCCTTTCTCCTCCGCCGTTTCAACCACCACTATTTCCGTCTTTACCTGTAAATTAAACCACAGATATCAAAAAAGAGAAGAGTTTATTGAATCTAATGATCAGTTTCTGTTATTTATAATGTAAAGATAAGCTTACATTAGGTTTCTTGAGCTGACAAAAGTTCTTCAACGGATGGACTTGTTCATGAGCCCTTGAATTTCTTTCCCTTTGTGTCTCATCTATAGCTATATCATAACAAACACTTTAGTTAATGGAGACTCAAGGTTGAGATGTCAATTGTGCCACTCCGATCTAGGCCAATGGTTTTCCGGGCTATGGCCTATGGCTATAATAAGTATAAGGCTAAGTCGAGTCCGAAATTCCGAAGCCAGAAGCAAACAAAATTAAACCGAAGAAAGAACTAAAAACTAAATTTCTGACCAAATAAAATAATTCTAGTTCAAGAAAGACCTAAAATATATAACTTAGCTTTGTCTTCTTTTCTAGTTAACTCCTTTAACTCAAGGTTCTATCTATAAAAAAAATTTCCTGATTCCAACACGGACCAAAGTAACTTATGGTTGGAAGTTCTAATCACAAAAAAATAAACCATTTTCCCCGTTTTAATACAATTTTTTGTTTGAAAAATTTCAGATGAATTAAAAATATATCAGTATGAAAAGTTAAATTATTTTTATTATGGAAAATTAGATATTTATTAAGTTACATCAAAATATCAAACATGTCCGCTGACAAACATTCATTGAGCCCAAGATAAGCGCATAACAACATCTGAGGCCCGCTAAGCCTAAAACCCAAAAGAATCGGTCCCTGTTTTTTTCCAGGCAAGATAGAATATGGTTTCGATTTATATAATTAAAAGGGTAAAAACATACCTTGTCCTATGGGTGTCTTTGTGACGTGGAGGAGAGTGATATTGTCTTCATCTTGAACACAATGTGTTAATGCCCACTGAAGTGCGTTCTTTGATTGTGAAGTTGTGTCCACAACAACCATCACTTTCCTCCCACTCTCAGCTTGAGAAGCTCCTCCTCCTTCACCGTTCTTATTGCTTTCCTCTGTTTTCAGATTCTTACTATGCTTCGAATCGTTCTTTCTTGAACCAGAAGCACTTCCTTCATCTAATGATTTGCTAGACGATGATCCTCCTTTGAATGATGTCCTAATCTTATTCACCCAATACCCAGCTGGTTTGCCCATTTTGAAATACTTCTCTCTCTCTCTTTCTCTCTCTGTTTCTTGTTTTCTCCACTGTTCTTGAGGAGTTTTTTTCTTGTGTTTTAAATACTGTTCTGTTTGTTTGGTTTTGGTTGGAGCCATTTCTTGAACGTGCTTGCCATGAAAATAAACAACAACCTCTTTTGGACTTGTTCAAATCTAAACCAACCTGGAAAATTCTCATTATTTTATATGTTTTTAAATATTATTTATCAGTCGGTTTAATAATCCACATCACAATCCTGATACAAATGCAGAGCACTACTTGTTTGAGGATCCAATTCTTGGGCATGTTCTAATCCGAAGAATATTGTCATAATAAAACAAAAAGAAGCTCCCACAAATTTTTATATGTAAAGGAAGCTCAAAAATAATGTTATGTTCCAGGAACAACAAAAACAAAATAATAATCTGGGGGTATGAGACACTACAGGCCTACAGCCCTTGATTATATAACAGAGTTTGTAATCATGAACTATGCTTCTCTTACAAAAATCAAATCACAAAAGCATTGATCTTTGATCTATAAAACACACATATGTATGCATATATATGTATTATTATTGTTTCAGACCATCCACCCAGGGAAGAATCCATTAATAACATTCTGTGATGTTGTTGCAGAATTGCTTGCATTTGTCACAGCTGAATTGTAATGACTGTTCGAAAAAGAAAAAGAATCACAAATTAAGGATTTGACCATAGAAGATAATCAATTTAGTGGGTCTTAATTACTTCTCTATATGATGATTACCTCATCTGCAATGCTACATTGCCTTGCAAAGGCTTGAAGAAACCCGCTTCTTGACTCGGAGGGTTTGCTTGATAAGAGCTCATGCCTTGTTGTTGCTGTTGCTGTTGCTGTTGCTGTTGCTGTTGCTGTTGCTGTTGTTGCTGGGAATGTTCTGCGCCAGAAGTATCTCCCCATAGTGATTCAGTAAGAGCTGCATCGCTTTCTTCCAACTGAGAGAGAAGTAGAGAGAACAATTTTATAAGATACTCAATAGGGAATCGATTTCTTGCGCTAGAAGATTTTGCTGGCATTACCTTTCTCCTAAGATCTCTGTTGGTTTCCAATAACATTTCCTCCTGTAAATTGATGAACATGAGATTGTGTTGTATCAAGATTAATGGACGCGTTGTGACTCTTTATGTACCTTTGTTTTGAGGTCAGATAGCTGATCAAGCATAGACCGAGCCTGGCAATGAAAAACAAAGCCAAGATTTTTTGCTGTTCTAAATGCTCTTAGGACCAAAGAATCGAAGAAAAACTTGTTGGTTTCTTGAGATTTTATATACCTTGGTGGATCTTATTTGTCTTAGTGACGCATCTACTTGGCGTTCTAGCTGCTCGAGCTCATTCACTCCCATTCCGGTTATCTCTTCGCCTAGCAAATGCCTAGAGAGAAGCAAACTCCTCAAGAGTAAGGTAAATGGAGTAAGCATTTACTTTTCAATATGTGTTATGAATCAGGCTATGTACCGTTGTGAATGTTGAAGGATCTCAACTCTTGATTTGAGCTTCAAGTAGTCTTGGTACTTCTCCTGCAATTAAGAGATAATTAATTAAAAACAGTTTTATAACTTTGAGGTCTCAGTCTTTGACAATTCATAGAGAGAGAAAGATGTACCTGCAAGTCTTTAGCTGATTGATTTGGATCCATTGTTGCATAACTATGTTTTCTATACTTTTCAACCGTCTTCGCCATACCACTAATTCATACAAACAGATGATCATTGGATTTTTAACATATATTGATCAATCCAAATTTTTAATTTCATTTCAGAGATATATCAAAGGGTAAACAAAAACCCTTTAAAAGAATGTAAAAATCTCCATGTTAAAAACAAATAACACCAACATCGGTATCAATCTCATGATGGGTTTGCAAGGAAAATGTTTATTCAATTACTCCAAAAAAAGAAAAAAATAAAAAATTTGAAATTGAGTATCATCATACTTGTATCTTTTACTTTAATAGGATTATAAGTACTTGAAAGATACTAACTTAAAGAAGTAGTCAAAGTATTTGTGTTTCTTTACAGCTTTGATTATATCCATAGGTTAATCCTTTGTCTCTTTGGAAATTAGGATCAACCCTTTGGAAAACAACATCAACAAGACTCAATCTCATGTGTAAAAGCTTTCACTATAAATATTTAATATACATAGCTTCTATACACAAATCTCATGTACTTTTCTATTGAAAGTGTCTAGCTTTAATCATCATCTAGACCATCTAAGAACCTCATGACATGATCATCTTTTTGTAAAATTAATCTCACTCTAGGAGCCAGATTCGTGCATAATAAAAACCCAGAACTCGCAAATGATAAAAATCATAATCATCTAATTCTAACAAAATCAAGAAAGACCCAAACTTTCATTCATACCCTCCAGAATCCTTAAGAACCAAAACCCTAAAAGTCTGAAAATGAGAGGATAAAAATAGAAACTTTAGTGGAGATGAGAATCAAAGATTAAAGATTGTGTTACCTAGGGCTGCTGCAGAACTCGTAGAGCTTGCCACGGTTAGAGAAAATAAGAAGAGCAATCTCAGCATCACAAAGCACAGAAAGCTCATAAGCCTTCTTAAGCAAACCATTCCTTCTCTTTGCAAAAGTAACTTGCCTGTTGATCTTGTTCTCTATCCTCTTCAGCTCCACTTTCCCTCTTCCCATCCTCTCTTCTCTCTTCTCTCTCTCACCAAGAAACCAAAACCCAACAGAAAAGTATCCTGCTTTCTACCCCTAAAGGCACAAGTACTGATGAATTAAAGAAGCTTTATATACACACATATATAAAGTGTATATATAAGTGAAATGTGTAGAGTGTAGATCTTGTCCTAATAAAAGGATCCTGGTTCTAAATCTAGGGCATGAATTGGTTTCCTCTCCTGTCCGGTGACTTCGTGGTGGTGGACGAGGTGGTGTTAGTGGTGGTTGTGGTTGTCGTGGTGGTGGGCCACGGTGTTCAGGTTCTTCTTTTGTTGGAATGTTATAAAAGAATAGCTTTGTGTTTATTTTTGCAAGTGCTAAGCCATTCTTGGCCAAATAAAAGCTTCCAAACTTATATCCACACTCATAAACTTTCCTTTTTAAAAAAAGAAAATAGAAAAAAAAATCAGAAATTAATTCTAAAAGCATATTTCTTGTTTATGTCATATATATATGTATATTGGATTTAGGCTATACGTACCACATTATTTTATTCTTACTTTATCAGAGAATATATATATATATATATTATTTTCTACATCATTTTTTTTTGCGGAAAATAAAAATTGATTCCTAGTACTTTTCCAAGGAGAGTTAAGATATCTATCTCTCTCTCTCGTCCAACCAAAATGCTCCAACTTTTCTCTTTCACCCTCCTCCACTGGATCCTTAGATAAATAAATTTCTGCCATATATGTATATATAGATTGCTTTCTTTCATCAGATCTATTCCCTAGTTTACTATTATGCTCAAAAAAAGAAATAAGAAAAAGATTCTATATATAACCTACAAAATATGCCTTAAATAGAGTATATTCACAAGTCCAAGTCTTGTCTATTAGTATTTCATTATATGGTTATATATCGTTCATGAAATGAAAGAAAGAAATAAAATTTAAGGGGGTTTTTTCCAGGTATTGACACGTTTGGATTATGAAAAGAACACTATAATGTAAACATATTGTGCGTGTTTGTGAATAAAAGTGAGAAAATGATAAGCTTCTAAAGATATGTTTTTTGTTTTGCCCTATCTTGCCGACAGGTTCTTTCATATGAGAGCTACTTCACGATCGTTTAAATGCATAAAACGGATCTACTACTTACAAACAAATTATGTAAAATTGAAATGGTTAGTCTGATATAGTACGTACTATCATCAAAAAAAAAAACTGATATAGTACTATTTAGTATATAGTATCAAAATTTTCTTTATTTTATTATTTTTATCTTCTCTTATCATTTGGAAGGGGTTAACGTCTCATGTGGTTTGTATAAATATCTTCTACAATATATATATATGGTTTGTTTTTGTTTTTCAGGTTTCTAAACATTTAGTCAAGATCTTGTTCAATATTATAAATCACTCCAACCACGTGATAAGGTTTTAGTTACCAAAAAAAAAATGTTGTTAGCAAACTTATATATAACAGATTTATAAGAATATACGTAATCTAAAGATTAGAGAATTTCGTGTGTAGTTTCCCTTCTCAAAAGAGGTCAATTTATTTGATTATGTCCAATCAAAACTGTTAACCGAATTTCATTAAATAATGTATAGAATATTAGATTTTGTATGCTCAGTAAATCATTTTTTTTTTGGCTAAACATATGCTCAATACACATGTATATAAATGACTCAAAGTAGATGCTTGAAACAAAAACTAACATTTGTTCTGATTTATCTTGGCAAGAAAAAGGAAAACAAAAGAGAATTTCTTATGAACAGTTTAGCTCTCAAATCCTAAGACTTTTTCAACTTTTTTCGTAGGATGCTTCTTGTCAGGTTTATACAAATAAGTTTTTCACTTAAAAAAAGTGTTGTAATTATTGGCCATGGTTAATTGTTTTTTTCTCAAGTCTTCTCATATCATCTTATACTATATATCTAACATTCATGGTGATGATGGTTGTTAATTTACCCATGTGATATGTCTCACATTTCTTTATTTTATTACTTTGCTTGCTGACTCATATTTCACTTGGTACCTTGGTTATTTATTCAACCTATACATCAATAGAAATTAGTTTTTGTCCTTTTGTGCTACCTAAATTGCTAATTTTTTAATCTTTATTAATCTTCTTGATGAAAACTTAATGTATATGCATGTCTTATCCATATTATCATGTAAACCTTAGATCCTTATCTTTTACGTACTCGCTATTCTTCACCATTCTTTTATGGTTCCAAGTGGTCACCTAACAATATATAACATATACAAAATGCTTTAGTTAACATCTAAAAAGAATAAATACCAGAGAATACTGGAATGTGATATTTCATCTTTTTATATGGATATAATCTTGCAGATAATTCAGGAACATAGAAATGTAATAGAGAAATGATCTCCAAAATAATAGTTATTATACTAATAATCATTAAAGCTTCACAAATTTAATATGCTGTCACAAAATAACTATTATATATGTATATCTTTCGAGTAGTACCAATTCTATCTTCTTTTGAGAAGATAAACAGATTGTCCCCTGGATCTACCATTATCAGTTTTCTTAGTTATAACATAAACCGTCGGTCCATATAATGTTTTTATTTTATTTTAAAATCAAATATTATAAACACCACGTAATTTTTTAGTCTATAATTAATTTTGATGCTTGCAGGCTTCTTCTATATCTTTAGACTAACAAATTGGAACTAGATTAGACCCCATGATGGGTTAAAACCCTAGCTAGTTACTCCATGGACCATAGGCATTTGAAGTTCTTTAAGATAGACTCTGATTTGGTCTGCAGCTAATGTCAGTTGGAATCTCGTTCAAATATAGTTTATGTTTAAATACTTCTTATTTTCATCAACATATGAAACTTCGCTAAGAAAATATATATTAACGTCTCCGTATACCTGCAGGGCTTGTATGGGAAACAATTTCTTCATTTATTTGTTGTAAACAAAATTTGGTTAATTATAAGAGTGATTTACACTAAAAAGCACTTTTACAACTTCTTCTTATAAAAAAAGCACTTTCAGTTATTAGGAGATTTTTTCTGTACTTTAAACACTGTTCACACCAAAATAATTCGAAATGTGTTCACGAGAACGGTGGATGCAACTTGTAGATACCGAATTAAACTCAATATTTTAAAAACAGTAATTATTTTTCCTCATCTGTTTTGTGCTGTATTTTTCTGTATTTGGAAAGATATAAAACAATTTTTTTATTAGATTGAATTCTAATTTTATTTTGTCATTGTTTTAAAACCCATTATGCTATACTTTCTTTATCAAACAAGAAAATTTTTAAATAACCTTTATAAAAAAAATTAAAACAACAGAAATCTACTTAAATATCCATTCACAAAATACGATGTGGATAATGCATGATGGACATATAATATGGACACGATTGCGTGGATATGTTTTCATTCATATATTCGACGTGGATATACATATTATATTATCCATAACCTATCCACATGATCATGTCCAAATTATGGACAATCTAAAATGTATATCTACATCGAAGAAATGAATGAAAATCTATCCACGTAATAGTGTCTATGTTATATGTTCATCATGCATCATCCACATCATATTTTGTGAATGGATATCTAAGTAGATTTCTGTTTTTTTTGAATTTTTTATAAAAGTTATTTGAAAAGTTTCTTGTTTGATAAATAAAGTATAGCATAATGGATTTTAAAACAATGACAAAATAAAATTAGAATTAATTCTAACAAAAAACTTATGTTATGTTTTCTTTAAAAAAATACCGAAGATATGATTCTTATTCTTGTTCTCCTTAGTAGATGGGGACTTCTGTTAGATAAACACCAATTCAGTGGGTTTATGTTTTTTTAGTCCAGATTAAAGTTCTCTTATCTTGTAAGTATTGAAGTATTAGGTTCAGTGAATAAATTCAGCCAGTATGATGTGTAAAAAGTAAGAACTTGCATTATCACTCATGAATCTCCTAAATCATTTTGCTACTCTATTAAATAAACAATCTAAATCATAATAGTCAATACATACATAGTAGTACTATATTAGAAATTTGAAAACTAGAATTAAGAAAAGGAATACAATTTCTAGAAAAAAGGAACTTTAACCCAGTCCATAATACGAGGTAACACACGAATAGAGTTGCCCAAAAAGTCCTAAGCATTCAATATTGTTTTTTTTTTCTGACAAAAATCTTTATACTTAACATTTAAATTTGTACTTTCGAAAATACTCTTTAGTCTTTCGTTCACTTTTAACAGTAAAATCGTAAGATGAGGGAAGCATAATATATGCAGGCTGAGGTGAGGGACAGAGCTGCTCGTAGGCTACGTGTCGACCACTCATTAGCTCAAAATATCTATTTTCTTTTATTGAACAAAACAGTCATCCGTACATCATGATCACGTGCCTGGACTGACACGTGTCTATATATTACTGCATTTTGGCTAGTCTGGGTTGGCAGGTGTCAATCTGTCAATCATCCTCGCATGGAGTTAGTGACACAGTATTACGGAAGCAATTAATTTATGAGTTTAATTTGTATAATTACATTGAGAGAAATGAAATAAATAAATATGATGAACTTAGCTAAGTTGAAAAAAAGATTGTTAGTGAGGAATAAAAGGTTCAATCTATTCCATTTTTATTTAGTCGAAGATCTTTCATATTAGTTAGTGAGGAATAAAAGGTTCAATCTATTCTATTGCTTTCCTAAAAGAATTGATATGATTTAAAGATTTTGTTTTACTATAGCGTTTTCCTGGATTTAATTCGTATTTTCATTGAACCTTACCTAACATATCAAAATTATTTTCATATTATTTACATTTTCATGTATGCATGCAGTATGGTCGTAGAATGACGAACATATATAGCAGCAAAGATGACGGAAGAGTAGATAGGAAAACACACTTTCAAACAAAAAAAAAATTACGTATGGATAGGAAAACATGAAACATAAGTTACATAACACGCCACTTTGGGTCGATGAAAGTTGCATGCTATTATTGTTTCATTGGGAAAAAGGGTTTAAACGCAGACTTTTGTTAAACTGAGACGTAGATAATTTGTTATTTTGGAAAGAATTAGGCCTAGGAGGCTAGGAAGAATAGTTAATGTTTATTGTATATGAAGGATGAATCCTCACATTTTGCCATGTCTGTCTTGGAATTCTCTTGTGTTTTTTTGCCAAAAGCTACATTCAAGTTTACTCTTTTCCACTAAGGATAAATAAAATTTTATTTTTGATATGTGAATTACTAAATAGTAGCATCACTGCAACAGCAGTGTCTAAAACCGTATTTTTTTCTTGTCGTCAACTCATTGCAGCTTAAAAAAATTCCACACAGTAGAAAATTTATTTTAATTGAATTTTAATAAAGTTAAAATTTATGGGCCGTATTAACAAAAAACGAAGTTATAAACTTGAGTTGAGACAATTAAAAGCCCAAAGTAAATGGTCAAAACCAAAAAATTCCACGCGCCACACGGGACCATAAGCGCGTGTCATCTAAATTCCTCGTCGTCGTCCGAAACCGAAGGGGATTCTCTACGAACGATGACGATCGAAAGAGCTCGAGTCCCGTTAAGCCGGTGGCAACAAGCGGCGGTGGCGATGGGATCTGCTGTCGGTGCATTGGTTAATCCTCGTAGGGCAGATCTGATCGCGGCTTTAGGTGAAACCACTGGGAAACCAGCTTTTGAAATGGTTCTCGAGAGGATGAAGAAGAGTCCTGAAGGAAGAGTGAGTTTTCAAGTTTCTCTCTTTCTCTGATCGTTCGACTAAATTCATTGCCTTTTGTTTTAAGAGCGATTTTTTTCATAAGTTGTTTCGTATTATCGATTCTCAGAGGAAGTAATTATGCGAGATTCGATGTGATTCAGTTGCAAATTGAGCTATGAGTGATGTTTCAATGACTTAGCCCTGAAAAAGAGAGTTGCGTATGATTTGATTGAGAGAATTTGATCTTTTCTTTGTTGGGTTTGGTTCCAGTTTTGCTTGATGATTGATTTTATCAGGTGTTTGATTCTTGTCACTTATCTCTGAGGTGTGTTTTTTTCTCTGCAGGCTATATTGCTGGATCGTCCTCGTGTTGTATCAGAGCAAGTAGGCCATGCTTGGGATCTACCAGAGAACACATTTGGAGCTGCATATGCAAGATTCATGGGATCTAGAAACTTCTCACCAGATGACCGCCCGCCCGTAAGATTCATGGAGACAGATGAATTGGCATATGTAGCAACTCGGGCACGCGAAGTTCACGACTTGTGGCACACTCTCTTTGGTCTACCTACAAATCTTATAGGCGAGTCTGCTCTTAAAGTCATAGAGTTTGAGCAAATGTATCTTCCGATGTGCATGCTTTCTGTGATTGGAGGCACCGTGAGGTTCAACGAGAAGCAAAGATCAATGTTCTTGAAGCATTACCTTCCTTGGGCTGTTCGAGCTGGAAGACAATGCACTGATCTCATGTGTATCTACTATGAGCGTCACTTTAGTGAAGACTTAGAGCAAGTCCGGAGAAAATGGGGAATCATCCCTGCTCCTCAACATCCTAAATGATGGTGTTTTTGGCACTTTGACAAAAGACATGTACTTTGTTTACGCCTGATTAAAACCAGAACTGGTTACAGTGTAATTTGGTTTTAGATCCATTTGTTTCAATGATAAAAGGGTCATAAAGAAGAGTTTGTCATTTAGTTAAACTTGCATTGATGGGTAACAGAGATTTTTTTTAAGTTTTTGATTTAGATGATTTGAACATTTTCAGCAGAATATTACAGATAACGATTGAGAGAAGTTGACAAGAAACCGACTTCTTATCATAAAAGGCTCACATCAAACAGTTTATAGTGAGAGAATGCAACAGAGACATGGATACGCATTTGCATTACACACAATTGTTTTCTGTTTTTTTATTTTACTTGCCACCAGTGAAGAGATAATCCAAAGATGATCCACCTCCAGGAGCTGCATGAACTTTGGTCGAAGGACGGTCCTGCAGAGAGTGAAAGCATTACAGTGTGAGAAAATATTTCACTGACGAGTAACTAACTGAGTAATGGACACACTATGAAAACAAAACATACAGTGAGGAAGTTTCCAGTGTTCTGTCCTTCAGCTCGGGCATAGTTGTTAACAGGAGTTTTGATACCAGCAGGAATCTGTTTGTTGATCTCTGCTGGCTCAACACTAGTTGTAGCAGTTGTGAGTGCGGTCGCTGTCACAGCTGAGACTGGTGGTGCAGCAGTCCCGTTGCTTGGCTCAGTAGGAGAGGCACGAGGAGCTGGAGCCGGCTTAGGAGCTGGAGCGTCACCACCACCAAAGAGATAATCAAGTGAGCTTTGACCTCCACCACAGCTGTTTCCTCGACCCATAGTATTCAAAAGTGAAAGACTTTTTGAAACCTAGCAACAACGCAAAACCCGGAACACAATAAGCAAAGATCATTTAGAAGTGTTCCATCATTCTGACATGATAATTTCAGAGTATAATCACAACTATCTGCTGAATTCAACTGTGATTTAATAGTGAATGCTGCTTCTAGCATCAATGCATCATAACTTCTTTGTATTTTACAGTCAGAGTTGTAGCAAGTCCGAATACTATTCTAATAGCGAAGATACTATCTTTGTTATAATTCCCTTCTAGAAGATATATCCAGAACCAGAAATGCTAATTGCAAAATCCACAAATCGAAACGAAAAACGACAAAAGAGACGAAAATTTCACAATTCTAGAAGAAAAAGACATGTTTGAATCAGAGGAATAAATTCTAGTTTATATCCATTTTTTTTTTCATACGAGAGCCACGAAGGAATAAAGGGGAAAAAAAACCGGAAGAAGAAGCACAAACAGATCTAAAACCAGCGAAATCAAATCACCATTGCTAAACTCGTGAATCTATGAATTCAATAGAGGAAAAATCTCCTAGAATTAAGGCTAAAAACACCATAATCTAGAGCATATTCGAGGGATCAAAACAGAGGAATCTACGATCTAAACTCGCCTTATACATCAGAGAAAATAAAGTTAAACAGAGAAATTGATCTGGAGAATTGAGAGGTTGAGAAACACACCTTCTGGGAAATTCGCGATCAGATCTAAGAGAAGAAACGGTAGGAGAAGAAGAAGCAAACGCAGACTCAGAACTGACTACTGAGTCATAAGCGAGCCAGTCTATATATTAAGCTCAAACCGGTTTTTGCTAGTGTCAGGGTTCCGGTTCGATTGATCGGTTATTCGGTTAACAATCAATTTCAAATGTTAAATTTTAACAATCAATTTCCAGAGACAATTCACAAGGATGGTTTTCCAAAACCGGTGGAGATTTAAGAACTTTCAGATAATATTTTGGTATTTGCAGTGGAACAAAGCTAAAAATGATTCAATCAGTAACACAAAACCAGTGTAATTATTGGTGCTTTTAAGAAATTTTGCGAAATTCGACGACGGTGACGATTTCAATAGTGAGGTTTGTGGGCCATTGTCATGTAATGGCCAGTCTTTGTCATTGTCCGAATCTTACTATTAGCCGTTTTATAATCATTTAAAATTTCGAACTTTGAAAACAAAAGATCTTCTTCAGAATTCAAAAGAGAGAGAAAAAAAGAGACTTTTAAAGATTCATGTAGCAGCAGCAACTACTAGCTCACGTTTAATCTGGCTAAAGTAATAATTTCCAGTAGCAAACAACACTAAGCTCAAAACACCAAATGTCCATGAGAACCCTGAACCGAAAACAGTGGAATTCTCCTTCTTTTTCTTGACCGGAACCGGTTTTGAATCCACTCCTTTCGTCTTCCTGAACGATGCATAAGTTTCGACTTCTTCGACTGTCAACGCGGGCTTAAGTGAGCTTTTCGCGGTCTGGAAATGGCGATTGAACACAGCGGTTGCTGCAATGTTTTCTCTAAGTGAGACAGTTCCGCTTTCTCTGCATAGACCTTCGAGCTCAGCACCAGTAAAGAGCTCGGTTTCTTCAGCGATTTTCTTGAGATCAACGTCGTTTCCTAGACTCATGTTGCGTGTATGCACTTGAAGTATCTCAAACCGAGCTTCTAGATCAGGTGGTGGCACGTAGAGTACCTAAAACAAGACATTTCAAGAAAAAGGTTTAACAATGCGATTTGATATATATTAAAGAATCCCCAATATGAAGACTTACGAGATCAAATCGACCAGGTCGCATTAGAGCAGCATCAATTGCATAGGGGCGGTTTGTAGCAGCCAAGACGAGAATTCCCTAAAACCAAAAACCCCATCAATATTATTGTAAAGTAATAACAGAGATAAGATGTGTTAAAAGATATGACCTTTTGTATGTTATTATATGTGTTATAAGATGTGTTAAAATCACCCTTTTTTATATGTTGTTATACCTTTGCTTCTTCAAGACCATCCATTTCGGTTAACAGTGTAGATAGAAGTCTTTCCCCAACTGTAGAACTATTGCTTGAGCTCTCATCGCCTCTAGAAACACCCATGAAAATAAACATGTTAAGAGCCTATAACGCGAATCAAGATTTAGAATCAGAGACAGAGGACAAACCTTTTACAGGCGACAACATCAGCTTCATCAAAGAATATTATACTAGGAGAAGCAAGTCGAGCTCTTTGAAACGTGTTCCGCAATAACGCTTCACCTTCTCCAACATACATAGAAAATAGCTCAGCACAGCTGAATTGCACCCCACACAAAAGAAACAAGAAGAATCAGTTCCTCTAAACAAGTTTCACAACCTATAAGGTTTTCCTCTAAACAACTTTCCGATCCGCAAAATTATACCTTAAGGAAAAGAAGGAAGCTTGAGCAGCATTCGCAGCAGCTTTAGCAAGAGTTGTCTTTGAGCAACCTGGAGGACCATGGAGGAGTATTCCACGCATCGGCGATATTCCCATTTTTACAAATGCAGCTGAATGTTTGATTGGCCATTCAACAGCTTGCTGGAGCTTTTTCTGTCCAAAGAGAAAAACACGAAAAACACATTAGTCGCGGTTAAAGAGGAAGACCACAATGTTAAAGCTGTAACTCTTTTTTAAAGTATTGACCTTTAGGTCTTTAAGACCACCAACATCGTCCCATGTCACTTTAGGAATTTCAACTGTGATGCCTCTTGTTATACTTGGACCAACCACAGATTTTGCAATCTTGAAGTCATGCGATGTTAGGATGAGAGAATCAGTGGATCTTTTGCTTGCAGATATGGCTGCTTCACGACATAAAGCTTCCAAATCTGCCCCAACATAACCGTTACAAGATGTTGCTATAGCTTGTAGATCAACAGTAGGGTCTAAACTGACTTTCTTTGTGTACAGCTGAAAAAATAGCAAACATGAAGCTAGCGAAAAAATGTTCCCATTTAAGCAGCAATAAACAATCCCATTTAAGACCTCAATATTACCTCAAGGATTTTTAAACGATCCTCCTCATTTGGCGTGCTCACTTCAATTAAAGCATCAAACCGTCCCGCCCTTCTTAACGCAGGGTCAATCGCATCCAGCCTTTTGACAAGATCGGAGAAAACTATTGATGAATCATTGCATTCAAAATACAAAAACTAAAGTAATGTTTTAAGGCAGACAAGAACCTATTTGTGGACGCTACTACAACAACTCTTGGTGCAGATGATGAAGGCTTGTTTGAGTCCATGAGTGTAAAGAGTTGAGAAGCAATACGGACATCCTGCTCTTGTCTGCATTTTAGAGAGAATCAAATTATTCTCAATCTCTCAGATCACGTTGAGAACCACAATTATAAACTAGGAGTAAGGATGCAAATGCAATACCTAGAATCACGCCGAGGACAAAGAACGTCGATTTCATCAATAAAAATCACAGACGGCTTGTCTGAAACAGCATGAGAAGAAGCCTCAGCAAAAGCATCCCTTAAGACCTTCTCGCTTTCTCCTGCATGTCCTCGATGTACAGAATGGGGACTAAACAAAGATTGCCACACAAACACAAAGCATAATTAGCTTTCGCCTATTGCTCGAAGACCATAAACTTATACAGAGGCTACAAAACACAGTACCTTAAAACAATCAAATGTGCATCACATTCCTGGACAACGGCACGCACCAAGCTTGTCTACAAGTAAACCAAATTTACAATAAAGATCATTTCAATGCCGCAGTCTAATCAGCTTAATTAAGCTCATCTTACACTAGAACACAAAAGTTCACAACTTTGATGAACACAACACACTTTTGCTTTAAAATTTTCAAGCTTGAAACAAAGTTTACCTTTCCGGTTCCAGGGGGGCCGTATAAGAGCAACCCTCTAGACCACTGCAACGATGAGTAAAAAGCAGAGCCAATTAATAATTGAGATAGAAAGAGAGAAGCCCAGATAAAGAAATCAAACATAGGTTTTGATGTTTACTTTGAGACCAAGAGTTCGAGCTTCGAGAGGATAGCGAAAAGGGAAGATGATGAGTTCACGAAGCGCTTGCAAAGCCCTCTCGTTGCCACCGATTTCTGCTTCCGCTCGCCATGTATCATCGCCGACGATGTTGTCGCAGCTACTCATTTCGGTTTCCATCAGAATAAGGGCAAAAAAAAGTACAAAACTTTGGGATTTATAAGTTGTGGGGTTTAGGCGCCGGAGCACGCAGATTTCGACGGAAGACGTTCACCGTTTGAGAAAAACGATTTAGACAATAATCAAGTTAGGGCCTTTTTTGGTTTTCTTTTGCTTTTCCAATTTTACCCTTTTCTAAAAAGAATGTTTGAAATTGCCAAAGACAGAATCAAGTCGTTTATAAAAGAATTAACAAGGCATTTAGTCACCAAAGTCCTCTTATTGGTGCTTTTTTTTTTTGGTATGATCCTCTTATTGGTGCTTTGTATACAATACAACACAAATGAACAAGAAAAATGATCAAACAATAGTTGTCTAACGATAAATATGAGCGCTTCAGCCTCACGGCGCGTGGAACCTCACGCTCCCGGCAGAGGCCTGGTTTGCGGCACGGTTACTTCCAAAATTCTTCCGGTTTGATTCACGAGCAATTCTCGACCCAAACTGAAAACACAACCAAAGCCCCAAACAATGGTGAGAAAGAGAGAGAGACACACACACAACACAAAGCTTTGAGTTTTACTGGTTTTGAGTTGAGTTCTCTCCGAAAATTCAATTTTTACCTGTATTGCTCTCTTAGGCATCTTTGCAACTTCATGTAAACCAAGCAACTTTGCAACCTTCAAAATTTAAACGACGTTTTTTTTTTTGGGATTATGAAGTTTCTGGAATGTTTTGATAAAGTAAACATGGTGGCTATTACTCACCTGTCTAAGAATCTTCTTGTCTCCATTTCCACTTGGTTGCTCAAGATCAGCTATTTCCCACAAGGGAATGTCAAGGAGAGTCTTTATCACATCTTCATCCAAGAATGGGAATCGCGCCTGACAAAATGTATATATATTTAAAACATTTGAGAACAGAGAGCAAATAGAAAACGTTTTGGGTTTCTATCCGTGTCGCTGGCATATACCTCTTTCCCATTATCTGCAATGCATCGATCATCTCGACCCAAATTTCTTTTCCAAATTCTCTGCATATCCAATTTCATTTCTTGATCCAAGGCAGCCCAGCTGGAAAAAACAAGAAAACTTGCTAGATAAGTTTATTTTTAGTTTCCTTCCATAGAGAAAAGTATGCAGACATATATACATACCTCCCATTTCGATACTTTGTTCTGTGTCTACCATAACCAGCACATTGCTCATCAGCACCAGCGCCAATAAGAAGGATTCTAGCACAAGATTTATATTTGACGCGCATGTTATCTTCTTCTACTGTTTGATTTTCGCTTTCTCCGTGAATCCAACCATCACCACGAGCAGCAAGCCATAGTGCTGTTCCTATGTTAAGGTCCTAGAACATTGCAAAAAAAAAACAGATTGTATAAGTATCATCAAATTAAGAAGAAAGTGATGAGAAATCCTCAAGACTTTGAACTTTACCATGTATGTGTCTGCAGGGTTTATAAGTGACATAACACGCTTTGTCTCACAGGTTAGTTTCGACAAATCAGCATCAATCTCGACAAGTCTCCACCTGAAATTTCCAAGAACATTTTCATCAACAGAATTAGTAATAGACATGCATTTATAAAAGGTGTTTTCAGAGTCACACCTTCTCAAAGGTGCAATCTTTTTAAGTTCCTTTATTCCAGCCTTGGCGGAGATCCTATCAGGAGCATTAGGACCATCAAAGCTGACATTAAGAAGATCAACTTCATCTAAAAAAAAAGAAGAGATTTTGACAATCTAAATTAGTTTCAGGATCGATGCTCGAGATGGAAACAGTGTAGAGGAATGGTTACATTTTGGATCAAGGCACTGATCCAACAGCGCAGCAAGAATCATTGAGTCTAATCCACCAGAGAAAAGAACAGCTACTGGGACAACTTCTTTTTCTCCCTGTTTATGCCAATAGGAAGATAACTGAATCTATGGAAAAAATCACAAATCATGCGGTTTTTAGTAGAGTATATTTCAAAAAAGCTCATACCTGAAAAATGCTATGTAGTGAAGTTCGTCGTCTCACTGATTCCTTTAAAACAACCAAAACTGTCTGCGCCAATCCTAAAACTAAACCTTGTCAGGCATATGAAATATGGACAGAACTGGAGGTGTCTGAAGAACTTAAGCAGTACCTGAAGAAATCGAAAGAGCATTGTCTTTCTCTTCTTGAATTCCGCTAAGCGACGACATTGATAGATCTTCAGGTCTTGGTACAACAAAATTCCTTTCCCATTCAATCAATTCCTTCCACAAGGTATTTTTCCATTCGTGTTTCGTGACTTCACCATGGATACATAAACCGAAGTCCGAAATGCCAAAAGAAATGCTGTACACTCCACATGGAAGCTCTTCCCAAAATCGATGACTGCTATTACCATTTCCAGCATCTACTCCTGCCAAAAGTACTTCTCTTTAAAAACGGGGCTTGAAGTGTCCACAAAATGACACTAAGGAAAATACATACCAGAGCCATGAGCCACGGAAGAAGCTGGTGAAACAGACGACAGAAGAAAACGAGGGTCTTCCACGGTTGGCCAGTGAACAAGGAGGCTCCTCCGACCAAAAGCATCTTTACCAAACCATAGCGTTCTTGAGCTTTCCTGATGAAGAAAAAAAGAAGGTTCTAAGAGCAAGTAAAAATGCTACAAAAAAATTGAGCGGCAAGTCACATAATTACCTGCCAATATATAATGCCCCACGGACCCTTAATCTTCGAAAGAACATCTGGTACCAAAGCGTTTGCTTTCTCTAAAGACTTCAAGAGAACTTCAGTATCATTATCATAGCTGTTGAGGTCAATTCCGCCAAATACTTCGCCTGCCATTGAAAAAATAAAGCAATCGATATCGTATAGTGGAAAATAAAACGCATGATAATTAGAAAGCTTAAGAAAGAAATCAACACCATTGTAAGCAAGAATGTTTCCACAAGAGTCCACCAATGGCTGTCTTATAGGACTAGTTCCTCTAAGCTGTAATGTGGAACCTATAAAATGCAATTCACCGCAAGAAGTAGTATCACCAAGCTCATAAGTTCCTTGGCCAGCCTCATAAACAGAGAGAGTCACAGATTCTTGACCACAAGTTGGTGCATTCGGTTGAAGAAGAATCTTCTTCTCGCCTACACTATCAGGACCTCTTTGTCCTAAGACAGATTTGACATCTTCAACAGAGAATTGTAACTAGTTTAACCAATAAACACCAAAATTAGCCAACTCCAGTCACTAAATATCAAATGTTAATGTCTACATCATCAATTATCGTGAGCCATCAATAAAATTTCAAAAACGTAATCTTTTCGTCTACACAGATGACAGAAACGAGATTGAAACTCATCAAACAAGCAATTACTGACGAACAAATCTATCATAAAGCAACTTTAAGACACAGGGGAAAAAGAAAAAGCTTCAATCTTTTTTTTTTTGGTCAAGGAAAGCTTCAATCTTTAACAGTGATTGCTAAACTAAATCATCGCACAAAGTTATTAACTTGACACAGAAAAAAAAGAAAACACTAAACTTCAAAACCAGAAGTAAAAAAACTCCGAACTCACACAAGCCAATACGTAAAGAGATCTAAATCACTTACTCGTTCGAAAGGAGGCGCCGAGAGAAACGGCAACGTCGAGAGTTCGATACGAACGCCGCACACTATAACCGCAATTCCGCACATTCCTCCGGCGGCGTCTCTCCTCTCTCTTGCCTCCCAATAGTTGTCACGAAGTTGATTTAGTCTGTTTAGAAAAAATACGATTTTTATTGTAGCTTTTCAGCTATTTATCAAATTGCCTCCGTAGCATAGTGGTATTGCGTTCGCTTCGTAAGCGAAAGGTCGTGAGTTCGATCCTCGCCGGGGGCTTTTTATTTATGTCTTTTTGTATGGATCTTTCTTCGCTTTTTAAGACGGCCCACAAAGGATAAACACGGAAAAAGCGGGAACATTCGATTATTCTGATATATATATGATTATGTTGCAAGATATTATTGGATACAATCCAAAAAAAGTTGCAAAAAGGAATAGGAAAATTTCCGAATCTCCACGTCGTCGGAGATTTTTAAGGAAAATCCTAAGCAGCCTATACTGTATATATATATATATATATATACATCCCAAGTAACTCTTATTTTTTTGTTTGGTATAGTCTGGTTGGGATTTGATTCGGTTATCTTCTTCTCTATCTTAGCAGGTATTTGCTTCTGGATCAATATTCATCTTTTATACATACTTTACTGTTTCGTTCACAAAGTTTTTCCCTTTTTGGTTCAATTTGCAGCAAATTTAGACCTTTATATTCTGAAAACCGAGTACTTTTAGATCTATGGAAGTTCAATATAAGCCTTAAATATGTAATATCTGGAGAAACTAAAGTGGTGTAATTGCAATTACAGTAAACCAATTGATTTCGTATCTTATTCACTGATATAAATAGATTCACTACTTGCAGTTCTAGGTTATGCAATTAACTTTGTTTTGCTTTTTTAATTGTAAAACTGCAAGATTAGATACTTGAATTGCTGATAAGAGTCTTTGATTACAATATATTGTTGCATACGTTCTTATTTCTTAGATGAATGAAACCTTCTTTTGAGGACGTTCTTATTTCTTAGATGAATGAAACCTTCTTTTGAGGTTTTGTCTAAGACTCTGTTTTCTATTTCAATATTTTACTTTCGAATTCGACTATAGTTTCTAATGAAGAGTCTCTTCCGTTATGCAGAGAGATGGCACCTAAATCAAACGCTCCATCAATGGATCCACAAATTGTAGGCAATGCGTTTGTTCATAAATACTATAACCACCTTTATAGATCACCCGAGGAAGTTCACAGGTTCTACCTCGAGGAAAGCATGCTCGGAAGACCAGGTCTCGATGGTTCAATGGTTTCTGTCAAATCATTGAAAGTAAGTTCCTTTTTAATGGAAGCATAAGCCAACTAAATAGTGTTGTCTTTAATATTTGCTAGTATTCATTCCACAAATTCTCTCATCTTGTTTTGCAGTGTATTAATGATCAGATAATGTCCTTTGACTACCAAAACTCGAAGATCCAGATTCTGTCTGCCGATTCTCAAGCATCTTTGAAGAATGGAGTTGTAACTTTAGTCGCCGGTTTAGTGACTGAGAAAGATGGAGGAAGAAAGAAGTTTACTCAGTCTTTCTTCCTTGTGCCACAGAAAGGTAGCTACTTTGTGCTCAACGATGTCTTTAGGTACGTTTCTGATGAGATTGTTGAACCAAAATCTACCAAGGAGGTCAAAGAGAGCCCACAAGTAATCAAGTCATCAAAAGACATTATCCCCGGTAAGTATTCTCACCAAGTCAAGAATTCGGAATATACACTCTTGACACTGTTTTGATTCACATGTTGTTGCTCTTGGCCAGCAGAGTCTGCAGATGCAACTGCAAATACCATAAAGAACGTCCATAAGGAGAAAGCTGCGAATGGAAATAGTAACTTACCTAAAGCTGCTGCTGAAGCAAAACCTCAAGAGGACGCTCCCAAGAGATCCTTTTCAGCAATTGTGGGTCTTCATTGTTGGTTTTAGTTTCATATTCTATTGGGATTTTATCTTACAGTAATTAACGTCTAATCTCTTGGTGGATGTTCAAACACACAGGTCCAGTCTCCGGCTCAAAACGGCACTCCGGTTAATGTTAAAGCATGGCCTGCAAAGCCTAAACCAGTCGCAAAGCCAGGAGTTGTTGTTCCTGAGCAAAAAGCTCCTGCACCAATTCCTGAACGCTCTTCTGCTGAAAATATTGAAGAAGCAGGCCACAGTGGTTCCATATTTGTTGCAAACTTGCCTATGGATACGACTTGGGAGCAACTCTATGAAACATTCAAAGGTTTTGGAACTATTAGAAAACGTGGTATCCAAGTCAGATGTTACAAGGTCAGTTTTTCTTTGAAAATATTATTAAGAGAAAATGTATTTCCATACCGTAAAACTTTACACACGACACGCTTAAAATTTTTGACTTTTCAGGAGACAAGAAACTGTTTTGGGTTTGTGGCATTTGAAACTGTCGAAGCCATGAAAAATGTCCTCCAGGTATGCTTTTTGCCTATCAAATACTCAGCTTCAATATAATTCGAACTACTTGTTTTTTCTGATATTGGAATTCACACAACTCTAGGCTCACAAGGAATCTCCAATCAGAATCGGAAACCGAAGAACATCTATAGAAGAAAAACGAAGCAAGAACAATGAAAATGGCGGGAGAGACTCTGCGCAAAACAACGGTAACAATAGGAATGAGAATGGTTACAGAAACAACGGGTATAGACCTCGTGGCAATGGTGCTAGTAATGGAGAACGAGGCTCCGGAAGAAACGTGGTTGAGAGACGGAACGGTGTTGCCACTGGTGATGTTAAAGCTTCTCAGGTCAACGGCCATGTCAAAGCTCAGGCCCGAAACTAGAGTTTTTGCTTCTGCTAGTTTTAGGTTTTGGTCATTGATTGAGAATCTTAGGGTACAGGAAGAGTCAAAACATTATGATTTGCCAAACCACACCGTTTTTTCTTCCTATTTATTACATTTTTTCAAATTTGTAACGATCTACAAACCACCCCACCTCGAACTTAAGATATCGAAGTTAATCCAGTTTCGACCTCTTCATGGAACCATGCAAAACTAAGTTTCACATCACATAACCACACAAAGTTTAAAAGATATTTTTTGTCTCCGAGAGTCAAAAACCTAAACCATTTATTTCATTTAGTTAACCTAAATTACTTGTTAAACAAAACTTAACATGTCCAATTTGGATTCCATTTGACTGGCTTATACACACCGCCGGCTAATAAGAGGGTCAACTATAACCGTAAAAACAGCAAAAAAAACAAAATTCAAGAACAAGAACATGAAGAACGTGAAGAACAACACCAAGGACATGGAGGAAAACATGAGAACCACCTACACATTGACTGCTTCTGGTTTGCTACATCTGGTGTTTGTTGTGTGTCTTGTGATTGCTTTGCTTTTTTCTTATGTTCCTCTGTTTCTGCATTTGCTGATTCACTTGCAGCTCCCGCCAAGCTGTTAAAACAACAACAAATAAAAAAGTCGAAAACTTTCACTACACCAATACAACAGCAAAGCAAGGGACACAAATTTGGGAAAGAGATTCTTACATTGGGAAAGAGAAGGAATGCGCGCTGTTTGAGCTTCGATTAGAACGGTATGAAGTTGTAGGAGTTTTCCAAGAAACAGCAGGATGTTGTTCTTTCTCATGGCTATCTCTCTCATCTTCTTCCTCTTCATGAGTCGTCTCTTCTCCAAGTAAAACTCCCTCCTCATCCTCCTTATCTGAATCAACAACAATGTATTCTTCGACGTGGGGTTTTGATTCTGATCCTGGTATAGGAGGCATAGGAAGTCCAGGACTGTAAGCTAGTAACTCTCCTGATTTGTAGAGCTCACCTGATTTCATATAATCAACAGTGAAGCTGTTGCGTCCTAGATGAATACTGAAGAGAGATTCGTTGGAAGTGCAGCTCCATTCAGCTGGTATATTCGATTTGCTTCTCTCGAAAACCGAAGATGGGATCCTGTTCGGGTCATAGTTTAGTCCTTGGTCTACGTTGTTATCGTCCCTGTCCATTACTTGAACAGGAGGTGAATCTGTTGGAGAAACCTCTGGATTATTGGACGGTGATGATTCTTTGCCATCATCTTCTGGTAGATGTTTTGGTGGCGATGAATATGAAGAAGACGAAGACGACGATGAAGAAGATGAAGAAGAAGATGAAGATCTTGAATGTGTTTCTGAGTGAATGATTACACTTCCTGTTTCTTCTCCGTCTAATAATAACTGATCTTCTGAAAGCTTTTTGTTTCCATCATCTTCTGATTCCATAAAACCTAAAGAACAATCAAGAGCAAATAAAATATGCCTCTTTTAGCCATTTCTTAAGTTTTTCCAACAAATCGAAAGCCATCTCTCAGATAAAAGAAATTTACAGAACAGGAAAAAAAAAATACCTGAAAACGTTTTGATCAAACGAACCAAGACCGTGATTAAGTTAAAACAATTCTAAATCACTGAAGATTCTTCACACTTGGATAAGTTGAGAAAATTTCCTTTCTTTCTTGTTAGAGAAATCGAAGGAGAAAAACAAAAATTAAGATGAGGAAAAGGGGATCTAGGGTTTCGTTCTATGGCGATAGCAGAACGAAAGGTTTCTCGTAAAGTTCGGAACTTTTAACTAACCATGGCTGCGTTTCGCGCCATGTCGATGACTTCTTTCTCTGTTTTTCGTTTGTATCGACCACTTTAGTAATAATTACATGTGTTTACAGTCTATTATAAAATCCGTGTTCTATCCAATAATACAAGCCTTGACTTTGAGTACGTGGCGTGAGATATGTTTGTCTTGTATCTGGTTATGCTGTGTAAAACAAAGAAAGCCATTGTTCCTTTCTTCTGCTGCTGCTTAGGAAACTGAAAACGATTGTAAACGAAAGGTGAAGTCTTTTGGAATCAAGGTCTTCGATAATTCATCGATTTTTGTTCGGGTATGTAATTTGGAATTGGTAATTTAGATCTAATTGATCGCCGGCGATTATTTGTGTTCGATAGTTTTAACTTTTAACCGATCGAATTTCTGGGATTAAGATACTAAATTTGAGAAATTTTCTACTGAATTGGATCTTCGTTAACTGTAAATCCTGCGTCTTTTCTTCATCTCTAGTCTAAGAACGTAAGACAAAGTTATTTAATCTAGATTGATTAGAGATTTGAGGGTTCTCAGAAGTCTCAGAAGTGGATTCTTGATGATTGATGCAGTTTCTGTTGAAATTTTCTCTACCATTTTGAAAAATTACGTCTTTTGATTTGTGGGTTTCTGAGTTTCATTTAGTTATCTAGCATTCTTTAGAAAAAAGTAACCCCTTGGAGTGAGATCAGGTGAAGAAGAAGAGATTACATGGTTGCAAAATTGAACTTCATGTAAAAACTGTTGTTTTCAGGTTTGGAACTGTGGGCAAAGGGCATATTCAACTTCTTCCGTAACACTGGAAACTGTTCCTGAGGATAATGGTGATACTTTGGCTCTGATGCATCAAGTAGATTGTAAGCAATAGAGGAAAAGGGTTCAACATGGGAGAGCAAACGGATCCATTTTCAACTACTAATCTTCCGGATTTCATATCCTCCCAAAAAATCGGTAGACCGGTGAATCTTGAAGGACAAAGCAACCGTGGGCACCCTTATTCTGGCCTCAAGAAGAGAGGCCAGTCTAGTCGTTCATGGGTGAAGATTGATGAAAATGGAAACTCAACGGTTTTAGAGCTCGACAAGGCAACTATAATGAAGCGTTGTTCCTTACCATCTAGGGATTTGAGGCTTCTTGACCCTTTGTTTATTTACCCTTCGAGTATCTTGGGGCGTGAGAGAGCGATAGTGGTCAGCCTTGAGAAGATCAGATGCATAATCACAGCCGAGGAGGTTATTCTCATGAATGCTCGGGATGCATCTGTTGTTCAGTACCAGTCGGAACTCTGCAAACGCCTCCAATCAAACCAAAATCTTAATCTCAAAGGTCAGTGATTTTGATATGGTTTTGGTGGCCTGGAGTTATGTTACCGATTAGATTGCTGACAAAACTGTTGTATGTGTTTGGTTTCAGATGACTTGCCGTTTGAATTTAAAGCGTTGGAACTGGTTTTGGAATTATCTTGCTTGTCTCTAGATGGACAGGTATGCCACAATGTCTTCCTGTAACTATACAAAGGTTTATAGCTTTAAGCTATTGCTGAGCTCAAATGTTTTTGGTGGACTATATTTTGATAGGTGAATGAGCTTGAGATGGAGGTGTATCCTGTTCTTGATGAATTAGCGTCAAACATCAGCACCCTTAATCTAGAACACGTGCGCAGGTTAAAAGGTCGCCTCCTTGCCTTAACACAGAAAGTTCAGAAGGTAAACAAACAAAGAACCCTTCAATTTTAGGAAAATGGGTACGATAGATTTTGATTTTGCTGGGTCAAAACTTGCAGGTTTGTGATGAAATAGAACATTTAATGGATGATGATGATGACATGGCTGAGATGTATTTGACTGAGAAGAAAGAAAGATCTGAGGCTTATGCTACAGGGGAGTTAGAAGATAACCTCGATGAGGAGTTTGATACGTCTGGAATAGTTTCGAAGTCTGCGCCGGTTTCACCTGTTGGCTCAATAAGTGGAAACTTTGGGAAGCTTCAAAGAGCCTTTAGCAGCGTCGTTGGCTCACACAGAAGCTTGTTAAGCACCTCTAGCACCGGAGAGAACATCGATCAACTAGAGATGTTATTAGAAGCCTACTTTGTCGTTGTTGATAACACTCTCAGCAAATTATCATCGGTTAGAAACTCAATCTGTTACAGTTATATGTTTCTCTTCCATCAGTTGAATTCATCATTTTGAATTATGAGCTTGTGTTTTCAGCTGAAGGAGTATATAGATGATACGGAGGATCTGATCAACATTAAGCTGGTAAGGACAAACAAAAAAAATGAAGTGTTGTTATGTTGTTCTTGTCTCATTCCAAGACTCGCTTAACTTTGTCCATGTTTTGCTTAGGGGAATGTACAGAATCAGTTGATTCAGTTTCAACTGCTTCTAACCGCGGCAACCTTTGTGGCAGCCATTTTTGCCGCTGTGACTGCAGTTTTCGGGATGAATCTGCAAGACTCTGTTTTCAAGGATCCGACCATGTTCCAGTGGGTGTTGCTTGTAACAGGTATTGGGTGCGGATTTTTGTATTTTGGTTTTGTGTTATACTTCAAGCACAAGAAAGTATTCCCTCTCTGACACTTATGCTAGAACGATCCCTATGAGTTACTCTTGTAAAAATGATCAACAACAACTACTAATGAGTTTCACAGTTGCAAACTGATTTTAGGCTTAATATTTGGTGATTAATAACCAAAATGAAATAAACAAAACTAAGATTTTGGGTATTGAAAAAGTGATGATAAAAGCCAAGGAATTGGGTTTGAAACATTAGAGAGAAATACCAAAACTGATGACATAGTCATCAAACCGGTCAAACCGGTTTCACTTGACAGCGCAAGAAAATGTAAGAACTAGGAACCGTAAGCACAATACGAGAACACTCAACTTTCCCCCAGACTTGATCATCACAACCATTGCGTTGTTCAAGCGCAATCACCGAACAACAAATGTCCTTGTTTTGACAAGAATCAAGCTGTTGTTCAAACATGTCCCATAAGAGTAAGAGTTTCCCACCGTAGTTAGCTATTGCAATGATACCACCACCACCACCACAATAAGTCCTCTTCAATACCTCCAAACCTTTGACTTTTCTCCACTCTTGACGCTTTGTGTCAAGATACCACAATGAACCATATTGAATACAAGCGTACCAAACACTTTCTACTACACAATTGCACTCTACCTCGAGTGCTTTTGCTGCAACGTCCCATCTTCCTTGTTTCGGATCATAAACGTAATTCTTCTTCACGCTACTCCGAACGTACACCTTTCCCTGGATCACATTCATTGTTTTGATCAAAGAGAAGCGTAGCTCAGGGCCAGGGTCAGGTAAAGATTCCCAAGTTTGAGTCTTTGTGTCCAAAACCTCAGCCCAGTTGGTGGATTCATCTGCGTCGCAACCACCCATTACGTATATTTTCCCATCGAGGATGCCTGCAACAGGGCTATCTCGAGCCACTTTCATGCTAGGAGCTTCACGCCAAGCTGCATGAGTCCCCTCCACATTACATACCCATACAGGGGATGACGTGGGGGCAATACTGTATTGTCGGACTGCGTAGTGTTTTGAACCAACCATACCGATATATATTGATGGTACACGAGGAGAATGTGAAGAAGGTATCTCTACCAACAAAGCATCTCCAATAGACTTGTTCTTCTCCTCCATGTCCATGTCACTGGTTAGGGTTTGGTCAAGTTTTATCCAGAGGCTGTACCAAGAGGGAAGACGACGATCTGGCAACTGCAAGCAGACATAAAGGACGTTCTCTTGTGTTTTCAAGTGATATCTCTCACGGTAGAGCTCAGGGGATGAGATGAGAGACCGGAAGGTCTTGGAGACTAGGGAGAGTTTCGGGTAGTATGATCTCGATATACGGGCTAAGCAGTTTATGATGATATCATTTGGAATCCAAGAAAACGATGGAGGACTCGTTGTTGTCTTGTCCTGCGGTGGTTCTACATCGGAATTCATCTTCATAGGTAAGAATACAAATATTAGGTTTAGGTCTTTTTGGAATGAGCATATAAAATACCTTTTTGGTTTAGTTTCTTTTACTTGCAAAACTAACCCGTTGACTTTATGAAATTATCTAGTCGACCCTTTTTGGAAAAACAATAATCAAAAGAGAATGTCGATTCGTAATTGGCTCTGTTTTGGACCTTCTTGGTTTGTGGTTTTAGTACTTTAAAATGTAGTATAGAATTATCCGTTAACAACTTCATCATGAAGTAATAAAGAAAAACACCAAATCTTATAATGAGATTTTATTAGGATTAAATTATGAGCTAAACTCTAGTATGAAGTTGCTTAGATTGTTAGAAGATGACCCTCCTTCTTCCACAGTTAGCCATCTCCGCCAGCTTCTTTTCCCGTCTCAGTCGAACCCACCGGTTATTAGGGATCACAAATGGCTGGCTCACAACTCGAAGCTACTCTCTTTTGTGGTTTATGCGCTCTGATGCAATAGTCAGAGCATAAAGAGAAGTGGCCAGTGCCGTGGAACACAATTCTTGGCACATGGAACTTCTCAGCAACTTCAGTAGCCCACGGGAAGAACATTTCAGCGATAAGACAGTCCGGTCTCGTTGTCTCGAGGAGCTTCTCAAGCTGGTCTTTGAAAAACCTCGTTGTCGAGAGACTTGAACATGTTACAGCCATTAGTGAAGTTACTCACTCTTCTTTCACGGCTCTGGTCCATCCTTGCAAGAACCGTTTTCAAAACTCAAAAGCTGGTTTTCCAGTGGGTTTCTGACAAGGCTATGAACTAAAATTATGATCCTTTTAGCAGTTTAGCTTTTATAAGTTTCTGTGAATTGCCTTTTCGAATCATTTTCTATGTCCACCTGAGGCTATAAGAACCGTGACAGCAACTATGAACATAAAGAGCATACTGATAAGAAGTACATACAGTATGTTCTTCTCGATGATCTCCTGTATTCTCCAAACAGTAAAAACTTGCTCACAAGTGGAAGTGCCTGAAACCCATCAAAATCAAAGATTGGGTGCGGTTTCTATATTTTGGTTTTGTGTTATACTTCAAGCACAAGAAAGTACTTTTGCTAGAACGATCCCTATATGAGTTACTCTTGTAAAAAGATCAACAACAACAACTAATGAGTTTCACAGTTTCAAACTGATTTTAGACTTAACCTTTGGTGATATAACTAGACGTTCGAGATTAATAACCAAAATAAAATAAATAAAAAAACCAAGATTTTGGGTATTGAAAAAGTGATGGCAAAAGCCAAGGAAATTGAACTTGAAACATAAAGAGCGAAATACCAAAAACTGAAAGACTTGAATTGTCATCAGAGAAAGAAACCCTAGCTAGTGGTGATCAAAAACAAAAAAGCATGATCAAAACAGTTTCACTTGACAGCGCAAAAAAACACATGAACTAGGAACCGTAAGAACAACACGAGCCCACTCAACATTCCCCCAGACTTGATCTTCACCATTGCGTTTTTCAAGCGCTAACACCGAACACCAAATGTCCTTGCTTTGACAATGATCAGGCTGTTCAAACTTGTCCCACAAGACTAAGAGTTTCCCACTGTAGTTAGCTAATGCAATAACACCACCATGGCAATTTCTCTTCAATACCTCCAAACCTTTGACCTTTGTCCATCTTTCAAGCTTTTTGTCATAATAATACCACAAGCGACCATCTATACTACAAGAATACCTAATATTCTCTATTACAACAAACCTCCATTCAAGCTTAGCTGTATTTGCTGCAACTTCCCATCTACCTTCTTTTGGATCATAAAAGTAATCATCCTTTTCGTTCCTCTTAACACAAAGCTTTCCTCCGATCACGTTCATTGTTTTGATCAAAGAGAAGCGTAGCTCAGGGCCAGGGTCAGGTAAAGATTCCCAAGTTTGAGTCTTTGTGTCCAAAACCTCAGCCCAGTTCGTTGATTCATCTGCGTCGCAACCACCCATTACGTATATTTTTCCACCGAGGATGCTCGCAACAGGGATCTGTCGAGCCACCTTCATTCTAGGGGCTTTACGCCAGGCGGTGTGAGTGGTCGTCCCCATATTATAGAACCACACGGGAGAAGACGTGGGAGCAGCAGTGTCTTGTCCGACTCGGTAGTGTTTTGAACCAACCATACCGATAGATAGTGATGGTACACGAGGAGAATATGAAGAGGGTATCTCTACCAACAAAGCATCTCTGTTAGACTTGTTGTTCTCCTCCATGTCCATGTCATTGGTTAGGATTTGGTCAGGTTTTATCCAGAGGCTGAACCAAGAGGGAAGACGACGATCTGGCAACTGCAAGCAGACATGGAGGAAGTTCTCTTGTGTTTTGAAGTGGTATCTCGCAAGGTAGAGCTCAAAGGATGAGATGAGAGACCGGAAGATCTTGGAGACTAGGGAGAGTTTCGGGTAGTATGATCTCGATATGCGTGCTAAGATGTTTATGATGATATCATCTGGAAGCCACGAAAACGACGGACACGGAGGATTCGTTGGTGGTTCGACATCGGAGTTCACAGCTGCGGAGGCGATGGTTGGAGCAAAAGAAGATATGGGTTTGTAGATAAGGGTGAAAAGTTTTAGCAACTTTTGGTGTAGATAGCTTTTTGCATCCTTGAGAAGAACAAACCAGCCTCGAGACAGAGATTTTGTGTGCGGTGCTTGTTCTGGTTCCATCTTCATGGGTAAGAAGACATTATACTGTATTAGGGTTTAGGTCTTTTTGGAATGAGCATTTGGTTTAGTTTCTTTTACTTGCAAAACTAACCTGTTGACTTAATTAAATTATCTAGTCGACCCTTTTTGGAAAAATAATTATCAAAGAGAATGGCGACTCGTATTGGCTCCGTCTTGGACGATTTGGCTATAAACTATGGTTACAACCATAATTGTTGTTACCAAAGTAGTAAGAGAAAAAACCAAGAAAGATAATATCTAAACACTTTTGGTTCAATTCAACCAAAAGACTTGAACATGTTACAGCCATTAGTGAAGTTAATCATTCTTCTTTAAAGGCTCAAGCTGGTTTCCTGGTGGGTTTTTGACAAGTTTATGAACTAAAATTGTGATCCTTTTAGCTGTTTAGCTTGTAGATGTTCCAGTGAATTGTCTTTTCAAATCATTTTCTATGTCCCGATGAAGCCATAAGAACAGCGATAGCAACTATGAACATAAAGAGCATACTGGTAAGAAGTACATATGTTCTTCTCGATGATCTCCTGTATTCTCCAAACAGTAATATCCCCCAAAACGTGCTCACAAGTGGAAGTGCCTGAAACCCATCACAATTAAAATAGAAGATATATGTTTGTTTGTTTTCATTTCCACTCTTATATCATTGAACAGAGAAGAATAGGTTTTTAGTCTAAACCTGAACAGCGTCTGCAGCTGCATAGCCAGCAGCTTGACCGCCCATAAACTGAAGACCATTACCAAATCCACAGAGAAATCCAGCCAATAAAGACCAGCCTCGACCGTTCCAGTCATTTAGGTAAGCCTTGAAAGAAGATCTTGGGAGACCAAGTATTGGCCAGTAAAGAAACCTGATGTTAAGTATCAGAGCAATCACAAATGCAGAGACTGAGAAGTAGAAGAAAGCGGTGTAGACATTGAGTTTAGGAACCCCATGTTTCAAAGTGTGCCATTGATCGTTTGTGGCTAAGTTGAATGCAGGTGAGAACAGAGAGAAACAGAGACCGGCAAAGAAAGTTATTGCCAGTCCAATTATTGTGCTTTTCCCAAAGACCTATCAACGCAAATCTTGATTTTTTTTCAAGAAACTATAGGCGTATAATCTGTTAACGAAAAATGGAAAGATTGTTTCACCTTTATAGCTCTTTGTTTCTCAAGCTCTACAAGAAATTCTGCAGTCCCTTCCTTTGCTTTCCCTTTCGCTAATCTGCTGTTTGCTTGATTTGTTTCTATTTGAGAGGAAGAAGCAGTCTCTAAACTGAAACAAGATCAAGATTAGTTTCAAACAAAAACAAAGAACTAGTTGTGAATCTTTTTTAACCTTTTGAAATCTTGGAGTTTAGATTTGTTATCAGCTGCATTTGATTTATGAACAGCCGATCCCAAACAAACAGCGACCAAGAAACAAGCTACACCCGGGAAAAGGACCTCTGCTCTGTTGATTCTATCATCCAAGAAATAGTTCAAAGTTGTGCCTGTGTTAGAAAACAAACAAAAAAGCTCATGAGAAGAAGGAAAGAATCAGTTAAAAGAGTAGTTCAAGAAACAAGAGTTTACCGATAACAACTGTGATACTAGCTGTGATGACTTCAGTGACTGATAAACCAACAAAAGCCCAAGCATATTGTGTTGCTAAGTTTCCAAGGCTAAGAACTATTCCTCCAGCCATTGCAAACATCACAGACTGCCAATTATCCTGTGATTAAAAAAGAAAACCAAAGTTTCAACAATACTTCCCACAAGATTTTGAATGAGAAGTATGTAACTGACTTGAGAAAGCTGTGTGATGAAATTTGGTCTGCTTGGGCCAATTTGGCCTAGTGTGAATGCTATGATCACTGCAGCTAACAGATTTGTGATTGTGTAGTCAAGATAAGTGTGTTGAGGGAGCCGGCCGCGTCTTTCGGTTAGAGTCATGATTGCTGGCCATGTCCCTAAAAAGAACAGAGCCAAGAGCATACAAATGATTGCTCCTCCTTTGCTCTCTATCATGTACATCTCTCTCTCTCTCTCAGTTTATATACTTATGATATAACGAGAAACCTCTGCATCAAAGTAAAGAAAGAAGATTCATCAGTTATCTAGTCGTCGATGTCTTGGGGCTTAAGATGAAGCTAATTGATTTGAAAGAAGGTTCCAAGAACATAACACAATAGAGATGCTGATCCAAGAAGATCTGCAGGAAACTCAAAAACTCTGTTTTACTAAATTTCATCAATTTCCTCGACCTAAAGCAAACACTGTTGATTGTTTTCTGGAGTGAACATAAACATTGAAGATCGAAAAAAAACTCAAATCAGGGAAGGAAAATTGAAAATTGACAACCATAAGGCTACACAAGAAAACAAAATCTTTTGGGTTTCTAAAGAAGCAATAAGAAGAGAGACCAAAAAGGTAAAGATCTTTCATGGTGGGTTTCTTGAAAGAGATTACCTTTATAAAGCTTTTGTCCTTAACTTCGAGGAAGAACAGATAACCAGAGAACAGAGACAAGACAGGACAAGAAAGAAAGAACTTACAAGTTTTAAGTCTTATAGATTCCCATTTGATGGGGGAGATTCAGAATTTGCTTGTGGCTGTAATACTACTGGCAGATCCAGATAGAGACAACTCTTTCCAATTTATATTAATAAATAATATCATTCTGAAGAAATCTCGAGTTGCGTTCAGATTTTGCTAGTAGTTAAGTCAACGGCTGACATAATCTTGTCTTTCTTGGGAAAATCAAGCAAAATCATTCAGGAATCAAAACTACGTATGCTTTCTCCTTCAAAATTATAATTAAACAAAAACAAATTAAAAATTCTCATACTAACGTTGAAATTGCGTTTGAAAGAATCGAGCTCATAATCTTCTTTTTTCCCTATCTTTCTAGGAATGGTTACACTTCCAATGTAGGGTCAGTATACCAGACGAAAAAAAAGAAAGATATAAAATCCAACAACGAATATCCTTGGGACAACTCATATTTGATTGCTAAATCATTCAAAACTCAAAAAATCAAATCTAAAAGCATGCAACAAAACAAAAGAACTTGATCAAAATTGAAGAAGACTAATTAGCTGTGAGCTCTGCCTCTTCAGGTGTTGCTGAATGCTGGTTCTCTCTCCTCTTTCTCTCAGCTAATAGATAACAGGAAAAGCTAAGCAAATCCTGGAACAAACCACTGAGTTTCATTTATATGAAACACATTTTCTTATGCCATTCAATTTTCCTAGTGGCAATATTGAAGACACCGCACTTTGAAGCACCATGATGATCATCTTCATCATCTTGATCTGGCCAAACGTCATCTTCAACGAAACAGATTGAATCACTCTTGAATATTCCATCACCAACTGGTGCTCTTACTGTAACCCCATGACCAAGGATCAACATCTCATCATCATCTCCAATAGAATCAACCCTTTCCCACTTGCCACTCTCAAGATTCAACTTAAAGACGTAAAACAAAAGCTTCTCTTCGTATTTCACTTCTTTCAAGCTCAATATGACTAAAACCTCTCCTGATTTCTGAATACATATCTTCCTCTTCCAAACGTATTCCCACGGCTGCTCAACAAAGCCAAATGGACGATCCCAATACGGGTTGTTTGCGATGACTTCGTCAGGGAAGTCTCCGGAGAAATCGAAAATCCTGACTTGTTGATCAGTTGTGAACACGAAAAGCTTATCGTATCTGTAAGCCACATCCAAGAAACCCGAATCTGTGCCTTTGATGAGAGTCAGATTCGACCAAGAAGCATCTCCTTTCTTGTACGAGAACAAGTAATGCTGTCTGAAAATCCAAGCAACCACGTAATCCCCTGTTGTCTCGTTTATCCACACAACAGCTGAGTTCTTCCATTCGACAATGTCTTTCGACACGTGGTGAAACTTGTCACCAGAAGGCTTGACATAGTAATGTTTCTTTCTTGAAGTTGAAATCCTTGATTGAATCTTCACAAAAAAGAGAAAGCAGATATCGGTGAAAAGATAATAGAAAGAAGAAGAAGATTGTCGTGAGAGTAAAGAAGAAGATGAAGTGGTCAACGAAGTCAACAAGAAGAGAAGATGGGCCATGTGTTTTTGTAATAGTTAAGTAAGGTTGCTTGTACAACTAGTCTAGTGTTAGAGGTATGGACTAGAAGAAGTGGTTAAGACTAGAGTCTAAGTGCTAGAAGTTGTATCAAGTAGTATAAGTATGTGTGTGTTGTGTTTTTGTAAAAGCATCGATTGATCAATATCAAAGATATAGCTTTTTAATGTTTTCTCTCTAAGTTTCTTCTTGTTATCACTTAGAAAAACCAAACAACAACAATGAGTGAAACAGAGCAAGAGTTAAAGAGAAAGAGAGTGAGAAAGAGAAAAGAGAAACAAGAGAGAAAGAAAACAAACCTGAGTGAATGAGAGAGAAGGAAGAATGTCAACACTCTTGTTACCAGAAGACTCGACAAAGTATCCACATTTGTCGTCATAGCTTCCCTGACCTCCGGGTTCGAATCTCACTTGCCCACCACGAATTGGCGAATCCATCGATGGAAGATCGATACTTTCACGTGTTATCAGGTTCAGGAGATGAAAATGTAGACGAAAGTCAACCATGAGGAGCCAAGTCCCTGAGCTAGCCATACAATAGCTCTTGTAGCAGAATCCGACAGGTTTTGTCCTTGCGTTGATCATCTTGTCTTGTCTCGAAGAAGAATCTTCGCCTTGGTGTATGATCTGCAATGATGTACCCGGAGGTCGAAAGCATGTTTTCGAAACGAAATACCAATCAGAGCAAACGGTTTTTGCTCGGGCAAGATCAATAGGGTTCAAGGTTTCGAGGATCTTTCGCAAAACATCTGGGTTAAGCTTGGACCAATCATCGCGAATTATAGTACTTATTGACTCTTTCTTCTGTATCTTTCTCATCAAATCAAAAGCATTCTGACTCTCTCTGATCAAATCCTCCCTTGTGCTCAGCTTTTTCATGTCTGCGCTTACCTTCACAACATCTGTATTACGCCTGAAACGATTATAGCGAGTTCTAAACAGTTTCATCTTCCTCCTCGGAAAATCCATTCGCGAACACACTCGCGCATCCATGTCTGCGCTTACCTGCCAACCACACCAATGAAACTAGGGTTTGGCTTTGGTTTAGTTATTTATATGAATCGGTTGTTACCATTTCTAGATTTTTTTTATTTTTGGTTATTAATTGTTTTCAAAATTTTCCCATAATTATTTGATCTGCCAAGCAAACAATTTGGAAACTATTTTGTTATTGTTTCCCTTTTTATTGGAATCCATTTTGTATTATTTCCCTTTTTATTGGAATCCATTTTTTTATATGTATACAAATCTTAGGCTGCAAGTAACTTATCTCATATTTAAAACACGTATGTGTTTGGGAATAATCATAGCTACATGTAACTAATTTCACATCTAAAAATAATTATTCGTTAATTTATAATCATAATCTTTTCACTTGTTAACAAACTCTGCAAGTTTCTCCACCACTAAACGAGCATTATCAGTAAAAGGATTCTTCAAATGATGAACATGACCTTCTTCTTTAATCTCCATCACCTCAACTTCTCCTTCCCATCCACTCTTCTCCACCTTCGCCGCGTAAACCAAACCTTGCCTCACAAACGCGTCGTCTCCGGCTACAATTACCAAAACCCGTCCGCAACCCAATCCGGATAGATCCGACGATTCGGATCCGACCACGTTAATCAACGGATCATCCGCTCCGTTTTCGCTATTCGGACTCGCGATTCCCCAGCTCCTTTCGATCCTCTTCCTCTTCGTCTCGTCTCTCGTCTCCATTTCGTCAATCGGAGTTTTCCCCCAAAAATAAGGATGGATCAAGATAATCCCAGAAATTAACGATTCTAGTTTCTCTTTTCTCGCTCGAATCGCTAGATGATGCGCGATGTTTCCTCCGGCGCTGTCTCCGGCGAGGAGTACTTTTCCGAAATCGGCGTGTTTGTTTATCCAGTTTTCCGGTCCAGATCCGTCGATATGAGAGAATACCCATTTGAGCGAATTCCATGAATCCTCGTACGGGATCGGAATCGGAAACTCCGGCGCGCGGCGGTAATCCACCGAGATCGCTAAGCAGTCTGCGGCGGCGACGGCGGATGTGAGGAAATTGTGGTAAGTCGGTGAGAAAGCGGATTCGATGATGAAGCCACCACCGTGGAAGTAGACGAGGACTGGAAGCTTTTCACCGGTCTCGGAGGTTTTTTCCGGGAGGTATATGCGGACGGAGAGGTTGTTCCCCGGCGAATAGAGGGTGTCTTTGGAAACGACGCCGTTTTGTGGGTTTAGAGACGGTGGGACAATTGTTTCTCCGATGAGACGCTCGATGCGGCCATTCTTGTAGACTCGATAGCCTGGAGAATTATCGAAGACGATTTCGGAATCCATTTTTTTATTTGGTTAAGATTGAGTGCAATGTTAAAGAAGTGAAGATGATAGATACTGTTTTGGATTTGGTGGTATTTATAGAAATGAGAAATTTCCGGTTTTTATTTGGTTCAACTTTGTGGTTTTGGTAGGATAAACCGAAGTAGAACCTAACTTTGTTGCAATTTTGCAATTTTGGATTCGATCCGGTTTTGGCATTAAAATTAACTCTATTTTCGTAGTCTATGTTAGTTAAAGATGCTAGGTTTCTCAATGAATTTCGATCAAATTGGTTTGGTATAGTAATGTTGGCGATCGCCTTTTGGGTTTGGTTGAAACGAGATGAGTGTAAAGCTTATCAACATGTGTGATGCAAATGGTTGAACTCAACTCATATGGATGTGATGTGACTTGTGAGAAACCGACTTCCTCAATGATAAATATATTATGTGGAGGAAAATAAATCACAGGCACAAATCATTCATAATGGTTATTCACGTTAGCGTATAGTTAGTCAATCAAATGAGTCTAGTATAATTCTCAATAATACAAAAGTACGCATAGTTTATTAGCCATTTCACAGATTTTTATTTTTTGGTATATCAACCATTTCAAATATTTATCACTCACTATATTACAAGTAAAAATCATTAACATCGATTTTTTTATTTGTTTGAATAAGTTATAACTGACGCAAACAGGTTTTCTATGACTATGAAAATGGCTAAGCAAATTTTTTTGGTCGATTTTTACAAATGAAATTCGGACAATTGCATTTCCCCACACTTTACTACGTAAATACTCAGTCCTTTTTTTAAAGAAAGATTTTCTATAGTTTATGGTTTGTTTCATAAAGTTAATTCTGTGTGGAAACCTCTAGTCTAATGGATAATCAAAAAGTCCATCAAGAAAATTTGAATTCAATTCTCAGATGATGCAATTCCAACAGAAACAAAAGCAAATTTATAAGAGAATCTTTGGTGTAGTGCAAGTTTTGTGGGTAACATTGTCTATTGTAAAATTTTCCTGTTAAAGAAAACCTATCAAAATTTATGTTTAATATATAAATCAGTGAATTGGTATTTAATGCAGTATAAATATAACTCTGTCCTACTTTATATTAGTTGTAAATCAAGTTGTGAAGTAGTTAGTAGTTAGTTATTAAGCTCGTTTTCTCATTAAACTTGATCAAAGAGCTTAAAATTGCTTATATACAACTTCACTTTAGCTCAACTTTCATTCTAACATACACATTAGTAAAATATCTATAATACACACATCCAATTCTTTTCTTGAAAATGAAAACACTACGCAGTCCGACAATACAGTATTGCCCCAACGTCATCCCCTATGTGGGTATGTAATGTGGAGGGGACTCACGCAGCTTGGCGTGAAGCTCCTAGCATGAAGGTGGCTCGAGAGAGCCCTGTTGCGGGCATCCTCGATGGGAAAATATACGTAATGGGTGGCTGCGACGCAGATGAATCCATGAACTGGGCTGAGGTTTTTGACACAAAGACTCAAACTTGGGAATCTTTACCTGACCCTGACCCTAATCAAGGATAACTTGCACTTCAAGTCTTCTTCTTCTTCAAGCTTACTTCAACAATCTTTACCTGACCCTGGCGCTGAGCTCCACTTCTCTTTGATTAAAACAATGGACGTGATCCAGGGAAAGGTGTACGTTCGGAGTAGCGTGAAGAAGAATTACGCAAAACATGGACAAAGTCAGCGAGTCTTGGAATGAGACAAGAACAAGATAACAACACTTCATTTCTTTTTGTTTGTCCTTACCAGCTTAATTGATACGATCCTAGGTGATCAACTCTGAAGCAAGAGGCAATAGATGTGGCGATGTGGTGGATGGGATGCAGCGATGATGCGATGGAGTGGTGATGGTGGCTGGTTGCGTGACTCGATGGGATGGTGAAGGTGGTTGCAGCGGTCGGATCAATGATTTGTGATGGTGCGAAGATCGATTGATAGTGTGGTGGTAGTGTGATAATCGAATTGATGATGATGAAGGATAGAAGAATCTCTTGTAAATAGATTAGTTTTAAGAGATTCGAATTTCAGAGTTTTTAGTTCTCAGAAATCAAAGAGAGAAGAGCACGTTAAAAGTTTGATCAAAATTCTTCACTGAATAATACTTAGGCGATTTTCTCTCTTAAATAGAGTTAGAGAGAAATCGTAACCCTAATACAAAACTACATGAAGTCTGAAATAAAACAACACGAAGTTTGATTAAAAAATAAAATAGCGAGGCGTCCCTTCTAAATCCTAAGTGGTGCGCCTAAAACAACTAGTGCACAAGTCAATGTGACTTTGCACGTTATTACCCATTAGTAACAACTTCTAAGTAACCCGACGTAGCAATGATTTCTGCCTCGTTAAAAACCTTGGAGAAGAACCTCCTTGCCTTCCAAAATCTTCACCAAGGAAAAGAATACAGAATCATCACCTAAGTTACCTAGTAATTGTTACTGGGTTCTTCATTCTTCAAGATAGAGATATTGAAGATGTGAGCTCCAGCCTCCAGTTGATCGATGTCCTCTGCAGCTATGAGTGCGTGAGCCTCCTTAGCCATCTCTCTAGCTCTGGAACGAGTAATCCTGCCAGCTACCTCTGGTTCCTCCTCCTCTGAGCTGGTCACGATCATATCATTAATGTTGATCAGATCCTCCGTATCATCTATATACTCCTTCAGCTGCAAACAAAATATCATAATAAAAAACGACGAATTCAACTGATGAAGAGAAACATCTAACTGTAACAAAGTGAGTATCTAACCGATGATAATTTGCAGAGAGTGTTATCAACAACGACAAAGTAGGCTTCTAGTAACATCACAAATGTCCCTTAAGAGTAGATAAGCATACTAGCTAACATTAAGTCAAATTCTCAAACCAAATTAAAACTGTCTGAACATCATGAAGGATTTTCTATTTGAAGAATTAATTTCTTCATGCATTCGTCAGACCACGGTGAGTCGAGAAAGATGTTTATTTTACCTTTTACTAATTTGTTTATATAGTGATGATTTTTTAAATTTATCTTCGCATATTTCGTTCTCAAGAAAATAAATTAAATTCACAACTGATATAAACTTTGTTACGAAACAGTGTTTGGCTCTCTGAGGTCCAAAGAGGAAATCTAAACGTTTCTTAACAAACTATGTTTTCTTTGATTTGGTTGTTGTTGTTTTTTTTTTTTTTTTGAGTCGGATCGCATATTTGCCGCATTATAATCCAAAAAAAAAGAAGAAGGGGTTGGAACCCACATTTCTATTTTAATGAAATATTGATGAAATGTATATATAGAAGAATTTGAGTAAAAAGAAAAACAGTTTTTGGCTTTTAAGATCACAATTTTCATTTTGTCAATAACAATCAAGTTTTGAGTCTTTTGACTATACTATTAGAAATTATACCCTCTGGTTTTTTGCTTGATCTTTGGCTTCTCATATTCAGGTTATAAGAATATATATCCATATGGACTCAATGCAAGTATAGGAACTATCAGAGTATATAAACTGTTCGCAAGTCTCTTTGTTACTTAATAGAATCGAACTCTGGATTTATGTTGTAACATTAAGATACTTGACTTTGAGGGTATTTTAAGCACAATTGTGCCTACAAAGAGGCGCAAGATTATAGATAAAGTGTTTCTTTATTTCAAATTTTCCCTAATTTTTTTCATTTAACTAGATAATAGAAATAGAAGACCTCGAAAACACTGGATTATTGTCATGCCATTATACACAAGCTCAATATAACAGAAACTAAGAAAAACTCGTCATTTCCGGTGACCAGAAGACGCCATGAGAATCGCCACGGCCGCCACAAACATGACCAACATGCTAACCAGAAGCACATATGTTCTTCTCGACGATCTCCGATACTCTCCAAACAAAACTATGCCCCAAAACGTGCTTACAAGAGGAAGTGCCTAAACCAAAAAAACAGAGCAGCTCATATACTCAAAAATCAAAATCCAAACTCAAAATCAATCAATATGAAGAAAAAGAAATATAGAGAGATAAAAACCCACCTGGACAGAGTCTGCAGCCGCATATCCAGCGGCTTGACCTCCCATAAACTGCAAACCGTTACCAAACCCACACAAGAATCCAGCAAACACAGCCCAACCTCTGCCTTTAGAGTCATTTACATACTTCTTAAGCGATGATCTCTCTAAGCCTACCATAGGCCGGTAAAGAAAGATGAGATTAAGAACCAAAGCGATGAGAAAACCCGCGATGGAGAAGTAGAAAAACGCTGTGTAGACAACGAGCTTAGGTACGCCTTTTGGCAATGTGCTCCACTGATCGTTTGTTGCTAAATTGAACGCAGGAGAGAACAGAGAGAGACAGATTCCGGCGAAGAGCGTTATGAATAGTCCGATCATTATGCTCTTTCCAAAGACCTGCGAAATGACCAAGGGTTTAAACACCGAGTAGTAATATATACTCTCCTTTTGCTATGTGATATTTGTAACAACAAAAAAGTTTCGAACTTTGAGTTCGTGGTTTCGGGTGTTTTTTTCTCTTTGGTCAGTGTTATTGAACCTTGATTGCCCTTTTGTTCTCTAGCTCTACGAAGAATCCTGCAGTCCCTGCTTTCGCCTTCCCTGTTGGTTTCTCTTGAGACTCAACGTCGCTTTTCACTGTTAAGGGTAAGAACAAACATAAGAAAAGGTCACAACTTTGATCAAAATTCCACCAAAAGATCCAAACTTTGATAATAATAATCCAATATCACCAAAAGATCCCAACCTTAGTTGAAATTTGAATTCTTTTGCTTTTTGCATATACCTTTTTCAGGGCTGTCTTCACCTTTTTTGATGGAAGAATAGAAATCTCTGTGAAAGGTTAGATCTTTGTTAAAACAGAACACGCTTTGAAAACATGGTGTAATGGCGAAGAAAGAGCAAGATCTTACTCTGTCCCAGCTTTATACTCGCTAGGTAAAGACTCGAGTTTCGCTTTGACATCAGCTGCGTTAGAGGAGTGAACTGCAGCGCCGAGGATAACAGCGATCAAGAAGCAACCAACTCCGGGAAAAAGGATCTCTGCTTTGTTAATCTTGTCGTCCAAGAAATAATTTAATGTAGTCCCTATAAAACTCACCGTGACAAGCAAGAAACCAAAGCAACACAAGTGATTTTGATTCATTACAAAACAAAAGAACGTAGAGGTTTAACATCTCAAGCTTCATTTTAAACAAAATTCTTAATTTATTTTGGGATTGTAGAGGTTAATGTAATTTTAAAACAAATGCAAACGCAAACGGAAGAAAAGTTTCATTTCGTTTAGCTCATTTCGTTTGAGTTTAGCGATTTCATTTGAGAGAATTATTTTATATACAAAGCTGAAAATGTTTTATGTTTTAAAAATGTTAAGAATTAATAATATGTATTTTCGCATATAAACGCAAACGCAGAAATTGTATTGGAAGCATACCAATGACGACGGTGATGCTTGCGGTTATAACTTCAGTAACAGATAAACCGACAAACGCAAAAGCGTATTGAGTCGCTAAATTCCCAACGCTTAGAAGCACACCGCCAGCGACTGCAAGCAATACCGATGGCCAGTTATCCTGTAAATTCCTCGGATTACCAATCAAGTTCATGTAAATATCAAGAATCTCAAGAAGGGACCAAACCTGAGGGAGCTGAGTGGTGAAGTCAGGTGTTCGAAACGTGCTTTTTCCAACCTCGCCGAGCGAAAACGCGATCACGATTGCGGCCAAGAGATTTGCGGTTGTGAAGTCAAGAAAAGTATGTTGAGGAAGACGACCTCTTCTCTCCAACAGAGTTAAAATCGCTGGCCAACTTCCCAAACAACATAATGAGAGTATCATACATCCTATAGCTCTTGCTTTGCTCTCAACAACATACATCTTCTTTTCTTTTTCTTGCTTCTTCTTCTTTTAACACAAAGACTTCTCTTTTCTCTTGATATTTATGGGTTTTGCCTTTTACCCGGTTATCCCCACCGCTTTGGAGACCTGTCCGGTTTATCTAAACCAGATCTTCTCATTAACTGCATGTATGTTGTTATAGTTGTGTGGAGAAGGTTACATGTGTATATCAAAATTTATGTCAATAAGGGGTTTCAAGACACATCGGCATTTTCAGCCTAATAAGACCAAAAAGAGCTCAGATATGTTTGGACTTTGAGTCTGCATTTGACAAGTGATCAACTATTACTTCACATGTTATTGAAACGGAGAATATCTATACGCTTTGAATCTGATAAAAACGGGTTATGGTATTACACGAATAAGCTCAAGTCCCAATGAGATTCCTTATCAGACAAAAACTTTGTTTATTAGGGAATCATGTTGCAGTACGATGATAGCCACAAGAGATGCTTACAAATTTCAGTACTAAGTTATGCAATAATAAAAATAAGGTTTTGTTTTGGGAGAAGCCTGAAACATCTAGTCTAAGAATCAGTGGCCGTTTCCAAGTTCCCATCACTAGATTTGTCTTTTGCCGAATGATTGAGGAAGTTCCCAAGTAGCCTTTGATCCAACACCATGTTAGGTACCTGCACAGTAAAGAATAATACTTCTTCAGAACAGCAGAAACAGAGAGATCACAGATTAGAAATGAGAGAGAGTAGAGAAAAACCTTGTCCCCAAAGAACATTTTGGTGTTACGGGCAATGGCATCGATGAATTTGAGCTCGAGAAATTCAGGGGTGAGCTTCAACTTGTTAGCTTCAGCTTCTTTCAGTACTCTTGAGAGATTAAGCAGAAAGTGAAGATTAGATCCATTTTATTCTATATATGTTCTATGTTTGCTTATTTTAAGAACAAGATGTATGAGAATAAAGACTGGCTATTACCGGTAGTAATCTGCATCCGCGAGACTCTTTTGACGATCAAGATACATCTGATTCTCGATATCTGCTTCTCTCCGTGAACTGTCTTTCTCAGTCAGCTTCTGTTGCATCAGAATCATGCTAACATTGGCGTTCTTCTCGGCTTCACTAATGGCCATTATTTTCTTGGTCTCTGCCTCTTTCTCAGCAACTCTTTGTTTCTCAATAGCAATCAAGACCTTCAAAATCATTCAATTTTCAACTGTGTAAACAATCTTAAACCGATCTGTATTTGCTAAGGAGATTCCTACACCTTCATCAGGCATTATACTAGAATTGGAACCACAAAAAAAACAGAGGGGACTGAATTGCCAAGGGTCGAAAAAGAGTGTACCTTAGTGCGTTCCTCTTCCATTTGCTCAAAGTTCCTCCTTACACTCTCTGGAATTTTCGGTTTTGTGACACGCACACTAATAATTTCAATTCCTGGAGCATAACGTGTGCAATCAGCCTGGAGAGCCTCTTTCATTCGTTCATCAATCTAAAACACATTTGATTGAATAAATTACCGAATGCCATTGTATATTGTCACCAGATATCAGAGAACGTAAACATTATCCAAAGTACGGTTTATTCACTGCGATGAACCAGTCAATTACATGAGCATAATATTCAAACTGAATGTCAAACAGCTATAAGCTTTTAAACCTTTAAGATCAAAGTTTATATGTTTCCATAATGGTAGTTAAGTACCTGGTCAAAGATGTCAATGTACACTTGCTGAAGCGAATGCGAACTGCAGAACTGGTTGATCTCATGATGTATCTTGTCATATATCCATGTGTTATCATAGTTCACACCATAGTTGAGCAAAGTGTCATAAACATAATCCTTACGCAAACGATTAACAACCTAAAATCATTTTACTCTGGTCAAAACATGAGAACAAAGATCAACAGACTTTAAGCAGCGGTAAATGCTAGTAGAAAGGTCTTACCTCTATCTTCTCAAAGGTAATCATGACACCTCCTTTGGTACCACATGGTATATCCTTAACCTAAGGCAGAGAGAAATACTTAGTAAACAAAGCTACAATCCAAACACCTACAAGCTTTCTTAAGGGAATGAAAAACTTACCTGATCTGTTTGGAGAGTGACTTGAACAGGCTCGTAGTTGGTTATGAAAGGCAACTTCAGATGAAAACCTAAAGCAAGGAACGGTGTTTCAAATCAAAAACAGCAGAAGAACGAAACGGAGATGACACTGAGGAAAAGGGATAAGTAGTAATACCTGGCTCTGTAATCATGTTGAGAAGAGCACCACCTCTCCAATACGCTCCAACGTGACCTTCAGGAACTTGGTGCACCAACGATGAAGGGAACATGACCTGCTAATCCATTACATAAAGTAAACCCGTTAACAAAGAGATGTATAAATTTTGATGTTTATCTAAGAATATAAAGTCATCGTCTTTAAGTCAACTTGGGATACAAAGCTCCAGCATTGCGATTGTGGGTAAACTCAAAATCGAAGGAAGTATCTAACTTGTAAGAGAGAACCGATTTCAGTAAAAAGGATCAAAGTGAAATGCATCATCGAATCTTATATAGCGAGAAAAGACGATTTACCAAAGCGGCGATTGCAATGAAAACACCGAACGCAACGAAAATCGAAGTTACATCGCCGCCGGGTTCTCCGACTGGAGGACGGTGGCCAGTTTCTGTTCTCCGTTGCTGAGGATCCATGGCGAATTTGCTTGACCGGGAGGGGTTTCTTCTTCTATGTTCAGTGGAAATTTGGAAACTTGGGAAATGGGTTTTTCAATGATTCACCTATGGAGGTTTTAATATGGTGTAGGAAGAAAGATTGTAACTTTGTGTGAGTATGCTAATCGAACCATTGGATTGAGATGGGTCAACGGGTCGGGTTTTGTAAGATGGGTTGGCTAATCTCCAAAAAAAATTTCATCACTTTCTAGTGAAGTCATTGCAGATTTGTTAAGACCATTTAGGCGTAGTCTTTAGTTTGTAATATTATATCATTTTTTAAATGTAACTCTTTTTCTTATTTTTTTGGTGATTCTAATATCTTAAGATTAATGGGATAAGTATATTAATAGCAAAAACAAATTTTAAACTTGAAAAGATAGATTCAAAACAACATCGTTCAAATTCCACATAAAGCACCTTTCTTTTTTTTTGGTAAAAACCACATAAAGCACTTAATAGAAGAGACCCTTTCTGAAGAAACAATCTTATCACACACTCCACAAACTTTGGTTTAGGTAGGAGATCATGCATGATTAATTTGTCTTGTCTGAAAGAAATATTGTTTTCGTTTCGTTCTCTTTTGTGGCTTAATGTTATCTAGTTCATGTGATAAATCATAACTTTAACATAACCAACAAGTTGGTGAGTCGTTCACATCTTCTAGTCATATTTAGAATATCTAGTGATGGTTCGGATTTAGCCATCTAGGGAAAGAGAAAAACAAAAGAAATGTAACCAAAAACATCAAAAGAAACTCTTATAAACCGAACCAAAATCAAACCAAACTAATAAAGTACTAGTGTTGTTTATTTGGTTTAAGTTTTTCTAAAACGACAAAAATCCAAAACGGGAAAAGTTAAACTGAAGCCAAACCGGTAAACGAATTGGATCAGTCCGATCTTAATAATACCAATTCTATATGGACCGATACCGATTCAAATATAATCTGTTATAAACAAAAACTCGGTTCAATCCGTGATTAAGTGTCAAAGACAACACAAAAAAGTGTAAAAGACCACCAAAAAGTGTAAGAAAAAATGTATCAGATTTGTGAGATTCTATAGAAACCGATAAAAAATCAAAACATGCTTTTTAAAAACCTTTACAAATCAGGACCAAATCCAAAATCAAACTGAATCGGTCGACCTAAGTAACTTTTGGTTCACCACACATATATATTTTCTTGCTACCATATAAATGCTAGTGCTTTGGTTTGATTTTGGGGAACTTCATTAAACCCAACCAAAATCAAACCAAAGTATTTGGGGTTGGTTTTGATTTAAAATCATTTCGGGTTGGTTTCTCAGTGACCGAATCAATTACGTTTTCTTTGTCCATCCCTAGAATCAACCCATAAACCACGTCCACAACAATACATATCTTTGAGGCTTTGAGCCATAATTGACTCTACTTCTTCCCCCATTTTGCTACAATATTCTCATCATGTTATATTTCTCTTTTCTCTGCGTATAACACCTAAATAGAAAGATTCCATTAAATCAACTCTTACTTTACATTGCATGCGTGACAGAGAAAAATACCAGAAATTAATAGATTTCTTATATATAAAAAAAGACTAACATCAAGAAACCAACCCTACTAAAGTGGAGTCTGCCTCAAAGAACTTGCATTCACATGTGGCAAAATCTCATCCGTACATCAGAAACATCAAGCCCGCTTTCTAATCACATTGCCTTTTCATAGAAACGCAAAGACGGAGAAACCAAGTGTGAGTGCTAATGAAGTGAACAAACTCAAAGCATCATTCCCTGAAGGATCAAAAACTCCGGTCGGACCAAACGCAGGAGGTCCCGGGAACGTTGGTGTTCCCAGAGCTCCGGTCGTCGGAGTTGTCCCTGCATTTCTGTAAGAACACAAAAACAAAACAAAAAAACTTTCAAGTCACGTTATGAGAGACAAGTTTTGACCAAACAATATGTCTCGTACCAAATCTTGAATATTAAGAAAAGAAAGGAACTTTATCGTCAATTGCAGCTGTTGAGATTGGTTGGTGGCTATGTCTTGATGGTGTGGAAGGAATAAATAATCAAAAATGAAACTAAAATTGTTTTTCCCTTTTTAGGAGTTTTTTGGTAAAATCTCTGTAAGAGTTTAATGAACGTTTAATTCCATAAACATACCCAGGACTTGAAGGATAGATGCAGCCAGTAACCACAGCTACAAAACCAACAAAAAAAAAGACAGAGGAAATCATCAAAAAAAACAAAAAAAATACAGCTTTTACTTCATTAAACCAACAAATTTAGATTTCAAAGATTTGGTTTTTTTCTTAAGAGGAGTTACTTGAAGGAGGATTTGGGCTGGTAGTAGCAGTTCCTGAGAAATTACAGCTTCCAGCGAGTTGTCCAGCTCTTTGGAAATAGCTATTCACTGCCCAATCACAATGACTCTTGACATCGTTGGGTTGGTAACAAGGACCTTTCTCATGGATTGGATTACAATCTGCTAAAGCTCCACATGCATAGTCTATTGATGTTTGAAGCGCTTTCTCTCCGACTCCATCTCTGCATAAACAGTAAGTTGCACCTAGAAACAGAGAAAGACAGAGGAAAATGTGTTTAGATTGAAACCTTAAGAACAGTGAATGATTTGGATTAAAAAGAGTTCTTTTGATAAGATCATTGTGATTGGTGGAGACCCATATTGAAAAAGAAAAAAAAATGCTTTTAATGAAGAATTTGAGAGAAAAATGGTCAAAAACAGAAAAACTTACTTGAATAGCTGGTTAAGGCCAAGAGAAACAATAGACCAAGAAGCAATCTCATGATGATTATTCTAAAGAAGGCACCAATGCAAGTGTCTCTTTACCCCAAAGCTAAAACACAATCGAAGATGAGAGAGGAAAAGAAGGAGAGAAATAAAATTAGAATTAGTCGATGAGAGAGATTCGGACAGAGGGAGACGAGTTTATTAATAAAAGTGACTGATAAGACCATACCTCTCTCCAGTTCCAAGGTTTAACCACAGACAAGAATCTGAAATTTCAATGTCCAAACTCCAAATATTTATATGGTCCATGGTTAATTTCTGAACATTTCTTATAAAAGAATATAGAATCATCTAGTAGTTGTCAGAAAATCTTGTAAATATTATGTGAATATCTCACCATTCATATTTGTATCTATGAAGTTTGATTATAAAATCTCTCTATCAAATAACCGTTAATGTTAATATTATGAGAGTGAATATAATTCTTTCCAATACAATCCTCTCATCACCTTCAATATTATATGTTTATTAATGCCAATATTTTTTTGGTCGTCTGGTACTATATTTAATTATTCCTAGTTATTATTAAAAGCATGACCAATTAATCGTGATTTGATCGTGAGACCACCATAATGGTCTGGATTCAGGAATGAGACTTAATACAACCAACAGTTTATTTTTTGTAAAGCATTTGGGTTGGAAAAATGGAAAATATTAGCATTTCATTGATGAACGAAGACATTTGGGAAATTGACACATTTTAGAAAATATTTGCATTATATGTGAGTTAATGCTGACCTGGCCCTCTAGTCCTTTTTATGGTTGGTGGCTTGGTGCACGATACATTCGAAGTTTAGTAGTAATTAATAAATAGTTTCATTTCGTAGCACTATTCGTAATTTTTAATTTATACCTAAACGGTAATTAGTAACCCATGTGTCGGGTCAAAAGTTAACCCAACATTGGTATCATGGTTTCTGCAGGTTCTGTTGTCTCGGCATCAGCGTCGTTAACTTGTTATTGTTTGCAATATTTTTTTTTATAACAGACTGTATTATCTTTATATAATAAGATTAAGAGATTAATTTACCAGTTAACTTAACTATCGAAGATAAATAACCGTACCAAATTTAATTTAGTAAGAGTGTAAGACAAATGAATTCAAGCACGATGAAGAGAGAAATTATCAGTCAAAACATATATATAAAAAAAAATTATATATATATATAGTCACTTATTGAAGAATTGTTAAAATGTTGAGGAGTTGATCTGTTGGTGTTACGGTTTGATTTTTTTTTTAACATAAAATTATCTAACTAATTTTATTTGACTAATTGAAATGGTATCACATTTTAGACACATATAAAAATCTGATGATTGAACTACTTGACAGAATGCCCGTATATGTGTCCAAAATTATTTGATTAATCTGATTGAACTAATTGAAATGCTATCATTTTTAGACTCATTGTAGAAAAATTATTTCGATAGTAAAAACTCAGATAAATCAAATAATTTTGGAGATCAAAACCCGTATAGTATCAAAAATATTTGTTTCTAATTGCACTACTTTTTTAGATAATTCAGAAACACAAAAACTTTAGACAATTCAAACGCTTACCACTACTAATTTAAACAACACTTTGACAAAATATCACTACTCTGACTCTCAAAACAAATATAATACAAAACATAAAATTGTTGGTTGACAAAAAAAACGTTAATGGTTATTATTTCGAGTAAAAATAGATTGATTTGTCGAAAAAAAAACAAGTACAGTACAGTACATTGAGTTACAGAATAATGTTTATTCTGAAATAAAAATTTCTGTTTGACAAGTTTTCTGAAACAAAATCAAACTTAAAAATAAATATCTTTTATAAAAGTAATTCAAGAAATGGAAATGGCGGATTTGTCTTGTAAGCTGAATTAGCCACCAATATTGAATGAGAATATTCTCATTTTGTTAACTAATAGGGAAAAATTGCGAATATAATTTTATACCTGGCCCTTTTAACGAAATATAATTTTATATGTATACTAATATCATAATTATTAAAGAAAAGAATCAAAGATGACTTTTTGTGTCATTAGTTGATTTTCGTTATTCGTTTAGAATGATTCTAACAAAAGCACAGTAGAGAGAGGTGTACCATTTAAACCTAGATTAACATCAACCAAGATACGTTCTCGGTTCTCGTAACTAAAAAACTTAGATCTAACACCTTCCAAATTTTGATATTCTTTTATTTATTCATAGCTATTTTTTAGTAATACAATATTTTGACATATTTGTTGCTGTTTGTAAATATAGTTAGCGTAATATGATCAATGGAAAAAAAAATAGATACATGTAAGGAAGTGCTTACTTTTGTAACTAAATAATACGAAAAGAATATAGCTGACTTTTAGAGCATAACTGATAAATCTAAGGACCACTCCACACCTAGTGATCCGTTTATATAAAATAGACAGCATCGCGCATGAAAAATATATAATAACAATCATATATTCAGAATTTGGTGGCGTAAATATATTTAGGGAAACCTATTGCCCAGATAAAATGAATATTCTAAGGTTTTTTAAAAAAAAATTGACATGTTTTTGTGCCAATTACAACAAAGTTTACAAATACAAATAGTTTCAACAATCTAATTTAAGATAATCGTTTTAAACGTTTGGTTAGATGAGTAGTATTACGGATCATTTCTAGAAATGGAAAATGAAAAATACCTAATATGTACATGTAGACGATTGATTAATCAAGTTAGCCATGATTGAACGCCTACACATATTCATTATATTAATATAGACTATCCAAACATATAAGAGTATGATCCACCAACTAATGTAAAAAGAAAGACAAAACAGAGTACATCTTTCTAGCTAGGTATGGGAGTAAGATGGTCATAATGATTTTCTAATTAAGTGGCATAATATTAAACAAGAGTAATCATTAAGAAGTCCATAAAAACACTCGCTGCCTCTGGCCTACGATACATTTTTCTGCTGAGAAGTCTATAGAGAGATACAAGCAATGAATTTAGCCACGTAGCCACCCACAAACCCTAACCCTAGATTCAATCTCTCTAAGTAAATTAATCAAGAAGAAGAAAAAAATATAAATTAGAATTTGAGAGTTATTTCACTTCCATTAATATTGCTGTGATCATCACCTTCTTCCCTAAGAGCAGCCAATCCTTTTCTCTCTCCGTCACCACTCTCCGATGACTTTCCTTCATCGGCGGCATTGTCTGTTGACTGATGATGAGCTGAATCTGTGGAGGTTGTGCCACCGCCGGATGAACCGTTAAACGTTTGGAATTGGTGGTGGTGGAGCGGCTGAGGTGGAGGCGGAGTTGTGTAGAATTCTTGAGAGCAAAAGTGTGGTGGAGGCTGCGTCGCCGTAGTGGAGTGGTGATGGTGGTGGACCTGGGGGTGGTAGAGACTCGGTGTGCCGCCGTGTGCGGTGGTGTATTCTGGTGGGACCCATATGCCACCTAGGACCACTAAATGTGGACCTGGGCCACCTGATGTTTGTGGGCTTGGGCTTGGTCTTCTAGTGTGAAGCCGATACTTCTGTTTAAAAGGTACTTAATTATGAGTTAAAACAATTGTAAGCATATTGTGGTGACTTGTGATGTAAGTTACCTGGAGATGACTTTTGACTTCATCGTTGGTCAAACCATCAACTTTCATAAGTTCTCTTATCTGTTTTGGTGTAGCCACTGCAAAAGTATAACAAACCACCATATAACTTTTATTCATATATATCAAGTCAATTCGATTAAAAAATGAAGACTTCACTTTAAACATTAAGCTAAAATGGTTGTTTTTAATCTATCCAATCTAGTGAACTGAAATCAAATCCAAATCTCAATTGAAAATACAAGAATCAAATCGAATTTTAGATTTATTTGAAAATTCACTATCTTTCGAATGGGAATTGAATATGAATCATAACTTTTATCGTGTGGAGTTTATCCACAGCATATCCTGGTTGCTATTTCATTTATAAACCGAAACTAAAAAGCCTCCGACTAAAACTTATATTTATTTCAAAATAATATACATATACTGTACGACTAATAAATGAACAATAACAAATTTTAGAAGTAAATTCGATCCACAGTATATTTGTTCACTTAAAGATTCGAACAAAGCCCAAAACTGCAAATTAGATTCTTGAGACTCCTAAAGATATATTCAGAGTTGTATAAATGAGTGTACAATAGTGATAAAAGTCATTCTAATTAGTCGATAGTTATGTGAAACAATATCCATGACCATGATAAACCTAGAGCAAACGAAAGCTAAATAAAATAAATAAGAGTACTTATATGTACCTTGAGAACCACCTAGCATTTGAAGAGCTTGGACAAATCTCCGGTGCAAATCCGGCGACCAGCAACGCCGTGCTTTTCTATTACTTTGATTTGTTGTAGATGAAACTCCATTGCTATTCGTAATGTTATGATTATTATTGTTATTGTTATTACCATTGTTGATCATGGTCTCATCATTACCGTCATTAGTATGTTCATTGGCCGGAGAGACTCTTTTGACTTCCGTAGACAAAGCTAATTCGGGCAAAGATTGTTCCTTAGAGAAAGGAAGAAAAGCACCGCCGCTATTTCTTTGTTTTGCATCAAAATGTCTGAGTCTCGGACTACTAGCAAGCTCGTCTTTGGGAGACTGGTCAGTAGTTTGATCAATGTTTTTGGGTTTGGTTTCGGGTTGGCTCCAAAGCTGAGCAGTTGTCATCCAGTTATTCCCTTTGTTATTCGCCTTTTCAGGTACTTGGTTCCTCAAGGGTATGAACTCTTCAAGAACCGGTATTGTGGCAACACTTTGGTTGTTATTGTTGTTGTTACTATTTGCTCTATATGCTTCTAGCTGTTGTTTGTAAACTTCCACAGCTGAAAAAAAGATATTTAAAAGTAATTTACAATATGAAAGTTAAAGATGCAACTAACATGAACCTTATAACCTTTAAAATCACTTTAGTTTTATTTGTTGAATTCAGTGATGGGAGGAAGCAAAAGTTTTGTGATTCAAAGAAATCAAAAGCAAGCTCTGATTTTTATGAATTAAATTCTTAAATAAATGAATAAAGATCTTTTTGAAAAAGTAAAAAATTCAAAAACTCTTCTAGACGTTTAAAGAATTAATGGTTTTATCAGTTGGGTTTTTTGGTCTTGTTTTATTAGCTAAGACATGTATTCTTTCGTGGCAAAGGAAAGATTTTAGTTTATATTATACAAAACTATATATATATATATGTACATATATGTAACTGGATATATATATATATGTATGTACCGTTGTTAAGGAGCTGCATGCAAAGGGGAAGCTCGCGCTTGAAGGCATCGATCTTGAGACGTTCTTGTTCGAGGCGAGAAAGCAGATCTTCAAGCTTTTGTGTGGTTTGATTGCTCTGAAAATTTTCTCCAAAGGATTTCAAAAGCATAGAGTAGCTTTGTGGCTTGCAATCCAAGCTCAGTTCTGACGAGGAAGCCATATATATCGCCTACACAATCTCTCTCTCTCTCTCTTTCTCTGTATGTGTATATAAGAAGAATATCTAGTAGTGTTTTTGGCTATAAATAGATGATCAAGGAATCAAGAAGAATTTGTGGTGGCTTCAAGGTTTCAGATGATGTGTATATGCTAGATGTTTCTTTAAAAATATATTCAATGATTTTGAGGGTTTGTGAATATTAGGGTTTGGAGAAGAAGAGAAAATGAAGAAGAAGATAGAGGAAAAGGGGAATAAAATGTTAGGTTGTGGACACAAGGAGGATCACGAGGAGGTTCCTGTCCTTTTTAGAGGGCTCAATTCAAAGGGAGGGAATAAAGTGATCTGTCACTATACACATATATACACATATACTATATATATTTATATATATATATATATATATCAGAGAGAGAGAGAGAGAGAACATTCTCACTATTAGAAATCGTTCCTCTTCTCTAATGATCAATGAGTCGATGACTATATATGAGTACTGTGGCTCTTTAAAGCTTACTAATTAAGGCTGGTGATACGGTTGCTACCATAGATGGTTTCATGAATCGAAGATTGATTAGTGAACAAATTTCCTAACCGTGCAGTAATTGAAAAAAAAAACGATGCGGTTAGAAATAGCTATAAATATAATGTTAATTCAGATATATTAGTGTTTTCTATAAACTCTGATAAAAATGAAAACCGTTTAAAGCCTTTTTATTTGTATAACAGATTTCCATTTACAAAAAAATATGGGTGACGCGTAAAATATATGTGTTGGGTTGTAAGCAGACTTACCTATCCAAAATTACAAGCAACATATTTATCAATGATATTTGTATTTTTTTTTCTGCCAATTAGAAATTCCCGTATGTTTGATTGGAGTAGTCTTATAGACGACATAAATTGTGCTGTCATAGCAACAAAATTATCAACCATATCGTCGAAACTTTAAATGTACTCAAATCGTTACAAATATGAACTTTGCAGTAACTTAATAGCATATATATTTATGGCTCAACTTAAATCAGCAGACTACAACCACTACTTGATTGTTATTGACTTAATTATATTTAGTTTTTGTTTTCTAATCACTTCTTTTGTCGTGTTAACTTATTTTTAATATAATTCCATTTGAAAGAAAGAGAAAAGAGAGGCTAAAGGAGAAAAGAGGAGGATATAAAGCATCAGAGAGCAAAAGGGAATATATGGAAACTTGTTATAAAGAACAAATGGGTAAGAAAAAAAGCTTTATTATTTCTATTAAAGCGATTTATTGTTTTAATCTCAGATTCCGCTTTTGTTGGTTCACCACTTCACATAGCTTATAGTTTTGTGAATTCAGTTTTTTTTTTTTTTACTGTAATATGTTTCCTAGCTGTGGTACTGCGCTTTAATAAATTATTTAAGCTATTGACAAAAATAGGTTTAAGCTAATAATTCTGATAATATTTTTTTATTCACCGAACTTGTTAAATAAATTATACAACTTTAAAGTTTATGTCATATGAAAGGAATCAATAGTAAACATTTTTGGTACATTTCTGGCAATTTTAGAGTCGTTGCCAAACAAGAAAAAAAAAATCTTCTACCACCTTGTATATGTTTTATTAAATTAAAAATGAAATTTTGAGATTCAAAATAAATCAAAGAAGCATATACTAGGCAACAAGATTTTTATATTTTTCGTCGCACGAGAGCGAGAGAGAGAGAAAGATAAACGACTGATCAATTATTTTTTCCAAATCGAATTAAATATAAAGTAGAGTAATTATTCAAATTTTTAGTGGATGTAAAAGATAGAAAGAAAGGGAATATCTGATTTATATTACCATAAACTAGGACAGATATTCACTATAATAAATAGTATTGAAAGAGGTTTGAGAGTCGCAGAATCTTCCCACCGGGCTTTAGTGAAGTGGCCAGGAAGGTAGAAGATTCTTGCTTAGAAATATTTTAAAATGAAAAGACCTTTGTTATACCTATATCTATTGCACTGTCAGTTTTCATTAATTAGTGTAACACTGTAACTAATGACAAATTGACAATTACACATTCTTTTTCCAACTTTAAACTTTAAACTAAAATAAATTTGTTGGTTGTTCTATCGGAGATTTTATTTTGCAAAAGAAAAACTAACTAACAATGTTCTAGACTACATAAATCAAGCATGATTGTAACGAAATGAAACGAAATGAAATAAAATGTAATGAATACTAACAAACCTATCCTGAATCAAGCATGATTCATCCAATAGATTAGAGAAGGTACTGAGACTTCTTGAATCTAGACTTATGGTATTGCATATTTAATATTTGTTTCTCATATATTGTATAAGTAGCCAATTCGCATCTTCGGAGTTGGGACACTGTTCCGACATGCATATCCTAAAATTTTGGTTATCCAATTCAAATGTTTCATTTTTCTTAAAATTTATCCTATATATATACAAGTGATATTGTATTAATTTATATGCTTCTATTTTAATTTCTTAATCATTATTCTTTATTCTCTTATCTCATTTTTTACCAAAAACTTTAAAACTTTTTAGTTCATATACTTTCTATATATAATCCCATAACTAACAATCAACTAAACATACTAATATCATGATACCGTTCCTGCCTTTATTTCCTTTTACAAGATAAATGATTATCTAGGGTTAGGGATGTTAAAGTAGGCTCAAAATTTGTGAGTTTAGGGCATATTACGTGAAAATAAACTCTTTTAATAATAAACAGGTTGAATGAGCTATCCTGATTAGGTATATTTATTAAATATGGTTTAAAGCAAAAACGGATAGCTCAATTATTAGATCCGACCGATGATCAGATTATTTCAGCAATAACCAAATCAGATCCGACCGAAAACCACGTAACTGAACAGAGTAGATCATCGCAAAATCTCTAGTTATGTCAACAAACAAATATTAAAAAAAAAAAAAAACGTAACTTGGACTACTCGTATCTTTATCCTTTTTTAGAGGCCACAAAAGTAGAAAAATTAACTCTTTTGCGAGCCGACAAAGAAAAAAAAAAGTCTTTTGAAAAACGCATAATTTTTGACATAAGTTTTAGTGACTTGGGTATATTCTTGTATTTCTCTTTTATTAGGTTGCTTGTTTGTTATTGCCCTGATTTCTAGATCACCATATCTATTATATTAAAACAGAAGTATTTTAAGCGTTTGTTTCTAAACACTTTCAAATTTTTTTAAAAAAATATATTTTTTATGTTTAAATTTATTTTCTAAACCCTAAAATTAGATATAAATTTAGATAACTATTAGTTTCCTTAAATATAGGTTATATCTATAGTCTATAGATATTAATTTAATTAGACTTCCTTAAATTTAGGTTAGATCTAATTTAACATTTGAAATTTAAATAAAATTTTTAGAATAACGCATATGATTAACAAATATCTTATTACATTTTTAATCATATTCTATCAGATTAAATTTTTATATATTGAAAATAGATAAATATTAATATTATATAATAATTTGATGGGACAAGTTAAATTTTTTTTTATAACTATGGTAGGTTAGATTATCAAAGCATGCAAGATATTATAAGAAAATTATTTTAAAATTAGAAAATATTTATATTATAAAGTAATATAAACGAGTGGGTTAAAATTATAGTTTCATAATCATAGTCTTTTTTGAATTAATAAAATGAGCGAGTTAGAAATATATTTTTATAATAACAATCATTTTTTGATTATTAAAATAACCGGGTTAAAATTATGTTTTTATGATCATAGTGATCATAATAATACTGAAAAAAAAATTATATCTAAACACAATTTTTTTTATATCACTTATTAAAAAATTATATTTATATAGAAAACATAAATTAGATTACAAATTTGATTAAAACAAAATTTTCGTGCAAATGTACGGGGTAAAATATAGTATTTCTTTATTTACGGCGATTTATCGGATCAATCAAACTGACCTAAACTGATCTGTCTGATTATAAGAAAATCAACCCAAAAATTAAAATGTATCATTTATATAATGCTGTTTCCTTTTATGTATCCAAAATTGATAGCAAACACCAACCAAGTCGGAATAAGCAAGCATAATAAATTAGAGTGGTATCCCAACCAAGAAAATTGCTTCTTTTTAACTGGATTTAAACATTCTAACCACAATTTGTTATTTTTATATAATTTGACATGTATTCTGGCAAAGTCGTGAGTATTTGCCGAGACTAGAATCATGCCTTAGATATTAAAAATTAGGCAATGGTTTAAGGTCACTTCAAAGTTAACAAAATTATTGGACCACATTTATTCCAAAAGTAAGCTTATATATATATATATTAATATATATATATAGTTTAATACATGTGTTTAGTTTATTTGTTTGAAAAATTTCATAATCTTAAACATTTTTATTGTTTTAAGAGAAATTAAACAGTTTGGTTATCCTATCAATACAAAGAATTGATTATAAAATTTGAATATGTGAATTTGATGAATGTTTTTATAGGAAAAATGAGAATAATTCTAAATTAGAATTTCTATATTATCTATTCTTTATTATCATTATTTTTATATGTTTTAATTTAATGTTATAGTTTTTTTTAAAAGTGTTATTTTTATAATAAAGACCATATTTTTAAATTTTACATTAGGCCTTTGTAAATCTAAGCACGGCACTGGCCGAGACAATTACTTTTTACTGAATCATTGGTTATTTTATTTTTGCTAGAGTTCTTTTTCAGATTTAAGTAGTAAAAAAGTATACTTTTTAAAAATATAACCAGGCAAGATAAATTAGTATCTGAGTCACAGTTTTATCGGTCTGACCGACCGGGTTGGTCTAGATTTGAAAACACTCATCATAAAAAAAGAGAGCTTGAAATTAAAGAATAACATGTAAAAAAGAAGAAGAATATAAGAAAAAGGAGAGTGAGAAATATTCGGGAGTCCGTATTTAATACAGACAAAGGGGATATTCAGACAGATATCAAAGCTAAGAAGTAAGTCGAAACGTGTCACGAGAGAATCTCTTTCGTGCGTGCTTTGCATGGGATGCTAAAAAAGAAATAACTCTCTACTTTTCCACAAAATTATAAAATGAAATTCATTCCCGAATTAAAAGAAAAGAAAAGAAAAAGAGGAACTAAAGTTGGATTCTAAAGAAGAATCTTTAGAAAAGTTAAGGGTTGGAGTCTTGCAGATGAAGATTTTAATTGGTTTGGACAAATGCGACCACCCAATCAATTTTTTTTAATCCATTTTCTGTTATTATATTTTCTCATGTTATATAATTTAATTTTTTACATATTTACTTCTCCTAAATAGAAAAAATTATTTTTCGTATTCTATTTTTTTTGGGGGGGAGGGGGGAAATTTATTACTAGTTGTAAAAAGGTCTACTCAAAGGAGATGAATTATCGAATTCGAGACTCTAATAATACAAAGGGAATTCCGCAATGACTGGTTAATATATTGAGGGAATTAGGTACCTTCTATTTTTCAAGAACATTCTATTTATATATAAATATATTATAGTTTTCACTAGCTTTAACTTTCATGCAAAGTTCTCTATTGCTCTTATCCTATTATATCATCTGCATATTCTAACATGATAATTTTTTACAGAACACATGAGCGAGCAATCCAATCTAGATATACGTGTATATTCGTGGCTACGTGTATCTACAATATATATAAATAGATTGTATATATAGAGTTTAGACGGTTTAGACTAAAGATTTATATATAGAGTCAAAGAATTTTAGTCTAGTGATTAAGTATGTAAGATACCAAAATCAGTATGGATTATAACTTGTATGGACATTTAGTTAAAATCAATTAGCAATGAGTATGTTGTATTGTATATATCTAGTATATCATACTTCAACTTTAATTTTATTTTTTTATGTCGGACTTTTAACACGCATTTTTAATATGTTGACTCTTCCAGTTCATTTTTAACCAAATATCTTTGTAGGATTGCCAGCATACCCTTGTTTAATTTGGGCTATCATACATGGATCAAACTGGGTTTTGATACATGTTAGATTTCATATTTTCTTAACTCAAAATCAATCAAGACTTATGTGGATTAATCTATGTCCTTTATATTATTCAGATTATTCCATTCCATGGTATATCAAGATATTGTTTCTTTTAAGATAGCTCTTTAAATATAGCCGATAATTTTTCTGAACTATGCCAGTACTAAACAGTATGTAAGGAATATCTCATATCTAAATGTTAAAAGTTAGCTCCTGCTGGAAAACGACTCAAAATCTGCGGAAATGTAAGATCTTGGGAATATTTTGTCGTGGAAATATCGTTGTTTAATTATGACGAATGAATTGCGAATACATTTGGGCTTTAGTAACGGAATCATAGAGGGAATTGCCTTGGCCGAAGCAACTAACCAATTACACGGAGAAAACGCTCTGCACGTCGCTAGCACATCACACATTCACATGTAATAGTGAACTACATTGTTCATATCTAAAAGATGATTATGAAAGAACAAAATAAATAAATGCATTTATAGTAAGGCTTCTGTAAAAACATCCGCAGTTTTATTTCTTCTTTTTTAATCAACTGAGTATTTCATTTATGAAAGGTAGAGCTCTAAATCGAGCAAAAACAAACAGTATCAAAAGAAAACAGCAGCATCTACGCCTAATATAAAGGACATAAAACTACTGATGACCCTATAAATCGAATAACTTTGATAATAAGAGAGTCTGTCACACTCCAGGCTATCCAATCAGAAGCCTCTTTGTGCGTCATGTCTTAACCTTTCATAGAGCCAAGCTGGACCTCCAATGGATAGATAAGACTGCAATCTTCCATCCCTGATCACACTTTTCGCAATTTCCTGAGCTATGTGGTTTGATTTCGCAGATTCCAGCTCAAAAACAATAGCATTAAGCTCGTTCCCCAACCGGTTAATCTGCTCAGTAAGCATCCGATATCTAGGCCATTCTGCAGGTTTTGTAATCGCAGCATACGCCTCTTTACAGTCCAAGGCCATCGTTACATTGGTTATGCGTAGGTCTCTCAGGCTCTGTAGAGCCCATATAACTCCTTTCAATTCCCCGGTTATGCGGTTAGGCGTTCGTAAAAAGGCATCTCGGGCATGAAACGTTGTATTACCCTCATGATCTCTCACTACCCACGCCCCTCCACAATGTGATCGAGCATTCCTCCAATGTACATTAAGGTTGCATTTTAGCCTCCCCGCCGGTGGTGCCTGCCATCGTTCCTCAATGAACCGATAACCCGCTTCTCCCATGTCCTCAGAGTTCTCAGGTTTGTTTGCTTCAGTCCAAACATTGGCCTCCTCCTTACTGCGTTGTAGAACCCTGGCACTTGTCTCATGACTACCTGCAAATAATGCTGCATTCCGGTTTTTCCAGATACCCCATATAATCCACGGAATGGCATGTCTAAGGTCTGTTGGTACCACTTGTCTTTGTATGATATCAAAGAGAAAGCCCATGTTCCCTTCAAGTGAGTTGGAGAAACCATCCACTGGTAGATGTATGTTAGACAAATCCCATACCTGTTGGGCTACAGGGCATCTAAAAAGCACATGGTTGATTGTTTCTTCCTTTTCATTACAAAGCTTGCACGTCATATCCAAAAGCATCCCTCTTGTGCTTAGCCTTTCTGCCACCGTTAAAGCTTCAGAAAGTACCCGCCACAGAAAGAACTTTATTTTGGGTTCTGTTCTGAACTTCCATATGCGCTGCTTCAGAGCCACTCTGGTTTCATCCAATGGTGATAATGGAGGTTGTGGCAGGACAAGGTGGTTTGCAGCGAACCAGTATCCACTCTTAACTGAATAAGCACCATCCCTTGTGTAAGCCCAAATATGTTGGTTTGCTACTCTTCCCAACGGCATATCCATGATTCTCGCCGCATCAGCTGGAGGAAAAAGCTCATTAACTCTGTTGGGGATCCATTTCCCATCCGGCGAAATTAAGGATGAAACTTTCAATTCCAAGTCCATGAAAATTTCACGGTTCACTGGTCTACGAGGGTGATCATCCAAAATCCACTTCTCCATCCATACATGAGTAGTGACACCATTCCCGATTGATTTCATCAAGCCACGCTCTAACAATTCCTTCCCAAAATAATGCTGCGCCAAGCATATGAAGGACGATACCCCTTTCCACAACTTAAGAAATCTTTATTCGCAAAATATCTTCCTTTGTACAACCGAGATAACAAGGTATCAGGCTCATTAAGGATCTTCCATGCTTGTTTGGCTAACAAAGCTTGATTGAACTCCTCGATGTCACGAAAACCTAAACCCCCCTTCGCCTTAGATTTACACATTGCTCGCCATGATATCCAATAAATTTTGTTACGCTTTTCACACGAATTCCACCAAAAGTTCGTCATGGCTGTTGTAAGTTTCTTACAATGATGCTTGGTCAACCTAAAGCAGGACATCGCATATACAGGTAGCGCCATTGCGATTGATTTAAGCAGTATCTCTTTACCTCCAAGCGATAATGTTTTTGCATACCACCCATGGAGCCGTTTGCTTAACTTTTCACCGATAAAGGCTAAAAGTTTCTGCTTGGATCCACTAAAACATTCCGGCAGCCCCAGGTATTTGCCATCACCTCCTTCCTTGTCAATGCCAAGAAGATTCGAAATCAGGCAACACTGATACGGGTCTATAGCCTCCCCATAGGTGATAGCTGATTTCTGGAAGTTAATTAGTTGACCAGAAGCATCTCCATACAACTTTAAGCATCTTAAAAACTCTGTACACTCTCGCAGATTAGCTCGGCACAGAAAGAAGCTATCTTCTGCGAAGAGTAGGTGTTGTATAGGTGGACAATTCGCTGTAAGGCGCATCCCCGTTATCTTTCCTTCTTGCTCTGCTCGACTCATTACGTGAACTAGCGCCTCAGCACAGAGAATGAACAAAAAAGGAGACAACGGATCCCCTTGACGAATGCCTCTCTCAGGCTGAATATGCCCATGCAATCCCTCATTTAACAGTACCGTATAAGACACAGACCGGATGCATTCCATGATCCATCCCGACCATTGAGGATCGAAACCCATCTTGTCAAACAATATCTCCAGAAATTTCCATTCCACTTTGTCATATGCCTTCGACATATCAGTTTTTATGGCAATGAAATCCTCCTTGCAGTTTGGGTTTGTTTTCAGACCATGGATCATCTCATGTGCAATGAGAATGTTGTCCGATATCAGCCTTCCTGCGACAAAAGCTCCTTGCGTTTGAGATACCAGTTGTGGCAGAAACCGCTTTAGTCTCGTACATAAAACTTTGGATATAATTTTATACGTAACTGAGCAGAGACTCATGGGTCGTAAATCTGTCATTTTGTTCGGATTCTGGATCTTTGGAAGTAGACAGATCTGCGTATGGTTCCATTCCTGCGGTAGTTTTCCATTCTCAAAAAACTGTTTGACCTCATTCATCACATGGGTACCCGCAATCCCCCAGAAGTGCTGAAAAAATTTGCCACTCATGCCATTTGCACCAGGAGCACTATCTCCCTTAATGCCCTTTACTGCTCTTCGAATTTCAGCCTTCCGATACTAGCTTTGTTAATTCACGGTTCATAGAATCAGTGACCCGCACTTCCATACCTTGTAAGATTCCGACACATCCCCAATATCAGATGCCTTAAAAAGGTCCGTGAAGTACTCAATTGCAATGGCTCCCTTGGCTTCTTCCTCAAATCTTTCAACCCCATTACTATCAAGAAGAGAAACAATGGTGTTTTTAACCCTTCTTGACTTAACCCATCCATGGAAAAAACCAGAATTGCTGTCCCCAACCCTCAGCCATTTCTGTTTACTTCTCAATTTCCAATACAGCTCTTCCTCGTTAGTTGCCTTAGTTAGCTCAACACGCAGCTCCTGCAACTTTCCAAAATTTGGCGAGACTTTAGAGCTTTCATTATCAAGCTCCTGCTGTAGTGCTTGTAATCTTACTCTGGAGTTCGTATTTGAGACCTTTTTCCACTTTGATAGCTCTCGTCTACAGTTAGCTATACGGTCTAAAACTTTACCATTAGCAGGGCCGCAGTTTTATTACTTCCAATACTTCTTTCCTTCCGTGTAAAATGTAAATATTGATATATATCCATCAAGTTATTAAATGTAAATTTTTAAAGAATTTTTTCATAAAAACAAATGAAAAAAGGACATAAAGCAAAAATAAATACAATAAGTAAATAAATATATAATTTAGTATATCAAATGGGGATGTAGCTCAAATGGTAGAGCGCTCGCTTTGCATGCGAGAGGCACGGGGTTCGATCCCCCGCATCTCCATTTTTTTATCTACATGTTGTTGACATCTTTTGGGAACAGTAATCAATCAAGCTATCTTTATATATTTGGAACTTCGATTTTGCTATCTTTAGATACACATCAGAAGAGATTTACCTTGTAAGATTTGAGATTTCCACAAGCTCAGAGAATATTAAGAGTTTTATATAAACAACTTATTTTTATTTTACTATCATGATATCATCTCAAACCTTCAAAAAATACACTTTCCAAAAAGAGTAATCTCGTTTACAAAATTAAAGAGCAAACAACAAAAATGGATGAACGAAAATGTATAGCTACAGCTCTGTTCCAGAGCAAAATTTCAAAAACAAAAATAAAAGAATATTGAAGCTAACTCTTTCTTCTACTCATAGCTACAGCTTCCACTCTTACAAAACCCTCCTCAAAGTTCTTCTGTCCGAGGAAAAACAAAAATTGATTTCTCTCCAGAATTTGCAAGAGGCATGATTGGATCTGTTTAAAAAACAAATGTACACATATATCAGAATGATTCCTTAGAAGCTCAGGATTTGATTTTAGAGCCAAAGTAAGAGAGAAACTTACTGGTGAAAAGACTGTGTAGTGACTAGTGAGTGTTGTTTATGGTAAAAGAAGCATAATTTTTTTTAGACGTTGCTTTTTGATTTATTTTTTGAGAAACGGTTTTTGACAGACAAGAAGTCTTTGGTCGCTACCGTCTTGAAGATCAATGACTCGTGCTTCCCAACGCACTCGAGCTGCAAGTGCACGTGCCATCTCGATTACTCCCAGCTTGTCGCTGAGAACAACCCATCCCTATAAAATCAATCGCACATAGTTCAAGTTTTCTTTTTAGTTCTTGGGATCTTATGGGAAAACAAGAATGGTGTTTATATATGAACCTCGGGGCGAAGAATCCGATCCATCTCCAAGAACAAGTCCATTAGGCTGCACCGTTCGGAGCTAAGATGTGTGAGAAGTTCATTGGCATGAAGCATGTCGTATGTTCGGGGATATGTAGGGAATGGTTCACACCTGCGCAGTGAACAAAGATATTCGAGAATCTGATCATAGAATATACATAAAAAAAGGCTTCTTTTAACCATCATTATAGGTGATAAAAGAAGTCATTTTTTGATGAATTACAAAGAAAAAAAGAAACACACAAGCACACTCACCAGTCATGTAGAACAGCGGCAAAGCCACGATCAAGTATGATAGGAAGAGTGTTACGTGCATTGACAGGTACAACGTTCATTACCCAAGCGGATTTTCTTTCGTCAAGTAAAGCAGAGTTTAAGTTCCCGAAACGAGCATTCATGTCCATCACATTGCGTATCATGTTAAAAGGAGGGAGAGGATCTTCATCACCGGGTCTCTTTGGGTGGTCAGAGAAAATCAAAGGTGTAAGCAAGGACCAATAGTTTTTAAGTGCTGATCTCCATATTTGTGAATCCTCGAAGAATTCTTCAGGTTTTATACCTGAAATATCCAAAATATAAATATTAGATTCTGAAGATACCAAGTGAAAACTTGAACAATGAAACAAAGAAACGATGAATTGGCTATCAAAAGAAAAACTTTCCATGAATTTCAAGGTCAGCCGAGTTTGTTCCTGCAATAGCAGACCTATTCTGTATAGGAATCCAGCGTTTACTCGTGGTTCCGCTTATACATGGAACCAGTGGGTGGTAATACGGAACACTATCTCCATCTTTGCAAAGAGGTATAGAAGCTTGCGAACTAGACAAGAAAGAAACAGGATCAGTAGAGGAAAGCCAAGCATACACTTTTCAATGCCTCACGGTCATACTTACCGAGACGAATAGCAATCTGAATCTGCAGTTTTCTGCCAAAGATACGTCTCATCTTGCTGTGCTGTTAGACTCCAGCAGATCTTCTTAGATAACTCATTCACCCGTGTTGAGATGCTTGTTTTCTTTGTGTCTGGCAAGTTTCCCTGTGCTTTGTTCGTCGGAGAAGTTAAAACAAAGTACCCTCCGGGTTTCAGAACACGATCCACTTCCAAAAGTAGCATTGCATCTGCTTAAGGGCAAAAACAGAACGTCATCATGATCCCAGATCTCAAACTCAAAATTCAAAAGACAACAAACCAAACATGCTACACCTGTCGATGTAATTACCTTTTATATCCCAAGTAGTGCCACATTGAGCACAATGGACCATGTCAAAAGACAATGCTGGGTAAGGAAGCTGTTTTGAATAGAAATTTCCAATCATTGCAGGAAGGCCTCTCTCTAAAGCTAATTGGACTTGGCTCCCAGTTGCCTCATACTCAGCTATACATATAGGCATCAGCTTCAAAGACACTAGATGTGCACCGAAGCTTCCAAAGCCGCAACCAATGTCTAACACAGTCCGTACCTGTAAGCATCATAAGAAGTCTCAGAAGCTAGAGCTGAAAAGTTGATGTGTAGGATAATAAGATTAAGAAGACTTACACCCGCTTGAGCAAACTCAGTATCGCTTCCCAAACCTATCATCTCAGCAATTTGATGAGCGTAGTCTTTGACACCATCAAAGATCAGGCCATCTTCCGAGTGAAATGTAATTTGATTCTCTTCAAGCAACATTAACCTAATAACGAATATAAGCAAAAGATAAATTATAAAACAGAAACCAAATACGCAGGGAAACTGTATTTGAAGAAACTGTATGTCAAAAGAAAGGACCTCGTTGTCACGGTTCCTGACGAAAGAAACTGGTCTTTGGTTATCTTCACGTTCCCACTCCATATGATATCTCTACCAAGTGGCCACCTAAGTGGAATTTTATAGTCTCTTGGAGGACGAACTACACATCTTTCCTTTTCTCTTTCAAACTCGCAATGTCGATCTAACACGTCACCCTCTTGAAGCCCAGCAAGCAAATTCCCTGTTACGTTATAACAAGGCACATAGCTTTCTCTCTCTTTACCACAGAGAGGAAACTCTTTTAGACTAGCACCTAAGGAGAGAGACCTTAGATCCAGATAATCAACAGCAGCTTGCTCCTTTATCCTCCTATAGTTACTATACATGTTGGGGACAAGTGTTGAAGCAGTAGAAGCATCATATGAAGTGGATGTCAATGGTGCTAGAATGGTAACTAGAGCCACAACACCGACGACGAAGAAAAGCAACCCTCTGATCCGTGGTCTAAGACTGAAAACCGAGGAAACACTCTTGAACAATGGACTTCTCATTGTCTCGTTCGTAAGCAGAAACCAGTACTTCCTTCTGCTGACCCCAGAAAATTTGTCATCCGTTTCTCTTCATGAGATGTAAGATTCTAACAAAGTCCCAATTTTGAAGTACTCATTACCTGATCAAGCCATTTGATTTCACAATTGTTGAAAGTATTCACGAGCAGTGTTCCTCACAATCCTAAGAACAAGACTAGGATTTTCCACACTTATGATCCAAATCAGGAAATGGCACAAGTAGAGAGATGTATGCCAAATTCAGAACCAAAACTAATAAATCCCGATGTAGCGAAATGAAGATAAACTCTAGGCAATGCCAATTACGGAAAATCAAAATCTTGGCTGTAGCAAATCAAACCACCTGCAAACAAATCTCGCAGATCAAAAATCGAAAAAGTAATTAAAAAAATCCCCAAAAAAGAAACCTTACTTAAATTAGATAGTGAAACATAAGCGAATTTTGCTTTTTCCTCGAGGGAAATTTACATTGTCGTCAAAAGCGAAAAAAAAAGAAGCTTGAGAATAATTCAGTGGAAAAACCCAATCTTGAAGTTTCTCATGATGAGATCTCGAAAATGGGGAAGGAGATCAGAGATCCGATCAACAAATTAAATGCGGGAAAAACAAAAATCCACGACAGAGAGGTAATCAATTTAGGGTTTTTGAGATGCGTACCAGTAAGAGATTACCGAAAAGGATTTAGCTTTCGACCAACAATGGCAAAATGAGGGACAAAATGAGAGAGCGAGAGAGAGAGATATTCCAATTATATGGGCGCTTAATAAGCTTCTTTTTTTTCTGCTAAGCTTATTTAATTTCTTTTAATGAATTTTTTTCTGGATATAGGTGAATTATTGTTTATAAATAAGCGGCATTTAATAATGATTAACAAAATTAATTAAAGTGACTAAATACAAATTAGATCTGGAAAAGTGTGTAAGTAAACTTTTGAAAACAAGAAAATCATTTGTTAATTTTATTCCAGCAAAGAAAACAGTCATGAAAGAAGCAGCGGAGGAGAATAATTGCAATTCGTGGTGCACTTTTTACTTTTTGTTGGCATTTAATAAAATGGTCTCTTTGTCTCTTGGTCTCTTTATTTTATTATTTTTCCGAAATTCTCAAGAAAAAAGTTTTTTATTAATTATTATTATGCTATTGTTGGTGAGCAATAAGAATCCACTATAAAAAAATCCCGATCTATTTTTAATACATATCTATATATTTTGAGTACTACACATAAACATGTTACAACTTACAAGTGAAATATGATAGCAGAAATTAACTCAATCATTGGCTTACACATAAGTTTTTTTAGTTATTGTTTAATCTTCTAAAAGTAGTTTTATATTCTACAATAAAACAATATTTTTTTTAATTTCCTCCAAAATTCTCAAATTCAATTATAAATAGTCACGTCACATGTCTATATGGTTTACGTTTAATTGATAGGTACAAATTTGGGTTGCCTAAAGTTTTCAACCATCTTGCGTAATTAATTAATAGAAAAAGTTTGTTTTGCACAACAACCCAAGATTTGTTAAATAAAAATCACACAAAGTCATGCTATCACTCTAACACTCTTACAAGTTACAAGTATTAATCGTATTTGTTACGATTATGAAAGTTATTATATTATAAAACGAGAAAGAAAAAGACAAATCAAGCAACAAAACGTCAAAGCAATCGTTGTCCTATGTCCCGTCAAAAAAAAAAAAAAAAATCTAAGTACCATCACTTTCTCACTAAGTAAACATTATTACAACACAAAAACAGAATTTTATTCGTAAGTAATAATGAAAATTATGTAAAATCTAAGGACAAGAATCGAAGTTGAGTTGATGAGATCATAAAGATCAAGAAGATCAAGTTTAAGCAGTCACATCTCTATCTCCAAACTCTCTGTTCAAGACTTCAAGTAATCTACAAACTCTCATTGGTCTGTCTGCATCAAGCTGACTACAAAAACAATCTTTCCACACAATCTCATTGATAACTTCTTGTATCGCCTTGTCGATGACATTTTGCTTACATTCTGATTCTTTAAGGGATCCAACTAGAGTTACTGCAGCTGTTGATTTCACCCACTGCATCACGACCATTTCCACAAGTTTACCGCCAAATCTTGCTGGAACAGAGACACTGGCCAAGAAATACAATCCATACCTTAATATATCGTGTTCGAGCTTTAGCAACACACACTGTTTTTGGTTCGCACAGAGCATAAAAGGATAAGCACGCAAACAAAATTCTAAAACAAAATCTGAACATCAGGCGAGGACAGTCTCTGTTTCATTAACCGGCTTGGAGGACCGATTTGATTGGTCCGGTTGATTATCAAATCATCTTTTAGATCGGTGTATCTGATTGGGCGTACAATTCCATTATTTTCAACGTTTTGTTTAGTTTCGAAATAAGTTTTCGTAATTTTGTTTTAACTTCTAATATTTTTTTTTAATGGTAGAATTCTACGATTCGGATTAGATTTTCTTAATTCGGTTTGTATCGGTTTCGTTAATCCGAAGTAAATAGTAAATACGCCTAAATAGCAAACAGGCCAATGCAAGTTGATGATACGTGCTGGTTAAAGTAGAGGGTATATTTGTAACTTCCATTTTGAGAGGATTTAATAAGGTTACGTCTCTACCTGTTTGAAAAACACGACCTGTAACCCTAGCCGCCTTGGAAATTCCTTATTTTTTTTTTCCACAAATTTTCAAAGAAATTCGCTCAGATCCTCTCCTTCTTCCAAATCGATCTTCAAATCAATTGTAATTTTCTTTTTCTTCTTGATTTTAGCTTTCGATTGATACCTGTATTGATATCATCCTTCGATTTGGTCAAATCTAGGGTTTTTTTCAATTGGGTTCTTGATAAAGGTCAGATCTGTTTAGGCGTTTGTTTGGATATCGATTTCTCTCGACATCCCTGTCAAAAATTTTCCTTGATTTCCAGTTTTCCCCAATTTCTTTATCCTAATTGGTTCAGCCCAGAATTTGATGCCCTAGGGTTCGTTAGATCTTTAAATTAATTTGGGGCTTTCGTTCCTCTTGCTGAAAATTCATTGATTTTTATGGTTTTGGACTCTTGATTCTATGATTCTAGTCGTGATTCGTGAATTGAAATTATTAGGGTTAGGGTTGCAGTCAATTTGGGGATTTTTTGTTTTTTTGTTTTTTTTTATAATTTAACCGGTTAAATTAAAATTAAGGAAACATATTCCTGTACAAAGTTTGACTTTTGACTCTAAAATAAAATTATCACAATACTCAACAAAACCTTTTAATCCCTTTCCTCAAATTGAAGATTAACTTTGCTTAGCTATATAATTCAATATTGTGGGTCCGAAGTTAAAAACTCATATCTACCTAAACACATCAAATTCAAAGTGATATATATCTCTTGCCCATATGTAAATTACCAACCTTTAATGTCAAGCAAGTGACTAAACTGACTTTGGTTCTTACCATTCAGGTCTGAAAAACATGGGATTGAAGCGACCTTTTGATGCTGAAGAGATGCAAGAATGCAATGCTAAGCACGCAAGACAACTTAGTTATAGCTCTAAGCAGCTGAACCAATTAGACGAGTCTATTCCATATCATGTTCCTCTGGAGAAAACAGGTGTCATAGGTACAATGAAACCCTCGCAACTGTTAAATGTCATATAATTGATATAATAAACTTTTGTTCTGCTAAGCTTGAGTTACTTACTTGGCAAGTGTGTTAACCTGGACGTCTCTTGCAATGTGTTTTATTTGCAGTAGAGGATCTGAGTGGTCTCTGTGAGAAGAAGCCTACATGGACCAACGATGCAAGTCATGTTGACAAGGATTTCGAGACATGTGCACCATTCTCGTGGTTCTCAACCGGTTTGTGTCAAGAGGATGCTCCGTCTGGAGGGACGACTCAGTCATCTCTTTCTCATCAGTCTTCTGGTTCAGATTTCACCTGGAGGCCACTTTCCCCAGTGGAGGATGTTTATACTTGTCTGATGAATCATGCTCCTAGGAAACAAGTTCCGGTTGGGTCTACTCACCAGGCTGATATCCCTGAATGTGTCAAGGAAGCGACTCTTGATCAGTCCAAGACTTGTGCTAACGGTGACTTGGAAGTAAAACTGACGGGAAAGTGCATAATTCCGATGCCTGACTCAGACGTTTGTGGAACTGGTCAAGGAAGAAAGGAATGTCTTTGCCCGGATAAAGGCTCCGTTAGATGCGTGCGGCGACACACCATGGAAGCAAGAGAGAGCCTGATCGAAACTATTGGATACGAAAGGTTTGTGGAGCTAGGGCTCTGTGAAATGGGGGACGAAGTTACAAGCCTATGGACTGAAGACGAAGAAGATCTCTTTCATAAAGTTGTGTACTCCAACCCTGTTTCACTGGGTCGCGATTTCTGGAAGCAGTTAAAGGCAACGTTTCCTTCAAGAACCATGAAGGAACTTGTTAGCTACTACTTCAACGTCTTCATCTTGCGGAGACGGGCAATTCAGAACCGGTTCAAAACCCTAGACGTTGATAGTGACGACGACGAGTGGCAAGTAGAGTATGACGTTTTTTACAGCGGCAAATCTTTAGATGAGGACGACAACAACAACGGAAAGAGTTCCTCACATGAAGATAACGAGGAGGAAGATGAAGAAACCAACAGCAGTGATGATGATGATGAAGAAGAATCACCAGTCAACGATGCTCATTGTGTATATATGGATAAGGTTTCAAGAGACGGTGCTGGTGAAGAGGTAAATGTGGAAGACGATTCGTGTATGTCCTTCGAGCTACAGGACTCCAATCTGATCTTCTCTCACAGCCCAATCGAAAACAGAGAGTGCCATAGATCTGGTGATGATTCGTATTCATTTGATAATGCTGCTTGTGATCGGTGATTCACATCAGATTGTTGGACCAAGAACAACGATCTTCTTCCAACTTCGAACATCATTGACGAGATATTTGGTCAAGACGACTGGGGAGAGAATGATAATGAAGCTGATGATGATGATAACTCGAAGGGGAAGTAATTAGGTCTTTCTTCTCCGGTTTCTGCAGGTTTTTCTCTTTTAATTTTCTAAGTGAAATTATTTAAAGAAGCAGAAGTTTGAAAGTTTCCTCCTTGGAATTTTTTGGGGTTTTTAGGTTGAAGAAGAAGGGACTCCTGATTGATTTGACTTTGTTTAAAGCCATTAAATCCGAGGAACCCTTTTCTTTTAGTTTTTAATACCTCAAGATTATTTAGTCAATAATCTTTGTATATTTTGCTGTAAAAAGAAAAAAAAAAAATTGGGAAAGCTATCCAAATTTTTGTATTGATAATGACTAAACTAACTGCAAAAGAATCTTGACTTTTCCATAATCTGTCATAAGTTTCAACTTTTCCAATGCGTCAGCACTTCTGTATAAGGAAAATGCTCATTTCTCTTGCTGCTGCTAGATTATGAAACTAATTGATGATTTCCTGTTTTGAAGCCAAAACGCAATATGTCGCATATTGGTTTACAGTGAAAGTTATGCTGTAGAAAGGATTTTCTTTTGATGAATTTTTTTTTCATGGCTTTATCTGTTATTAAGTTACTGGAAATAAAAGAAAAAGCGCCTTGGTTATAGGCTCTGAACTGGACTCTAATTGCATAAAGATTTTATTATTATCGAGTAAAACTTACATATTAAAGCCTTAGAGAGGTTATTAAGGTGTACCTTGTATATAAGAATGCTATACAAAATCTGTGGCAAACAAACAAAAACAAATCAGTTGAATCATGTCTCCTCGTTCTTCACTGGGATCCAACGACCATTAGATGATCCAACTCCAGATTCTTTCTTCCTACGGCTAAAAAACCCGATAAAATACCCCAAAATCACTCCCAAAACCATCACACTTGCTCCTTCAATGTACCACAAGACTGAAAATTCAGAACCAGATCCAAAGTTTGAGTCTTTACCATCGTCACTGCCACTAATAACTTCCCCTGAAGCCAAAATCTCAACCACATCATGAACTTCTCCGTCGTGGTTCCCCACATAAGAAAGTGTGAGTCTTTCCTTATTAGCAACCAAACGAGTGTACCCAAACTCTCCTCCACGGTACATTGACCGAACAGGCTGAGGAAAGATCGGAACATCCGGGTGATTAGGTCTCGGTTCCCAAATCGGTTGCGTGTCTTTTCCAGCCATACCAATCACAAGATGAACAGGGTTTCCTTGCCAACGTTGACCACAAGTGTTGTTACTGATCGGACAAAACCTTTCGTATCTATGAACATGTCCCCATAAAGCAATCGTCACATTGTTCTTCACAAACAACGGTTCCAAATGCTCGATCATCCTCTGTCTTATCGCAGCGTCTCTGACCTTAGTGCTTGTAGTGTACATCGGTCTATGCCCTTGAACTACAACAAACGGTGTCTTGCTCCTATTAACAGACTCTAGATCACTCTTTAAGAAACTATACTGCTTCCCTCCTTTGAGAAAATCCGTCTCTGTCGAAATGTAAACGAAATGGACCGAACCCATATCATAAGAATAGTAAAGGTTTCGACTTTGAGGTCCTTGAACCATCCCTGTGGCTTCCGATGAATTTCCAGGCATGTTGAACTTAACACTATACGGTACTCCACACTCGCCACCACTATCTTTACCATATACATAAGCAGCCCAATCTGGTTTCCATGGCTGCATAGGCCAATCATACTCATGGTTACCAATGCACACATGGTATGGTACTTTAGAAGCTATTGGCTCAATCTGAGCAAAGAACTCGTCCCAAATCCACGAGTAGCCTCGCGCATAGCTTATATCTCCAATGTGTGAAACAATCGCAGCTTTATCACCACCTAGAGCTTCAATATCTCTTAAGATCCATTTCACAGTTGATAAACTTTCGTTTTCTCCACGGATAAATGTTCTGTAAGGTGTGGAACATCCCATATCTCCAAACATGAAAGCTAGAGTTTCCTCTGAGTTTTCATTTCGAGAAACAAAGCTATGAATCTCACTCCATCCTTTGGAATCACTCCCAACCTGAGCAATTACATATGTTGATCAAAACTCAACATTTTGATTTTCGAAAAACATTAAAGTTTCGAAATTTAGTGTTTAAATTTGTACCTGGTAATAGTATTTGACCCCTTCTTTCAGATTCTTCATCACGGCGTCGAATGTCCAACCTGGATCTCTCCATCCAACGGTGGAATTCGCCGGCGCGTGGCACATATGTTCCCTCTCGTACCTAATCCCACGCGCCGCAACGATGTTGTCGAGCCTCTCCTTAACCTCTCCGTATCGAGCTAATCGTTCTTCACCATCTCCTGTGACGAACATGACTCGCATCTCGTCCACCGTATCTGTGTAGCTTAAATGGATCTGCTCCGGCCGGTTAATGGCGGACCGGAAAGTTAACCGGTTTGATTCGGCAAGAAGATGACGAGTTCCGGGTAAAGGGTTATGGTCATGGTCGTTGTGTTTCGGGTTGATCTCGGATTGGGTCCAGCGGAAGATCCGGAATGAGTAATCCGATCGGAAATTTGTTAAGGGGAGGGAAATCGAACCCGATCCGGATTTCCAATTGGGCGAATCGGAAAGGAATTTGTAGCCAATGAAGTGATCGTGAGGAGATTCCGGTGGCGAGTAGATTCCTAACCAATCGAGATCAGACGGTGACTCGACGCCGGACCATTTGATCACGACGGTGTCGCCGGATCGATTGAGGGTTTGGGGAGAAACTGAAATTGTCACTGCGGAGTAAACAGAGGAAATGAAGAGGAAGAAGAAGAGAGAGTAAACGGCGATCATGATGACGGTGGCCGGTACGGTGGAGATAGTAGTTAGTCAAAAAGTCAACGTTTTTGGAGTCATTTGATTGGTGTTTTTTTTTTAGTTTGTGCTTCTGTTTGGGTTTGCTGAAAAATAAAATCACTTTAGCTTTAAGGAGTGATTATGAAGTCATTTTGAAACCAACCCTGATTTATGACTTAGCACCTTTAAAAGACTATGGTATTTTTATTTTATTTGTTTCTTTATTAAAACTAAACGTGATATTATTTATTTATTTTTGTCGCTAAGTTTTTATGAAAATAGAGTGGTCAATGTGAGAACTCGGCATTTTGGCTTGTTAAAATTAATGTATTGTCTCTGTTTCAGACACAATACTACAATGCAATGTAATAATAATAAAAAAAAACACAGTGTGAATAAAAGACTTTAGAAAAGTGAAATAATGGAACAGGGGAGATTCAAAGGGGTGACCTGAGAACACAAACACGATTGTTTCAGTGAAAAATCTTAAGGAAACCAGAGGATCTGTGTTCTCATATCACTCCTTTGAGATTTCGCCACCTGTTTGTTCTTCTATCTCCATACATTACATTACAATCTGTTTCTTCTTTTATATAATAGTTTCGTTTCCTTGGTCTGTCTTCGTTTTTGTCCCCTTCTGTTATGTCATAATAATGTCGTCACTTTGTTGACAAACAAAAAAATTGTAGGATTAGTGTGGTCATCTTCACGACATCTTGTACATGTTCGAATTCATGAATGGAATGATGATTAACCAAAGTTATTGGGCTCAGAACAAATATCTAAGATTGGGGATTCATGAGACTATTGGGCCTTTCTTCTAGTAGGCCCATATAAAACTCGTCTAAAGCCTTCTTTATTTTAAAGATTTAATTCACACCGCCGACAAAGTCAATTATAATACATTGTCGTGGCATCGGATCCAATTTCTCGTGCCACCCATCAATGCTTCAACTAACTAATCCATAGGTATTTATTATGTTCAAGCTGTAATAAATTTGAACACTAGGTCACTAGAGATTTATGAACAAGTTTATAACATATCAAAATGGGTGAAAATGTAACAAAAATGTTTATGCAGGAAAGTAAAAAATTTGTAAATGTTAATCTGTGGTGCAAGAATCGCGACTATAATTGTCTCCATTAAACTAGTGGATAAAGAAAAAGGCAAAATAAACTAGTGGACAACGAAAATAGAACTAAATTTTCTGATTTTCAATAAATATCACACCCCGGATAACTTGTTTGTTATTGTACATTTTCCAAATTCAAAACTGACAAAAAAAAAGTTTTTGCTTTGAGACAAAAGAAACATGGACTTTCTCTCCGATCAAGTAAAGAAGAAATTTTCCGACAAGAAGCCGGATAACTCAGAGCCGGAGTCGCCGAACAAGAACAACAACAAACCCGGTCACGGCGAGCCAACACATAAACCGGTTTCCAACGCAGATGCAACAACACATAGGCCAGCAACGAACGCCGAGCTCATGGCTAGTGCCAAGATTGTAGCCGAAGCTGCTCAAGCCGCTGCTCGCAGCGAGACAGACAAGCTTGACAAAGCTAAAGTCGCCGGAGCCACCGCCGATATCCTCGACGCCGCTACTAGATACGGTAAGCTCGATGAAAAAAGTGGTGTGGGCCAGTACCTCGAAAAGGCTGAAAATTATCTCCACAAGTATGAATCTTCACACTCTCACTCCTCCGGCGGTGGAAGCCACGGCGGTGTCGGTGGCGGAGGCAGTCACGGTGGTGTTAGCGGAAGCCACGGTGGTGGAGCTGGAGAACCGGCGGCTAAGAAAGGGGATGAGAAATCGGGAGGTGGCAGCCATGGGTTTGGAGACTATGCTAAGATGGCTCAAGGTTTTATGAAGTGACTAATGTTTAATTAGTACTATTCCTTAGTAATTATCTTGCATAATCACTTTTAGTAAGTTGTCGATTTCTGAATTGTTAAGTGTTTCTGTCATCTGTGTAGGGTGGAGGAATTTGCTGATGTAAAATAAAATATTATGGCCGCTAATTCTCGATATTGCGTTAATTCAAGAATTCTAAGCAAAAGTCTTATCATATGAAAATTAAGAAATGGGGATACACAAAATTATGAACCGATTAAAGTAACAGCATATGTAGTTAATAAAATTACATGATATACCAAAGACTCCCCTTATCTACATGAGAGTTTCAATTGACCAGAAGTCCGGTTCCGAATTAGACAATTGCCATCATCAAGCGATTTGCATTTCTGTACATTATATCACATAATTAAACCCAAAACTGAGCTTGAAAAGTTACAGCCTTGAGAGCTTGAGGACTACTATGTTAGACAAGTTAATATTTGCCTCCAGGCTCCAATATACGAGCCCACTATGCGAAGCCATTGGGCCTTTTTGGGGGGAAATTGTTGTTTCCTTTTTTGTAATCAAAATTAGGGGAATCATCAATACGTAGTAGATATTTAATATCTTTGGTCTCTGGGTTTTCTTTTTGTTTACACTTTCCGGATTTTCTCAATTCGAACCTTCGAAACAAAAAAGCTTTAATCAAATCCTTTACTCACGCCATGGAAATTGGAACCGATGCTCCGAAGGGACAAGAATCGAAGCAGATCAGAGACGAAGAACTATTCAAAGCTGCGGAATCTGGTGATTCTTCGTTGTTCATGTCATTATCTCCTCAACAGCTTAAAAAATCTCTGAGTTTCAGAAACGAAGACGGTCGCTCTCTCCTCCATGTCTCAGCTTCGTTTGGCCATTCTGAGGTTTTGTTCCTTTGTTCTAATACTAATCTGTAGTTACATAAGAAGCACAATTTGAATTGATCCCTAGAAAACGAAGATATTAGGAGTAAAGTTGCGATATTGAGCTGATGATTCAAACCTTAGGAAGATTTTTGACTCTAGTTGTTCACAAGTGGCTCTGAAAACCACAAAAATCCTGAGAAGAAAAACATGTTTAGATGTTTAAACCTTATGGATAAGAAATCTGCAGGTAGTGAAGCTGTTATCAAGTGGAGATGATGACTCAAATAATGTAATCAACAGCAAGGATGATGAAGGCTGGGCTCCTCTACATTCTGCTTCCAGCATCGGCAATGCTAAGCTCGTTGAACTGTTATTGACTAGAGGTTTTTGTTTGTGTAATCTTGTTTGCCTTATCAATAAAGTTGGAAAGATGGAAAATCTTTATTTCCTTATCAATAAAGTTGTGATCTTTGAAGCTGGTTTTGTGTGTGTGTGTGTTTTCTTATTCTCTTGTTTCAATTCCTCATGCGATTCAACTTCTACTCGGAATGATTGATCACTGACTATCTTTCTTTGTTATAAGATAGTCATCCATGAATTTAGGCTGCGGTAAAGTTATTGCATATATGTTCTTTTGGTTGAAGTGGGTTCTCTGAGTTACTTCTTCTACTGATTGGCTCCTGTTTCAATTCCTTTTAAGAGGTTGTTATGTAAAGCTTGATGCATTTGATGATGGTTTTCTCTTTTTTTTTGTGTGTGTTCAGGTGCTGATGTCAATGCCAAAAACAACGGTGGTCGTACTGCTCTTCACTATGCAGCTAGCAAAGGATGGTTGGAAATCGCTCGGCTTTTACTAACACACGGCGCAAAGATTAACATCAAAGACAAGGTTTTGTAGCTTAATGTCTTTTGGTTTTCCCTATTTGATGACATCTTATTGACTCGTGTTTACACATAAAACAAATTTTGTGGCTTTCAGGTTGGTTGCACTCCTCTTCACAGGGCAGCAAGCACGGGTAAGTCTGAACTTTGTGAATTCCTGATCGAAGAAGGAGCAGAGATCGATGCTACTGATAAAATGGGCCAAACTCCACTCATGCATTCAGTGATCTGCGATGACAGACAGGTAATATTCCAATGAAATCAACTTCAAAGCTGCATCTTTTCGAAATCTGAAGTCTCTTGTAATCGTTTCTCTTTGTTTACATGGGGCTAGGTTGCGTTTCTGCTTGTAAGGCATGGTGCAGATGTCGATGTAGAAGACAAAGAAGGCTACACTGTTCTAGGCCGAGCTTCCAGCGATTTCCGACCAGCACTAATCGAGGCTGCCAAGGCTATGTTTGAAGGATAAATTTACTTTTGATTTACTCGAAAACATACACTAACTTTGAGAGTCTGATTAGTTAAACTCTTTGTTCTTTCTATATCAGGAAACAGTAGAACATGATAGAGAGGATGTTCTTTATTTGTTCAACTTTGCAAGATGTTTATGCTTTTATTTCCGAAAAAAATGTTTATGAAATCATGTTCTTCTCTGGAAATTTACATGTGCATTAGTCATTAGCTGTTTATATGAACTTAAGAACTCTATAGACACAATCTTCATATAAAGCTCCAAATTATTTTCTCTTTTCCTTCAATTTATAAGCCTTAGAAACTTGAAAACAAGTGACAATGATTTTTTTTTAGTTATTATTTCAAAGGAAATATATTATTCTGAAAAAAATGCTTTTAGCTTTTCCCTTATCTCCTTGGAAGTCATTTACCCTCCTCACAAACAAAAAAAAATCTAGAGGCAATGATGCAATCCAAAATCTCAACTTTCTCTCGACCAAGCTTGAGCTTCCATGAAACAAAAGTAGTTCATCATCCTCGTATCTCTATGGCTTTATGCTCCTCAACATCATCCACGTTTCATCACCTTCTCTGCAAGTCCACCTTCCCTCTCGCTGCCTCACTCACCCTTCTCCTCTCTCCCTGTACCGGTAAGCTAAATCTCATCAATTTTTCCCAATTTATTCAATACGTATACGTAATCTCTACGTGTGTATCATCATAGTTTGTTTATGTTTGGATCTTCCTCAGCTGAAGCAGGCTTAATGTCAGGAAGTCCCGGCATAGAATCAATTCCGGGTCCCGAGTTACCAAAGCTCGAATTCCTTGACCGCTTCAATGGTACCAATTTTTCAAATTCATAATTCCTTGTAAAAAAAGAGTGTTTTTGTCTGCTTCAAGAAAAAAGATTCTTAATTGCAGCAAAAAACCAGAAGTTCTACGCTGAAAATGATTCCAGATTCAAAGAATCTCCAATTCTCAAGAAGTTGCTCGAGAATTCCAAACTAAACAAAGAAAAGTTAGTAAATTTCTAAAACTCTCACCATTATGATACACACCCATTTGGTCTCTTAGTGTTACTGATCCAAAAATGTGGATAAAAACTGTAAAAGCTCAAAACTTTGAAACATGTAACATTGGCTTTGTGTCTGGTTTGTTTTAGGAATGAAAGAGCGATTCAAGACAAATATTGTCTAAGAGGAGCAGAATGGGGAGTTGGAGATTGTTCAACCAATGGAATGACAGATGAGGAGAAAGAAAAATTCATCACAATGTTGAAAGAGAAGACTGGTGTTAAATAAAAAACTTCCAAAGTCACATTATGTATTTTTGTATGAATGCTTTAGAGAATATGAGAATCATCTATGCTAATGTTTTTAAATTTATCAAACCGAATCCAACAGGCAAAAACAAGACACCAAAAAACACACAACGTGAAAACAATCATTCATTATTTTACGGATCAGCGATTTTGAGATCCAGAAGAGAAAGTGAAGCAATCTCATTCACAACCAGTGACTTGTCAGCTTCAAACCCTTCATCTTCTTTCTCAGGTTTCAAATCAGCAAACAAACGAAGAATCTTGTTCCGATTCGCGACAAGAATCGCCACAATGTCCTCTGGTTTGTTCTCGTTCGCCACAAACAGCTTGAAGACATGAAAAGCTTCAAGCTGAATGTTCTTGGTTGGTTCTCTGAGTAGATTCATCATGATCCTCAGATTATCCAAACTGCTCACATACTTCACCATCACACCTGAGTTAGAACGATCCATCAACACATCTCCCAACAGTTTCGAAGCCTGTCTCTTGGTAAAGTAGCTTCCTTTCTCCAACAACCTCGTATTATACTTTGCGAAAAACCATTCGTGGTTCTTGGCAAGATACTCAGCTACAGTCGATTTATGCCTCGTCATAAGCTCCCTGAAGATCTTGCTCGCGTCTGTAGCTACATCGAAGTAAGGAAGCTGAACATAATCGAAGAACTTCTCCAAATTCTTCGATTCAAGAATGTACCTCGCAACAACCTGATGACGAACACATTCTTTAAGCATCCCTGTGTAATGCAAAGCCAATTCGTGATCTTGATCGATTCCTTCGACTAACGAATCGATCACATCAAGATTCGATTCGAGATACTCAGAAGCGACGAGACGAGAACCGACTTGCTGTTTCTGCAAATTCGCTACGATCTGTGTCGCGTCTTTTCTCGCTTCGAGATCGAGTTTTGGAAGAGATTTGATCAACGGACGAAGAGTGTCTTCTCTGAAAAACTCTTGCGTCAACGAGAGACAAGCTTCGGGAACAGGCTCTGCCTCGCTGTTTCCATACAGGATCGATTTGAGATCTCTGATGTTCCTGCACAATTCAGCACAAATCCCTAACCTCTTCGAGTTTCTGTTGTCGATTTCTTCATCGTTCTCGGCTAAAGCGATGAGATCTCGAGTCTGACGAACGATTTCGCCAGGAGGACGAGGCTTGTTCTTGAAGAGACCTTTGATCCTCGTGCTCCCATGGTTTCCGAGGTTTCCGCTGAAAGTGCTGAGCTTTCCGCTGAATGTAATGTTGACTTCTTCGTCGGTTGATCCGACGCGTAGATGGCTCCGTGTACGGTGGTGCTTTGACGACGGAGCTGTATCGGAGCCTCCGTGCCGTCCAGCACCACCGATCTTGGAGACACACGCACCTATTTTTGTTTTTCCCTTTTTGATTTTTTTACCGCAATCCAAAAATCAATTTTCAAAAGCAAACAAATCTCTCTGTCTATACATATGTCTCTAGGGTTTCTTCAAAGCTTTTTCAGGGGTTTCGCTGTTAATTCAACATCATTTCTCTGAAATTTTCAAAGGACGAAGAAGAAAGAGACAAACACTAAAATTGGGGGGTCTTGATTGGCTAATTTTGGCGCCCTGAAACTTCGGTCTGGTTTGTTTAAGAAAATCTTTGTTGTCCTAAAACATATATTTAAAAGGATAAAATGTAGTGTTATTAGTTAACTAATTTATATACTCTATACTATTTAGCTTAAATTGACTTTTGAAATCTTCAGCGAAATATTTGAAAACAACAAAAAATCTACTGTACAATCAAAATCGTTTATTGGGCCTCAGAGCCCAATAAGAGTTACAAAAGATATTTTATTCAATGGCTATGAGTTTCTGAATAAAGAAGGAAAAATCTGTGAGGACGAAAACTCTCCTTCGTCCCGGCGAGTTTCTCCGGTGATCGGCAGTGTCTTTCCGGCATCTACAAAATTTCACTAGCCGTTCGTAAGTTTCTCGAGTTTTGTTTCAATTACAAACTATCGTACCTTTCATATCAATTTGGAATCTCATACGAATATGCTCTCTCTGATTCTTGTTGGATTTTGTAGGAAGATTATTGGATTAGGAAGTGTGACTTCGCTTTTCATTAGAGAAAAAATGGTGCAAAGTCAATCGTTAAGCACATTAACAATCTGTGGGAGTGTACAAGTTTACAGCACATGGAGGAATCGTTTAAATCCAGCAAAATCATCAGCTTTGGTTGGTAATCGATGCGTTTCGTGTCGATTCCTTCGTAGATCATCATCTCTTAGAAGCCATTGGAAGTCACTGAAGCAAAGAAATCTGTTGAGGGTCGAAGCTAGATGGCCATTTCAAGGAGGTGACCAAGGTCCAGACCCGAGCTCTGAGCGGAGCGAGAGTGCGAACGAGGATATTTTGATCTTCTTCTTTCAGCTAGATTTGGCTACTCGTGTGCAGGTCAGAGCCTCCAAATGGGATTCTTCAGAAATTCGGATTTTTTTTTCTTTCGCGTTGAATGATCTGCTTATTGGTGTATCTTTCAATGGCAGTATGCGTTGAATGTGGAGCAGTACGACATTGCGCAACAACTAAGAGAAAAGCTAACTGAGGTATATGAAAATAATATGTTAAGATCTTTAAGTGAGACAAGTTTTCGTGAAAGTATTCAACTTTTGTTTCCAAGATGTTAGCTTTTGGTTGAACTAACCTGTATTCTTGTACTATCGAAATTGGGTAACACAACAGTGAATAACAGTCTGTGATTGTTAGGTGGAAGAGGAGGCTATAAGGCTGCAAGAAGGGAAAAGAGGATCATCATCAAAAAGTGAAGCTCAAGACAAGGGTATTAGCCTCATAAGGCTACGGTCAGTAGTTTCCATTCGGTTATCAAGACACATTTTTCAGACGTTGTCTCTCTTTGTGTGTTTTGTAAACATAGGAGTATGTCATCTTTATTTGTTCATTTTGATATAATTGCAGTGCAGATCTTCAGAACGCCATTGACAGTGAGGATTATGGTTTGGCAGCTAAGTTAAGAGATGAAATCTCAAAGCTTGAGGCGGAATCGTTAGCTGTGTCTGCGAAAGCCTTGGCTTTTGAGAATGCAAAGTATGCATTTCGTTTGGGACAGAAACTTAGACACAAAACTTTTGGTACATTGTCATGTGTATTAGTGCTTGTTTCACTTTGGTTTACATTGTCATGTGTATTAGTGCTTGTTTCATTTGGGGAACTTACATTGATTTCTCTTCGTCTGCCGTAGGTTACCGGGCTGTAGTTTGCGGGATGGATCCAGTTTGTTGTGAATCAAGCTCCTGGATAGAAGCTGCAGAGGTTGAAAAGTTGCCTCGTGGATCCAATCAACCATTTTATCAGGTTCTGGTTTCGAAGCAATGTTCCCAAAGACTTATGTTGATTGAAAAATGAAGCTAAACTAATGTTTGGAGCGTATTCAAATACATATGAACAAACTAAGACTGTTTAATTCATATCTACAGAAGAAAACATGGATATCTAAACTTTCTTGCCTATGTCTAGCAGGTTCTAGTCGATGTTCGCACACATCCAGATCTACTAGTGGCATACGGTAAGCTCTGAATTTTCAAGTCCAATATGTTTAACTCTATAATATACCCTTTGGGTCTTGTTTTTGCCTTCCATGGAATTGTCCTGTTGCACAACATTGACCAGTGAACACTTTCACTATCACCTGACAATGGATCTTATATTGCAGTTCCTGAAGACAATCTATTAGCTCCAGAGAAACCCGACAAAGTGAGCAGATTTGTTGTGATGAATTCATCCTCATTGCAACAGATTTTCACTAATGGTTGTGTGTGGTATCTGCAGGAAAGGTTTGATCATCCATACATTTCTTTTCTCTTCTATGGAGCGGATACAGCTGGAGATTTCATCCCAATCCAACAACTGCGTGAGAAGTACAACAAACCCCGGCATGAAGTTCCTTATGATTCACAAGACGAAGATTAAGATGAAAGTGGCATGTTAACCTAAGATGTCACAGTCACAGACTCGAGTTCAGACCACACAACAAAGCAAGAATCTTAGCATAGCTTAGAGCTGCTCCCTGTTGATTATATTTTATATCCTTGTAGATATAGTCAACACAACTGTTCCTGCTCCATACACTAAAACAAATCGACTTTATCCAAGAATGCTTTGTGTATATATAACCTTCTTTATTCATCCAGAAAAGCTATGACAACTAACCAACTGCTGAGAACTCTGTTTCCATTGTGCTATGGCCTGGGATCTTGCTCAGGCCTCTTTGCTTCATCAGATTTCTCACTTCATTAGCATGACTCCACCTTTCATCCGATGCATACAAATTAGATACAAGGACATAATAAGAGGCATCATCAGGATGCAAATCGAGCATCTTCTTAATCACAATCTCCCCAAGATCAAATCTTGAATGCATTCCACATCCATGGAGAAATGCTGCGAAACATCTCACGTTTGGTTGAATCGGCATCTTCTCGATCACATCTAACGCTTGCTCAAGATCACCAGATCGAGCTAGCATATCAATCATACATGTGTAGTGTTTTGTGGAAGGTGTTAAGTTATAATCTTTGTACATTGAGCTGAAATACTTCTTTCCTTCGTTAACCATCCCTGTGTGACTACAAGCTGTTAAAATAGATGTGAAGGTTGATTCGTTCGGCTTTTGTTGCTTTTTCAGCATCTCTTCAAATAGCTCAAGGGACCCTTTTGTGTCCCCTTGCTTTCCATAGCCTTCGATCATAGCACTCCATGTGATTGTATTTTTCTCCTCTATAGTATCGAAAACGATACGAGCAGATTCGGCATCCCCGCATTTGGCATAAAAGTCTAGAAGTGCAGTACCAACATGAACACTGGATGATGCCAAGAAACCCAACTTCACGGAATAAGCATGAAGCGAGGAACCTATGGCTAGAGACCCGAGGGAAGCACAAGCCGAGAAGAGACTAGCAACTGTAACACCATTAGGCGTCACAGATTCTGATTTCATGCGATGGAACAGAAACAAAGCTTCATAGACAGAGCCGTTCTGTGAAAACCCAGAAATTATAGAATTCCAAGCAACTAAATCTTTCTCCGACTCCATTTCAAACACATACCTAGCATCTCTGTTCTGGTAGCACTTGGCATACATGTGAACCAGAGAATTTGCAACATTCGTATCCCAAAGAAGACCAACTTTGATGGATAGGCCATGAACTGATTTTCCCAGTTCAGGATTCCCACCACAACCAGACAAGACGCTTGCAATGGTTACACAATTAGGCTTGATTCCAACACCCTTCATTTTCTGAAACAAGCTCAAAGCTTCATTGGCACGTCCATTATGAGTGTATCCCACAATCATAGCTGTCCACATGACAAGATCCACATGAGAATGCTCATTAAAGACTCGACGTGCATTGCTTATATCACCACACTTGACATACATATCTAGCAGAGATGTCACCAAACATGAGCTGAGCTCTATGCCGCTCTTGATCAAACAGCTATGAAACCACTTCCCTTGATGTAAAGCACCAAGCTTTGTGCAAGCCGTGACAAGGGTACCGTATGTAACTTCGTTACCCGAAACAGAGTTTTCCCTCATCAGATTAAACAGATCCAACCCTTGTTCGTGCAAGTCGTTTTTCACATACCCAGCAATCATTGAAGTCCAGCAAACCACATTTCTCAACGGAATACAATCAAACACTCTATAAGAACTCTTGATTTCTCCACATTTAGCATACATATCTAGGAGACCTGTCAACACAATGCTATCACGAACTGGCACCTTGACGAGCTGGCAATGTATCTTCTTCCCATTATCTAAATCCTGCATCTCAGTACACGCTTTCAAAGCTATCGATAAAACAATATTATCGTAACCGTGGTTCCTCATAAACCCATAAAATTTTATGACTTCCTGGCTCTCTTTGTTCTGGTAATAACAGCTGAGCATGACTTTCCATAGATAAAAATCTGGTTCAGGAATTTGATCGAACACCAAGCGAGCATCTTTAGTATACCCAAATTCACCGTACAGACTAACGAGCTTGGTGGCACACGAGATATCACCCATACGTCCATCTACCGTTAACATCCCGTGAGCTTTCCTCAGAGAATCAATGTTCGTGCACTTACTTAGCAGGCGAAAGCACGGGATCGAAGCGGCGTAATGCAGGGAAGTTGTGGACTCATCATCATTGTCTTCGGGTAAAATCAATTCCTGAATTGTTGTGAATTGAATGCATCTCTGTAGAAACACAAAGTTTCTAATCGGAGAAACCCATTGAGGTAAGAGAGAGAATGAGCGTAGCATCGGTCTTCGCCGTTCACAACTTCCCGACGGCGTGGCTCTTCCCGCCAAATCTTTTGTCTCCTCGTGTAATGAAAAATTGAAAATGATGGGCCTTGAAAATGAGCCTTTTGTTATACATGTGGTAAGGTTTAAGGCCCATCTATATACCACGCTTACGTGTTATATTCATATGTGGATCTTCCGATGAAAATACCGTCGATCAACTTTCATAGTTAATCATGTTGAGTACAACAATGAATTTAAAACTTAAAAAAAAACTCTTCTTTAACTGATTAACAGTAGATATTTCAATATATGTCAAAGTTTAATGAGATAGGACAAAAAGAGTAAATAATTATATGTTCTATTGTAGTTTTCGTATGCCTCAGAATTTCTTATTTCAAGATTCATTAAAATAATTATCAAAACAAAAAAAAAATTAATACATACAGTATTGTAAAAGACAAAATAGAATAGGATCACTCTTGTTGTATTATTTATTCACGAATCATAAAACAAAATATATAAGATACAAATATAGAGTTTAGTTTGGAAATCAAGTTGTATTGTACAAGTACGCCAAATCTTTCGAACGTATTACTAAACCTCGTTGATTGGAACATAGGTGTTGGAGAGGTTGAGAATCGGGAACGAAAGACAAATAGGAATTATGTTTGATAATTCAGACAGTTATGATTTTATGCTGATAATATGTTGTAAACGAAAGACAATAGGAATTATGTTTGTTATATTATTTACGAGTCATAAAACAATATACATAGGGATATAAATATACGGTTTAGCTTAAAAACCAAGTAGTCTAGAACTTTCTATAATTTGTTTAATAAGCCAATAAGGAGCATCCAAGTAAAAAAACATACTGTTAATTAATCATATAATTTTGTTTTTTTTTTTTGGTTTTGGTTAAAGGTTTCTTAGAAAAGTCTCGTAACGGTAGACAGTTCAAAAAAAGGAGTTCTGTATTATATACGAGAGAGTCTTTACTATGTGAATCGATATTGTCTATGTTATCGTTGTTTTCTTACAATTTTTTTCTTCCTTTACCTCCATTGAAGGATACTTAAAGCTTCTAGGGACGATATTTTTTATTAAAGTTCCAGTTAAAGAACATAGATACAATTTTATACATAGAAAAACTTCCGTATAGTTCTCATTACACCAAAAACTTCCATAACCATGGTTACCATGGTAATGAAAACGATGCGGAAGAGTTATTGGGTAGCAGCAGTTGCCTTGGTCATCTTTCTGTTTATGTATCTTGCTCTTTTCTCCTCCGTATTCGATCTCCAGTTGATTCGTTCGCTAAGTTTATCTCAAGGTATGTAAATTATCAAACCACTTCTTCTTTAGTTTTTCCGATCAAAACCCCTTCATACAAAAAGTAATAGTGTTTGTTGTCTTTATGAGGATTAAAACGCATTTTTATATTAACAACTCACAACTCAGTTTAGTAAATTTAAATCGGAATGCTAACGCAACCAAAAAAACAAAAAAAACAAATGGTATTGATCGAATAAGATATTTGTTTATTTCATTAGACTGTTTTTGATGTATTAGTGGGTAATAGTTAATACAAGTATAGATGTCATGTAATGATGTACACATTAGTATTATCAAAATTATGACAATTAGATCTCGTGTCAGTTCGGACAAATGACAATTTATTAATATTAATTTAATAGTTTTTTTTCTTTTTGTTAAAGTTTAACAGTGGGGTTTTTTTTTTTAATTCTTGAATAATAGAGTTTAGTTTCAAACTTGGCTTCTATTTTCAATATTTGTATAATCTGATGACTTTTACTTCTTTTGACTTGGCTCTATTATTTCATCTTTCTCTTAGTTTTATTTTCTTCTTCTGAGTAAATAAATAGGTTTTGATTTTTTTTTTCCTTGTTGTTGTTGTTAAACTACTGGATTTTGATTTAAAAGCCGATTAAAAAGAAACGATAACCATAAAAATGTTTCCCTAACTATAAATGTAGGGAAAAAGAAGCAGATCTCTTTTGACTTTTAATTACTTCTCAATTGACATAAAAAGAAAAAACCATAATAAATGTTTCATTTTGTTCAAACGAATACAGAAGTCCTTTTTTTTGTCAACACTAATTTCCTATTACAAAAAGGAGTTTCCTCTATAGGCACGTTACAGCAAACTTGGGAATCCAGACTAATCAAGCAGGCTCCACAAATGATGGTTTCAGCAACAATCACATGTTATCGATCCCACACTAACTACGATGTCTGTTCGATCAACGGCTCATGTAATCTCGACCCCAGAACCGGAACTATCACTCTCATGGACCAAACTTTGGCCACATCAGCACCAATTGTCGAGAAGATCAGGCCATACCCTAGAAAAACAGATCAGTGGATCATGTCTAAAATCAAAGAGCTAACATTAACCTCAGACCGATTAGACCTGACGCGTTCATGTGACATAACACATGATTCGCCAGCGATTGTGTTCAGCGCCGGAGGTTACACCGGAAACATCTATCACGATTTCATTGATGGTTTCATTCCACTTTTCATCACTGCCAAAACAGTTTTCCCCGACCGTGATTTTATCCTTGTGGTAGTGAATCATAAGAAGTGGTGGATGCCAAAATACATGGACGTTTTAGGTGCGTTTAGCAAACACAAAACCATATTACTAGACGAAGGAAATGCATCTATTACACATTGTTTCACTTCAGCCATAGTAGGCCTAATTTCACATGAGCCCATGACAATAGACCCAACCCGGATACCCAATTCCAAATCATTAGTGGACTTTCACAATTTTTTAGACAAAGCTTTCAACACAAATCTATCAACTCTCAAACTTCACAAGCCTCGTCTCATATTGGTCAGTCGATATGGTAACATAGGTCGGGTGATGTTAAACGAGAAGGAGGTCAAAGAGATGCTTGAAGAAGTTGGATTCGAGGTAATCACATTTAGACCATCGAAAACGACGAGCTTGAGAGAAGCGTATAAACTCGTAAAGTCGAGTCATGGGATGGTCGGGGTTCATGGTGCTGCATTAACACATCTGTTGTTCCTTAGACCCGGTTCAGTTTTGGTTCAGATTGTTCCGGTTGGGTTAGGTTGGGTTGCTAAAACGTGTTTTGAATCACCAGCTAAGGCAATGAAGTTGGAGTATGTTGAATATCTAGTGAATGTGGAAGAGAGTAGCTTGGTAGAGAAGTATAGTAGAGATGATTTGGTTTTGAAAGATCCGATTGCTTTTAGAGGGATGGATTGGAATTCGACTAAAATGAATGTGTATTTAAAAGAACAAGATGTTAGATTGGATGTGAATCGGTTTAGGGAACATATGAATCAAGCATACAAGAAAGCTAAATCTTTTATGTGTATGAACTGTTGATTTACGTTTATGTTTTATGATTTTAATGATTTGTGATTTTTGAGTCCTAGAATACATATGTATTTTTTTAATAATTTATATTTATTTGTGGTGTAGTTTGAATGAAATTTGCTATTATTTTTGTGAGTAAATGTGCTTGTGAATTGATTAATAATATTGAATCGATATGATTTGAGCTAAAGTGAACCAAAGCTAGACTGAAAATTCAGATTGAGACTCTCTGGTACCAATAACTTCTTGTCTTTTGAAATAATTTTTGTTGTTGTAAGAATCAGATGGTTCAATGATTTTGTAATGATTTGTACATTACTGTTGAGCTGGAATAGCGTTACCTATGTTTTTTGGTTTAATGGCTGAGAAGCCATAAATGAAAAAAAATTGATCTACCCTGCCATAAACAAGTCTAAGTGCCATAAAGCACATGATATTCCGAAAATACCCTTAATGAAAAAGGGATATGGCATTGCTGATTTTTTGTTTGTTTTTTTATATCGAAAATCAAAAAAAAAATTGAGAAATGAAAATTCTAAAATTCTAATACCAAAACCGAATCTGGTTTCTCTGAATTTCTGGGTTAACATCTTAAACCGAAATCCGAAATCGAAAATCTTTTCCCAGAAATCGTCCGATCGAATCTCCGATCCGTCTTCGTTTATTATCGCTCGGCGCGGTGCGCCGGCCTTCTCTGAACCCATGGTGTTCGCCAAATCTCGTTGCAGAGCCGTCATTTGGTAATAAGGTAACTTCTTCTACAGTTTGGGGATTAGGGTTTAGTAATCGATTTGTCAATTCCGTTCGTTTTAGGTTGCACATTGGATAGTAGAGTGGCGTATATATGTCGATTTAGTCTTCTGAGTGTTAAAATTGAACTTGTTGCCGTTGAATCGAGCTGAATCGTAGGTTTGTATAGTGAATCAGTGAGATATGGGACAACTGGTACAATTAGGTTAACTGAATGGAAATGGACAACTGGTACAATTGGGTTAACTGAATGGAAAGGGACAACTGGTACAATTGGGGTAACTGAATGTAATGGAAAAACCTGTACAATTCGGGTAACTAAATGAAATGGGACAACTGGTACAACAGGGTTAACTGAATGGAATTGGACAACTGGTACAATTAGGATAACTGAGTTGAATTGGGTTAACTGAAAGGAATGGGACAACTGGGACAACTGGGACAATTGGGACCCGGAATGTATTGGGACAACTGGTACAAATGGGATAACTGAGTTGAATTGGGTTAACTGAAAGGAATGGGACAACTGGGACAATTGGGACAATTGGGACCCGGAATGTATTGGGACAACTGGTACAATTGGGATAACTGATTGAGATAAGTGGGACAACTGATACAATTGGTACAGTTGTGAGAAAATAGGAAATATTGTTATTCGTTAATGACTTAGTTTTTTTGGTTTTGTGAACAGAAGAGGATGAGCGGCCACACAAACAACATTTTGAGTATGGAGGATGTTATTATAAGGAAAGAGAGGAGTTTAAATGGATATCAAGAAGCTCCATCTATGCTATATCATTTAAAACCTCTTTGGATGAGGTAACATATCCGATGGTTGTAGATGGTATATGCAAGAAGATTGGGGTAAACGATAGTAAGAAGAAGCTCAAGTTAAGCTACATTCCGTTGGTAGCTAAGCCACTCAATGAGTCATGTATTGTTGATGATTGTGATGTGTATGTCTATCTAACAATTGTGGATAAAGAGGGACTTAGATCTGTATTGCATGTGGAGATAATGGAAGATTTGGAAAGAGATAAGATTCAAGAGTAATGGAATATTTTCATTATCTTGGATTTCTTGCAATATTATGTATTTTGGAGTAATTTGTAACCTAAAAATTAGGTGCAACCTAAAAATTTACGTCCAAACCCAGGCAAACTACGAACAACTAGGACAACTATTTGTAACTAGGACAAAAGAAGGCACACTAGTATAAAGTGGACAATTGGTACAATTGGGACAACTGTGAGAAACTAGGACAACAAGAACAACTACGACAACTATGACAATTTGGACAACTAGGACAACTAAGACAACTATGATAACCAGGACAAACTAATTTCTTTAAATTACTAAACATTAAACAAATACAGCCCTAAACCCTTAAATACTGTATACTCAACGACTACCACTAAACACTAAAATAAACCCATTATTTTCTGAAAATAAGATATACCATTTGTGTTTCTAATGAAATAACCCTTATGGTATAAGGCATTCTTTGACAATGGTTTCCATCTTATAAGAGGTTAAACGTAAAAATATGGGAAATACAAAAGTATGGGCGCGAAACCCTTGGGGCAAGTATAAAATGTTCAAGGGTTAAGGGGACAACTAAAAAAAGAATGTTCTTCTTAAAGGACAACTGAAAAAACTTAAAAATCGTCCAAAGGACAACTATGACAATTTTGGGACAACCGGACAACTAGGTACAACTATGATGTCAACAGAAAATGCACGTGTGAGAATGGCGGCTGAGGATAATATTATAAGTTATTTTCCTCTGTATTTGTCTTTTTTGGTTGTCGTTTACCGTTTTCTCTTTCATAGAAAAGGGTCAAAGGGTTCTTCTCCTCTTATTCTCTTTCCTAATTGTTGCCCCCAAATAGGTTTTTTAGGGTTTCCACCGCATAATGGATAAATATCAGATAGCCCTCGCGAAATTGGCTGAAAACAAGAATGATGGCTCTTCTTCTGTCTTGCCTAAGAAGGATTACGGGATGACCACTAGATGGGGACCCGAAGTCAATGGAGTCAAGACCATTCTGCCATGCCCTGTACAAAAGGGAATTCCAAAGGTTTGTTATTGCGGCTTAGCTCCAATTGGGTGTTTAACTGACAACTCCGGGCTTGACAGGGGCCGGAAATATTACGGTTGCTTCTACGGCTGTTGTGGTCCAAAAAATTTCCCAGAAGTAAGTCAATTGGGTTTTCAATTTTGATTTATAATTTGAGTCTCATCTGAATTTCTGAGTTTCGGGATTTCAGGTTCCCAGTTGTGGCTTCAAGAAATGGTGGGATCTCGCAATACTCGAAGAAATTGAAATGTTGAATGATACTCAAGAAGCCATGCAGGCTTTGTTTGACACCGTTTTCTCCAAGTTAAATCAGTTAGAGTCAAAGGTGGCATCCATTGAAGAAACTATAAAAAAGCGTTAAGGATGAAGAAGATGAGCTTTTCAGTTTCTTATTGACCTTTTTTCCCCTTGTTATGTTGCTACTCTCTTTTGATTTATTTTGAACTATTTCTCCTAAATAAAACAACGCAGTTGTACCAGTTGTCCTAATATATCGCATTAAGTTATACGAGTTGTCCTAAATAAAACAAGGAAGTTGTACGAGTTGTCCTAAATAAAACAAGGAAATCTTACCAGCTGTCCTAAACCCTAAACAGAAAACATAAGATTGTACCACAAAGAAAAACACATAATCTTAAACATAAACAAGACATTTTACTTCTTGGCTTCATGTGGTTGGGCTCCTTGAACATGTGAAAAACCCTGGCTGTACTCGGTTGGACCGAAATAAAGTTCTCAGGCACCATCAGTTGACTACCATCATCGGCATCCTGAGATAAAAACAAGAAACACAATCATATGAGATTTAGTTGTCCCAGTTATCCCAGTTGTCCCAGTTGTCCAAATGCCAAACGTAATTTTGTGCAAATAGTTGTCCTAGTTGTCCCAGTTGTCCGTACCGGCTGGTTCTGCTTCCTTCAATGGTTCTTCTTCACCCCGAATTTCTTCGTGGGTTGTTTCTTCATCATTCGCCAGAGGGTTTGGTGTTATTCCGGGTTCTTTATCTTTCATATCTGCTTCTTCACTGCGCTTGGGTACAGATTCGTTCGAATCATATACCACGCCCTTAAGTCGAATTTTAGCTATCTAGTTAGGCTGGATTTAGGGTTTGTCTTGATGAAGTTAGAAGGCTAAATTATGTAATATATAGTACGGGAATTGAAGAAAGGGAAGTTGAAGAAGAAGCAGTTACAAAATCAAGTGTCGTTTCAAGTTAAAGGGGAAATTGCAGAATTTTTGAAAAAAAGAAGGAAGTGGAGATAGCCGTTCGGGGAAGATGAAGAGAGAAAGAGGAGATCGTATTTGATTTTTGGTAAGTTTATCGAATGTGTTTGGTTTTGGAAATTAAATCCATTCGGTTCGGTTTTGTTTACCTAATTTTCGGTTTAATAATTTCAATTTTTTATTTCTGATTTCAAATTGATAAAGTTTTTTTTTTGACAGAAATTCCATTTTTTCTGGGTATTCGGGTCGGACATAAATCGGATGGGTTTTACCTTGGTATTTTTGTAATAAAAGAGACACATAAGGAGAAGGATATAATTTACTTGGTTTTTGTTAATAAAATTAATTCATAAAAAAATTAATTTTTAAAGATATGGTTTATCAGCCAACTTTTTGGTCTCTTATGGCTTTTCAGCCGCGCGCTCATGTTTTTTTTTTGGTGTTGGACTCCACGACATCTTTTCATTATCCAATCAATTTATTCGCGTTAAAACTAAGTTTACCCTTTAACACAAATTTAACTTTTTATAAACTCCAAATTTCAAATTAAACAAAAAAACAAGTGGACAATTTTGTTTTATGCAAATTCAAATTTATTAAACGGTTAGAGAGTCTTATTCATCGCCTAATAAATATCTAAACATTTGCGTAATTTGAAAACTTAGGCAAAAATAGGGGAAATTAATTGAAAGTTTGAAACAAACAAAATATAGATGGGAAATTACGGAAACACCCTCGTTCAATATATTCTTCGAACTTTATGTGTGGCCAAATGGAAATTTGCGAGTCGCCGTTTTCACTCTGCTCTGTCACTTTTTTAAGCTTTAGCTGAAAATCTCTTTAGTCTTTAGACTCTTGAGAGAATCTGAGACGAATATGGAGAAAGCTTTAACCAAAGTGACGAGCTTCAAAGTCGGAGGTTCATGGATCTCTAAGAAAGCCAAGGAAGAGCTCTCTAACATCACCAATGACCTCACTGTGAGTTTCATGGATCTCTTGCTCCCTGTCTGATGTTCGTTGTTTCTTCTTGGATTTTTGCTGGGTTTTTGCATGCGATCCCTACGTGAAATTGATGATTTTTTCTGGTTAAATGTGTTGTAATGTGGTCGGTTTTGGCGTTAGTTAAAATGGGACTCTATTGTTGAAATCTGGTGTAGTGGATTTTTCAAAATTGAAGAATAATCGTAGATCTAGGAAGATCTGATACGGGTTTCTTGAAGTGAAGCTTTGAAATTGTTTTACATAAATAAAAACCCGATTTTGAGTAGTTGAACGAGAATTGTAGTCAGGATTTTCTGAATCTGAGAGATGTCTCTGCAATTTTGATTTATGAGATTCAATTTTGATGTACGAATTTATGCAATTTTTTTAGTTCAGCTCCATGTTTATGAATATATTCATTAAGAGAATTCTTCACTTTCTGAACTGATTAACCTAACTAAGATGATTCTTAATATAGTTACCATTTAAGTCATTGTTCTTACTAGACAAGATGGTTATTTGGCAATGATGTGATCACGTGATGGTTTATCTTTTTTTTTTTTTTTGATGAGCTAAGAGACGTACATTGATAGATAACCCAGAAATATTTTACTCAAACAGATCGAACCAGTTTACGGGAATTTGTGTTCTTGAGTTGATATCAATTCTTTGACCATTTTTTGAATTCAATATTTCGATTTGCTCTCATCAGTTCAGTACTTAACTAACATGTTTTATAAGTATCATTCTATGTCTTTTGTTCATAGGCTTTTGTTATTTCTTTGACACATGGATTATTTTGCACTTACTTCTTTTATTCCATTGCCTCAAATTGGAAACATAACGTTCATGTTTCTTTTCCAGACATTCTCTAGTACCGTTGAAGAGAAAGCGAAATGGGTTTTCAACAAGCTTAAAGGTAAAACTATCTCTTTGTTTTCATAGATAAACAATCGGAAGATTCGACATTTCATAACCTGCAAATGCGTTTTCTGCTTCTCTCCAAAACAGGAAAACCACTCAAAAGCTTACCAGATCTTCTCAAAGAGTACAATTTACCACCAGGTCTCTTCCCACAAAACATAATCTGCTACGAGTTCGACGAGACAAAGAACAAACTCACTGTCTTCTTCTCCTCACCATGCGAAGTCACATTCAAAGATGGATCAGAGATAAGATACGCCACGCGCGTGAAAGGGATATTGCTTAGAGGGAAATTGATGGGTGTAGAAGGAATGAAGACAAAAGTGTTGGTTTGGGTTAAAGTCACAACAATCTCAGTCGAGAGCTCAAAATCCGACAAGCTCTGGTTCACCGCTGGTGTCAAGAAATCTCGATCTAAGAACGTTTACGACACTCCTCATGACGCGATCAAAGTCGTTGGAGAGTTCTAAGGTTTTTTTCTTCAACGGTTATATTAACATATTTGATTCTTAAGTTTCATTATTGGTTATTTGGGTTTCTGCATCTTGGGAAGTGGTATTACTGGTATATATATAACTCTCATTTTGGTTGAATGTGTCACTAATATAATGCAAGAAATCACAAAATAAATATCGAAGTGCAATAAAGATAATATGATTTTTGGCGAATAACTCTGCATAGCTGATCAAAGTAATGCTGATCTTGTTTTCGGACTTCTAATTTTAATTATCCCTTGTGTTTTGTCTCAACTAGTTCACTTTGTTTTTTTTTTTTTTTTTGGGACATGTATTGTGTTTTTGTTCCCTTTTGTTACTACTACACCAATTAAATCCTTGAGATATCCGGCCCAAATAAATTATGAATGTAAACTAATAAAACAAAATCCTTCCGTATCCATCTCTGTCTTTCAATGGTTTAGATGTGTCTTTCACTCTTGTTGAGTACAAACCACTCAATCCACCTTTGAACGGTAAGCTCGTTTTAAGCTATCTTGGAGAAATCGATAAAGACATGTTGACAAACAGATTAGAATAACTTACGATGTTTTAAACATATATTGAGTTATAATGATGAGCAAATCAAACTTCATAAAGTCGCGACTCAAGGGTTTACAATCACAGTTCCCAGCTTTTCTTCTTGATGTGATAAGTGAAGAGGCGATTCGTTGTGGCAATGAATGAAAAGGGCCCCACAGATGTATCATCATCGCTTGGCCTGTTTTCAAAGTTAATTGGGCCCTCCAAAAGTCAAGTTGTTTCCTTTTTTTTTGTTTTTGTTGCCAGCTAAATTTACTCACTCTCTTACTCTTTCTCTAACTCACACGTTTGACGTTTCTCTTTCACCATTATACCAAATTTTTTTATTTACTCTACGAAATCTCAAACAGTGTATCCATAAGTAAAAAAAGAAAATCATCTTTGTTATTAATGAAGTAATAATATCCATGGCAAGGCGAGGTGACTTGTTTTGTCCTAATGAAACAGAATTAGGCTTAATCCGACCATAACTCCATTCCATTCGTGTACACGTGGCTGAATAATATTTGTAGATCGTGGTGAGGACAAATTAGTTAAAAACCGCGTGTCGTGCTTGGAGCTGCTGTTGACTTGCGAGGCACAAACTCTCATTGTCTTTCCTCTTTAGAGACAAATCCGTAGTTTTTACACATAGACCGACGCTTTTTAATAAACTCTTTTCCCTTATTAGCCAATCATAACTCTAGGATTACAACAATAATTGACAAAAGAATTTGACACATTGGATAAAAAAATATGATAACTTTTTTAAAATATGATGAAGAGAGAATCTATTAGATTCCTGTCTGCAATACACTAATCTGTAACTTACAATAATTCCAAAATATTTTAGCTATGAATTTTTACTTCATTAAAAAAAATCCATCTCTCCTGACCAATGTAAATTATAAACTGTCAAAAGAAATCTCAATTTTGTCAAAAAAAAAATGAATAATTTCTTTTTCGCCTTTATCACTTTATAGTAGTACTAAACTACTAGAACATTATTTTACATGAATTACTTATTTTTGGAAAATTCCAGGTAAGATCGGATTTTCACTTTCCATAACCACCTATAAAATAGTTTTTTTCTCATCATTCATATGAAAGATGTGTCATTTTTCTGGCAATGATTTAAATAAAATAAATAACAAAAAGGAAAAAAATAATGGATAAATGGAGGGAAGAAGACAGATATTTTATTTTATTTTATTTTTGCACAAAAAAGACAAAGAGATTACTCTTGCATATCTGCACCGCAGACTTTGTACTGCGAAAGCAAATTTTATAATTTATATATTCTCGAGATCTGCTCGAAAACAGGAGAAAAAAAAAACTAAAAATCTCACCATTAAAAGACTGCAGAAGAAAATATAAAAAGAGAGAAAGAAAGAAAAAACGAAATGAAACTGAAACACGACAAGGATGATGTAAAGATACAAAAGGGTGTTTAAAGGGAGGAAAGAAAAATATCTTTTTTTTGTGAGTTGGGTTTGTTAGATTTTATCCTCTTTGTTTCAAAAAAACCGGAATCGATGGCGGAGAAGAAAGAAGAAGAAGAAGAACAACAACAACCTTCGACGTTAAAATCATCCACCGGAGCTTCACGGCCAACGATTTCACTTCCTCCTCGGCCGTTTGGAGAAATGTTTTTTAGCGGTGGCGTTGGATTTAGTCCTGGTCCTATGACTCTCGTCTCCAATTTGTTCTCTGATCCTGACGAATTCAAATCTTTCTCTCAGCTTCTAGCTGGAGCTATGGCTTCTCCGGCGGCTGCTGTTGCTGCTGCCGCCGTCGCCGTTACCGTTCATCAGACACCTGTGAGCTCTGTCGGTGGCGGCGATGGCGGTGGAAGCGGCGGTGGTGATGTTGACCCGAGGTTCAAACAGAACAGACCAACGGGATTGATGATTACTCAGCCACCGGCGATGTTTACTGTGCCGCCGGGATTAAGTCCGGCGACGCTTCTGGATTCTCCGAGCTTCTTTGGTCTTTTTTCACCCATTCAGGTGTGGATTTCATTTCCCTTAACAAAAGCATTGATTTTTTTTGTTTTGTCGTTAGTTCGAGATTCTGTTTTTTGGTAACTGAAAGTTTAGGACTTTATGGGTTCTTTTGAATATTCTGTTGATATTTCCGGTTTTTGTTTCCATTCGGTTTATAGATGCAAATTTTAACAAATTGTACCATTTTGCTGAATAAGAGGAGAAGGAAAACATTTCACATGTTCTTCATTTTAGGTCAAAATTGAGGAATTTTTATTTTTTGAGAAAAATAGGGGAATCTTTGAAGTATAAGGAACTTTGAATCTTGGCTTTATCTAATTATAAAGTTAAAAGTTTCAAGAAAGTACATCTTCAATGTCAAGGAGAAAACCAGAGCTCAATTCTTAAACTCTGCCCTTGATAATCATTTGTATTTGTTTCTCTGACCCTCTTTTCGGAATTTGAATCTTCTGGATGTATTTCAGCATTTGCTTGGATTTGTTACCCTGTTTTTATCTTGAGGATATCATTAGCTAATACAAAATATGAATTTATGTGTAGGGATCATTTGGTATGACACACCAACAAGCTTTAGCACAAGTCACTGCACAAGCTGTGCAAGGCAATAATGTCCAAATGCAATCCCAATCCGAATATCCTTCCTCTACACAACAACAACAAACTTCAATGACTGAGCTTCCTTCGTTTTCTTCTGGACCTCGGTCACAGATTCCAGCTCCGGTTCAAGACTCGTCGCAGGTTCAGAGAGAAACCTCGGAAACATCCGTCTATGAGCATCGGTCACAGCCTCAAAATGCTGACAAACCAGCTGATGATGGATACAACTGGCGGAAATACGGACAGAAGCAAGTGAAAGGAAGCGACTATCCTCGGAGTTATTACAAATGTACGCATCCCGCATGTCCTGTCAAGAAGAAAGTCGAGAGGTCTCTCAATGGACAAGTAACAGAAATCATATACAAGGGTCAACACAATCATGAGCCTCCTCAAAACAACAAGCGCGGTAACAATAACGGGAGTTCTAAAGGCTCTGATATTGCAACTCAGTTTCAAAGCAGTAACAGCAGTCTCAACAAGAGCAAGAGAGACCCGGAAACAAGCCAGGTTACAACAATAGAGCAGATATCTGAAGCAAGTGATAGCGAGGAGGTTGGTAATGCAGAAACTAGTGTGGGAGGAAAACAGGAAGATGAGCCTGATCCCAAGAGAAGGTAAAAAAAAAAAAAAAAAACTTTTACGAGATGTGACTTTTCCTCTTACATTCATCTCTTATGGGTTTTGTTTTATTTTTCTGATTAGATTCAGACAATCTTTAAAATGTTGCAGAAATACAGAAGTCCGGGTTTCAGAACCAGTTTCTTCATCACATAGAACTGTGACAGAGCCTAGAATTATTGTCCAAACGACGAGTGAAGTTGATCTCTTAGATGATGGATATAGATGGCGCAAGTATGGCCAGAAAGTAGTCAAAGGGAATCCTTATCCGAGGTGAGACTGAAAACCGGTCATCGAATTATAAATTTTTCATCGGTCTTCTTTCCTTAATGCTCTTTTATATATTCGCAGGAGCTACTATAAGTGTACAACGCCTGGATGCGGAGTGAGGAAACATGTAGAAAGAGCAGCAAATGACCCGAAAGCTGTTGTAACAACATATGAAGGAAAGCATAACCACGACGTTCCAGCTGCTAGAACCAGTAGCCATCAGTTAAAACCAAACAACGATTTACACAACACCTCCACGGTTAACTCGAACCAACAACAACAGCCAATTGCTCGTTTAAGGCTTAAAGAAGAGCGAATCACTTGAGAGAGAAGATGAGATTTGTGAGTTTGATCATCTCTTTTTGTCTTTAATGAACCTATTGTGTTTCATGTTTACCAAATTCCCACAGATTTCTATGGACAGAAAGTCTAATATATCACAGTTTCAGAAGGTATGTTTTCTTCCATGCTGAAATCTTTTGTTTAAACTTAAGAAGCTTTAGGATGTAATGTAAAAAACAGATTCAAGATTCTGGTCTTATGTCAATTCTTTTGTACATGGAGAAAGACAAAATTACATTATCTTTTTGTTCTTCTGATAATAGGTTACATTTTGGGGGTGAAACTTCTTCTTGTAATAATAATGTTTGTATGGAAGATTTCACAATTCTGAATAAAACTTTGATTCTGACTAATCAGTTTAAGTGCATTTATTGGAAGTTGGATTGTACCACAAATCCCACATAATGAAAAACATTCAATAGCCACAAATTCAGATCATTCATACACATTACAAAAGCTTTGAATTCTCATGAACAAACATAAAAGACCTGTCCGATTCTGTCAAATACTAAAGAAAATTAATGTACAAACTTGCTTTATCATACAAAAAGCCCAAATTTTTCTCATTATCATCATCATCATCATCATCATTGAGTCATCAGATGTTGTTGTAAGCTACAGAGACCAAGTGAGGAACTTTACCATCATCAAAGGGCAGACTCACGTATTCTCTTGCAAACTCTTCTGCTATCTCCCAAGCAAGCTCGCCGTGAACAGCTTTGCAGTACATATACATAACGGTGGTCGCCGCAAGGTTATAAAGCGTCAGAAGCGTTAAGAACGCAGAAGTGATCACGATCTGGAGCATAAAGAAAGCATTTGTCCACAGTTTCCCAGTTTCTCCGTCTCCACTATCGTCGTCGATCTGAGCCGAAGCAGCGACGGTGCTGAACCAGACGAGAGACGATTGGGTTATGGCGAAGAAGACGATCAGAGACAGAGAAACGCTTTCCATTCCTTTGACCAAGCTTTTGCTCCTCTTCAATGGCGTTAACCCCCAAACTGATTCAACAACAACGACGACCCAAGCTAAGATCCACTTGACATAGAGCTTGATCACGATTACAACCGAGATGATCGTCACTACGGCGGAGAGAGCTTGGAAGTAAGGAGAAGCGAAATCGAATTCGAGACTTGGAAAGATGAGCTCGATTAATCGAGTCGACAAGAACGCCCCAAACCCTAGAATCAGCAGAATCCCAAAAACGATGGAATTGGATGAAATCAGAGTAGCGAGAAGAGGGAAAAACGAGGTGAAGCTCGATTTCACGGCGGATATCAGTTTTACGGGTCTTCCGTAGAATCCTTGGAACACGCTATACGCGATTGATCCAATAGCCAAGAGATTGAAGACGGTGACCACAACGATGTAAGCAATCAGAAGCAGGACCACCGTCTCGATATCAATATCGGCGGGTGGTGGTTGATCGCCGCCGCGGAGGAGAGAGACGCTGTTGTGAGAAGCGGAGGATTGATCGGTGATGAGGCGGAAGACGGAGGGGTAGACGGTGACGGAGAAGCAGAGGGGAAGGAGGAAGAGAACGGAGAGAGCAAGGAAGTGGCGCGAGTGTGCGTTGATTATCCGTTTCGATTCCGATAGAACGACCCAGAGATTCATCGTCGGAGGAGGAGATACCGTCGCCATTGAAGCGCGTGGAGAACACGAAGTTAGTAGAAGAATCGAGGAATTGATGACCAGGACTTGTGTCGAGATACTAGTACGGATAAGCTCGATCCGGGTTGGGTCGGGTCGGGTCGGGTCGGGTAAAACTTTTTTCTTTTTTTATACAACCGGAAGAGAACTTGTGTGGACTTTTTTACACATTCGTTAATTCTCTCACTTAAGCTGATCAAATCCAACTATAGTCTGAATCAAGGAAAACATATGAGATTCTGCTGTCGTGCACTGCTATTAATTGAAACCACATAAACTTTTAACAGTTTCCAAATAGTATTTGAAAATAAGAAATATTAGAGACCAATCATTATCGGCTCTGTCAGATATTTTGTTCACAACTATCAGAAAATATCGTTACTAGATTATTTTTTTTTTTTAAAAAACGATAACAAAATCTTTAAAATGACATCATATATACTCAAAACAACACACAAAATAAACAACACACAAAAAAAAGCAGAACATTATCCAAAGATTAATGAAGAACGAAGAGACAGAGCAAGAAGAAGAAGAATTCAGTGAATGGGTAGTGATACGAACCTCACCCACAAGCTCACCAGTTGACGCATCTACCCATCAGAACTCACCTTTATTACAACCAAGCCACTATCCGCCAGAAGACGATGGTGAAGAAGATGCTGTCGTTCCCATCGTCGGAGAAGAAGAAGGAGAATCATCCTCCTCCGCCGTAAATCCCTCGCTGCTATGGCGCATCATCGAGATTGCCAAGAAGCGAGTGATCAAGGACTTCCAAAGCGTCGAGAGGGCGCGTTGTAATTACGTGACTCGTAGAAGGGTCTTATGGTCATTTACACTCATTTGTGGTTTGTCCTTAGTCTCGAGCATTGTTTATGTGAAGCTTGTGAGATGGTGGACACGATTACAGGAAGAGAAGCTGAGATTTCTGGTTCTTCTGCTCAGAGAGAAAGATCAGGTTTGTCTAAACTAACTTTTACAGTTTTTTTTTTTTTTTTTGCTTTAATTTTTGAAAAACTTAAAAATTCTGATATTGAATTGGGATTCTGCGATGTGTAGAAAATAAAGGAACTTATGCTAGAAACTGGGAGATTGAACGAGCTGTTATCATCAAGACGCAGAGTTAGAGTGGTTCGAATCGTGTGACGCATACGAGTATATTTGTATATTGGATATGAAGTGAAGATCATTTGCTATTTGTTGTGTGATTAGTATACATACATATGTATTTTCACGTGTATGTAAGAATTATATATATGAAAATTAAAGAAAGATAGAGTGAGACACACTTTAAGTTTTGATGTTATATGTTTTTTTGCTATAAAGTAATTATTCTATGTTAGTTTTGAATGTTGTGCGAAATATTAGAACATTATGTTTTTCTTTTTTTTTTTGTGAATGTCAAACGCATAAAAGCTATTGCACTTGAAACAGAGGAGCCAAGATCACAACCTACCGAACAGTCAAGGTAACATCTAAAACAGGATTTAGTGTCATACCCTTTGTTATGTATATCAGTGATCTAGAGACAGATGTGACGATGAAAAAAAGGTATTTCTTCAACTTTCATATTTTTTTGATTATTTTAAAATAAGTAACGCCACACAATAAATTGATAATATTCAAGGAAATGGATCTTTGACCAGGCCATAATTAGTTTGACTGTACTTATACTCAGTTTAGTGATTTACCAATATGATATGACCTTGTTTGGTATTCTTTTTTAATTTAATTTCGAAACGAAAGAGATTAAGGAAAGAAATCTTATATGAATGGCAAGGTTAGCGAAATACTATTAAATGCAATGTGTTTCTATAGAGCTGGTCAGCTGGTTACCTAATAAGCAATGAGAAAACAATGGAATATTTTCAAAGACCACAATAAATGTTCAAATAATCAAACAAACTATATAATCATTATATTAAAAACTCAAAACAATATTCAAAAAACTTAAGTCAATTTCTCCTACTAATCTAAAAAACAATGGCATCAAGAGCAACATCCGTTCTCCTCCTCTCTTTTACGCTATCTTGTGAGTTTTTTTTCGTCTTTATAATTCTATGTAATTACGTAAATCTGAAAACTACACCAACTGCGAAACATGTTTACATTTGGTTATGAAATCTTATCATTGATAAACATATAGGTGCACTCATGTTGCTTGTAGCGAATGTGTCAAATGCAGAGAGTCCTCTCAATTTGCCACCATTATGCGGATCGAAAAGTGATTGCGAATTCATATGGTGTCCTCATGGAAAAGGAGGAAAAGGAGAATGTATAGGGTGGCCGTGTGACACAACGGAATATTGTATGAAGGTTGTTCGTTGCGATGCAACACCAGGGCCTTATTGTATGGAAGGAATATGCACTTGTTAAACAGAAACGCATGGTTTGTATGAAACTTCTATTAATGGAATAACATAATTTTTTGGGTAATTCTGTTTTCTGGAACAATTTAGTCGATGTATAAAAACAAGAACATCAAAAATCTTGTTGCAAGAGGTTCAAATTTATGAACACAGAACACTTGAGTTTTTATGGTCAAGTCGGTGCCATGCTTAGTATTATACTAGTCAGGATGCTAGTACAATTTGTTTAAAGATTTGATATTTTGAGAAATTTTATAACAAGGATGGATGAACGTAACGATATACGACTGTCTTGCAACACAGGCAAAAATAATGATAAATGTGTTATATGATTGCTAGTGTCTAAGCTGATGTGTTAAATGTGTATATAATGTTTTGATGGGCAGAAATAATCTTCTCATCGAGCAAAGTCATTACTCACCCTTTTTTTTGCCGTTTTCTTCACGTCAGGATGGAGAGATCTCGAGTAGCTGCTCAAATTTGTCTTGCTCCTTGCTTTTACATCCTTATTAAGTTATTACTAGTTCGCACGAGAATTGTTTCTCTTGTTTAGCGAATTTTATAATATAATTTATGTTTTTTGAGTTTAGATATAATTAGTTTGTAGATATATTTTTCTAATAAATGAAAAATATTTTTTTTTGTTTTTAGATATACTTTACTTTTTTTAATTTAATTCTTTTATACTATTAAAGATAATTATAATTATAAAAATATAATTTTAACACGTATGTTCATATTAATCTAAATAAAACTATGATTATAAAAGCATAATTCTAACTTATCTGTTCATATTACTATATAATATAAAAATTTATTAAAAATTTAAAATGTATTAACGGTATTTTATTTAGCATAGAATATCTTATATAGTTTTCTAAAATTTAATCTATAATAAGTGTATACAATAATTTTTAATTTATTTCTGTTTTTTATTTTTTATAAAAAAAATATATTTTTGGTATACATTATGATTCAAAATTAGTAATTTTAGCTACCAAAATATTTTTAACCCGGTTTTTATATATATTTTTAGTTCTATGGTTTATTAAAAATTTGTTTTAATATTTAAATTATATATTTGACTCTTATCCATTATTTTATCGTTAATTTATATATAAAACATAATCATAAATGTTTTATATAATCAACATAAATATCATATCATTTACATCATCATAAATATTTTATATTTTAAATATGACCATTATTTTCTATATGTGAATTATTTTTTTTCAAAAAAATATTGGTATTTTTGATAAAGTTTTTTTAATAATAAAGAAATTATTTAAATTAAAATATTTAAATCAAATCTAAATTAATATCTGATTTATTATTTTAAATCAAATCAAATCAAATCAAATCTTAATTATCTATATTTAAGGAAATCTCAAAAAAAATTTAAATTTTAAATAATTTTTGGAATTAAATATAAATTATTTCTTAAAAACATTAGGAGTGTTTGGATGCAAACACTAAAAGTGCTTCTGTTTTAATATAATAGATGCCAAGAACAATTTTTTCCTTAAATCTTATTTAGTGGGTTTTATGAGAGATTTCGTATGATGTTTTAAGATTTGGTTGTTTTTTTTTTACGAAAACACCTCTTTAAAATAAGATTAAAGACAATCTAAACCCAATAACTTTATTTTATTGATTATATTCAATAAAATTAAAAATGTTATTCCTCCACTTACTTCATTTGAACAATATATTAATCAATTAGGTATATCCGGAAGTGGTGTACCAAATTGCTAATTTGTTATTGTGTTTTATCTATTTTTATGTATTTTTAAGTTTAAAGTTAATTTTTTATTATATTATTCTATTTATAAGTATTTTTAATTTATAATTAATTTGTTATTGTATTTTCTATTTATATATATGTTATGGTTATTTTTAAAATTTTCTATAATTTAAATAACTAGCTTTATTATTTATAATAAAATTTATGAGTAAAAAGTATCAACATAGTTTGTTTAATAATTAAATGACAACATATATAATAACTGAGAGATCAACTTATAAATAAAAAAGTTATATATAAAAATATGTTTGAGACGAACCCGTCGTTTAAATATATATATATATATATATATATATATATATATATGTGGCCGTCACTACGCGTAGTTTAAAATTGTATATATTTTAAATCTAAAATATCTAACTCTGTGAAATTCAATAAACCACATAACCTTTTCAATACAACAAACAAAAGGAAGGCCGGACTCCTCCCCCTCCCATAGGAGTATATGATACGGACACAGCCGTTTGAAAACAAGAAGGAAATGAATCTTTGCTGTCACCTAGACTCCTACCCGGACCTTTAACTAGTCAACGTTTAAAGTTTGAACGTTGATTCTAGTTGTACAGATACTTAGATATATATATATATATAAGATAAAATGCATTATTTTAATGAATATTACAACAAATTGGGATGTTTTTAAAATGGTTACTAAACAGATCTTTTAAAAAAAGCTAAAGTGTTTGGATGCAGATATTAAAATGCAATTTTTTCTTTCTAATAGTATAGATTGATGTGTATTTGAAGTATTCCACAGTTCAACTGCTCAAAGTAGATCTTAAGTTTTCTATCAACTTTCATATTTGTTTTGATTATTTTAAAATAAGTAACGCCACACAATATATTGATAATATTCAAGGAAATGAATCTTTGACCAAGCCATAATTAATTTGACTGTACTTCTAGTCAGTTTAGTGATTTACCAACATGATATGATCTTGTTTGGTATTCTTTTTTAATTTAATTTCGAAATGAAAGAGATTAAGGAAAGAAAATCGTATATGAATGACATAGAAGGTAAGGGAAATTCCATTAAATGCAATGTGTTTCTATAGAGCTGGTTACCTAATAAGCAATGAGAAAACAATGGAATATTTTCAAAGACCACAATAAATGTTCAAATAATCAAACAAACTATATAATCATTATATTAAAAACTCAAAACAATATTCAAAAAAATTTAAGTCAATTTCTCTTACTAATCTAAAAAACAATGGCATCAAGAGCAACATCCGTTCTCCTCCTCTCTTTTACGCTATCTTGTGAGTTTTTTTTTCGTCTTTATAGCTCTATGTAATTACGTAAATCTGAAAACTACACCAACTGCGAAACATGTTTACATATGGTTATGAAATCTTATCAATGATAAACATGTAGGTGCAGTCATGTTGCTTGTAGCGAATGTATCAAATGCAGAGATACCTCTCAATTTGCCACCATTATGCGGATCGAAAAGTGATTGCGAATTCATATGGTGTCCTCATGGAAAAGGAGGAAAAGGAGAATGTATAGGGTGGCCGTGTGACACAACGGAATATTGTATGAAGATTGTTCGTTGCGATGCAACACCAGGGCCTTATTGTATGGAAGGAATATGCACTTGTTAAAGCATGGTTTGTATGAAACTTATAATGCATTAATGGAATTAGATAATTTTTTGGGTAATTCTGTTTTCTGGAACATTTAGGGCATCTCTAACCCACTTTTATTTTTGACTCTAAATGCTATTTTAGAGGAAAATCATCTCCAACCTAACTCTATTTTTGCTTCTAAAATAGAGAAATGCTATTTTTTCTCTATATATAGAGAAACTCTATTTCTTACTCTATAAAACATCTCCAAATATAAAATATCACTATTCAATTATTTAAATTTGAAGTATCATCTTTCTTTTGGCCCTCTTCTCCTTTCCATGGCCCTCTTCTCCTTTCCATGGCCCTCTCTCCTTTTCTACGTCACTTTCCATTCTTATTTTAACGTTACATACATAGGAAAATGGATTGAATTAGCCGGTTTGATCCGTCTCCATCATGACTGATTTGGTCCTATATGGATTTGATAAAAGATGGCTTTTTTTCAGGCAGCGGATAAAAGACGGCTCTAAAAAATTAAAACACATAAATAAATAAAAAAGCCATTTACGTATAAGTTACCATCACATCATGATTGTTTATTAAGTTGGGCTATTTTGGTAAACAATCATGATGTGATTACTCACCGAGCAAAGTCATTACTCACCCTTTTTTTTGCCGTTTTCTTTACGTTCGGATGGAGAGATCTCGGTAGCTGCTCAACTTTGTCTTGCTCCTTGGTTTTACTTCCTTATTAAGTTATTATGCAAAGAACAATTTTTTCCTTAAATCTTATTTAGTGGGTTTTATGAGAGATTTCTTATGATGTTTTAGGATTTGGTTGTTTTTTTTTTATTTTTTAATGAAAAGACCTCTTTTAAAGAAGAATGTCTTTTCCAAAAATGATAGTTTAGGGAAAAGAAAGTCAATGTGGATTAAGATTATGTGGGGAGATGGGTGTTAGAGCAGCTCTATTGGTGGACCTTATAAAAACGTCCTTAACATTTTTTTTATTAGTTTAGTTAATTAATTAAAATAGAAAGAGAGAGAGTGCAGTCCACTTGTAAGGGAAAGAGGAGAGATAGCATTTCGAAAAAATTAAAAAAAAAACATATAACCAATGAATATTTGACAAGTGGTTCAAGTTTAAAGTTTGAAATGCCACCTATATCCTACCCGGACCTTTAACTAGTCAACGTTTTAAATTTTGAACGTTGAAAACGCCCATCTTTTAACATCCGATGCCTACAAATAGCATAACCTGCAATCAAATATTCAATAGATAAAAAAAAAGCGACCCCTCCGCCATTGTACCTATCGATGAACGACAAAAATGTTATCTTCCACAGAGTCCCGTTATCAAGTGTTCTTGAACTATCGGGGAGAGGAACTCCGTTCAAGCTTCCTGAGTCATCTCATTGATGCCTTTGAAAGGCATGGAATCGACTTCTTCGTAGACGAATACGAGCTGAGAGGCAAAGAACTCAAAAACCTCTTTGTAAGGATCCAACAGTCGAGGATTGCGCTTGCAATATTTTCTACCAGGTTTGTCTAGTATTATTTCATATTTCTTCAATGAACCAGGAGATTCAAGATCATCAACATTGAATAAGTTGATTATAGGTATGCTGAGTCGAGCTGGTGTATGGATGAGTTGGTGAACATGAAGAAGCTTGCGGATAAAGAAAAGCTTCAAGTCATTCCAATCTTTTACAAGGTGGAGGCACAAGACGTGAGAGAACAAACGGGTGTGTTTGGTGAACACTTTTGGACGCTCGCAAGAGCTTCTAGTGGAGATCAGATCAAGAAATGGAAAGAAGCGTTGGAATGTATCTCCGACAAGATGGGTTTGCCGCTGAAAGACAATAGGTACTTTCCAATCACATTCCACTCTTGCTCTTTTCCTCCAAAATCATTTCAAGGACATTTAATGAAAAAAAGTACACTATTATGACAGCTCTGAAGCTGATTTTGTCAAAGAAATTGTTGAAAAGATTCAAAGAGTTATAGCAGCAATTGGAATCGAGGAAGAAGATAATCATTTTCGGAAAAAGAGGAGAAAGGTTGCACATGCGAATGTGAAATTCAGATGACTCTGATAAGCCCTTCAGAGTATACGTTCGACGTGAGAAGAAGATGGAGAAAGAAGAGAAGAGCTGAAGTGGCTAAAAGGACACGTGGAGGAAGTTGAGAGAAGGAATAGTGTGAACACTTAGAGTATAGTGTGAACACATATAGTATAAATAAAGAGTTATGTTGACTATAGAGATTATGTTGAATTGTGTGTAGAGTGGCGATATGAGCTACAGGAATTCTGTTATGGTCGTTATGAGATCTAACGGATTCTGATACAGGAGAGGAGATATCTTGTATTCTATTCACATTCAATATACTAGCAATTACAGAGATAATCGTAGTCAATTCTATCAGACTCTGTTTTATTTCTCTGATTTAGAGACTTTGTTTTGTCCTTTCCCTGTTTTAAGAGTTTTTAATGAAATTCAGATGACGAAAAAAGTAAATATCAATATAGCATAATCCTTCAATACTATAGTAAATCCCTCGCTGCTATGGCGCGTCATCGAGATTGCCAAGAAGCGAGTGATCAAGCACTCAGTGTTCTTCTTCCAAGCCGTCGAGAGGGCGCGTTGTAATTACATGACTCGTAGAAGGGTCTTATGGTCATTTACCCTCATTTGTGGCTTGTCCTTGGTCTCGAGCATTGTTTATGTGAAGCTTGTGAGATGGTGGACACGATTACAGGAAGAGAAGCTGAGATTTCTGGTTCTTCTGCTCAGAGAGAAAGATCAGGTTTTTCTAAAGCTACTTTTCAGTTTTTGTTTTTGTTTTGATTTTGGAAAAACTGAAAAATTATGATATTGAATTGGGATTTCGCGATATGTAGAAAATAAAAGAACTTATGCTAGAAACTGGGAGATTGAACGAGCTGTTATCATCAAGACGCAGAGTTAGAGTGGTTCGAATCGTGTGACGCATACGAGTATATTTGTATATTAGATATGAAGTGAAGACATTTGCTAGCTATTTTGTTGTGTGATTAGTATACAGACATATCTTTTTTTTCACGTGTATGTAAGAATATAAATGAAAATCAAAGAAAGATAGCTAGATCAGTGAGTGAGACACACTTTATATGTTTGATGTTATATGTTTTTTTGCTATAAAGTTATTATTCTATGTTAGTTTTGAATGATATTGTGGACTGAATGTTGTGCGAAATATTAGAACATTATGTTTTTCTTTTCTTTTTCTGAATGTCAAACGCATAAAAGCTATTGCACTTGAAACAGAGGAGCCAAGATCACAATTTACCGAACAGTCAAGGTAACATCTAAAACAGGATTTAGTGTCATACCCTTTGTTATGTATATCAGTGATCTAGAGACAGAGGTGATGAAGAAGAAGAAAAAAGAGGATATAGGCCATGTAGGTATACATACAAATACAATATGGTATTAATTATCCGCATTACAGCCAACTTCCAGATACGAGGTTTCCTTCGGAATTCGATATAAATATCATTATTTTAATTAATATTACAACAAATTGGGATATTTTTAAAATGGTTACTAAACAGATCTTTAAAAAAAAGCTAAAATGTTTGGATGCAAATAATAAAATGCATTTTTTTAATAGTATAGATTGATGTGTATTTGAAGTATTTTCCACAGTTCAATTGTTCAAATTAGATCTTAAGTTTTCTTCAACTTTCATATTTGTTTTGATTATTTTAAAATAAGTAACGCCACACAATATATTGATAAATGATAATATTCAAGGAAATGAATCTTTGACCAAACCATAATTAGTTTGACTGTACTTCTAGTCAGTTTAGTGATTTACCAATTAGATATTATCTTGTTTGGTATTCTTTTTTAATTTAATTTCGAAATGAAAGAAATTAAGGAAAGAAAATCGTATATGAATGACATAGAAGGTGTTGATACTGAGTATCACACAAAGAATTTAGAGATTTTATAAGTTATAACTGAATTCGATATGAGCTGCCTATGTACCCAAAAGAGGGATCAAGTCATTCATAGTTCATATTACACAGAGAATAAGAAAAAGATGTGTTATAGGTTTTCTGCAGAGTTGTGAATCCCCCCTTGAATGAACGAGGAGCTCTTTATTTATAGAGGTTGAAGTCGGTCGATTTTCCTTTTCCTTCTTAACTTGATAATGCATATTTCTTTATTTCTCGGAGTAGATAAGAATAACTTCCGTTTTTCTCAGGGAATTATATTTTAAGAATATTTCCTTTTTGCAGATAAAATTAGGAAATATTCCGCGAATGTCCGGATATAAAAACCGACATTGTAAATCAGTTAATGGGTCGAATGTCTTTCAGATATGAACCATCGTAAATCGGGATCAATTGGGCCGATCTCGGTTCATACCGGACTAAACCGGAGGTGCGGAGTACACCACCAACAGTAAGCCCCCCCTCAGTCCGGCGAAAGAGTATGTGTAAGAGTTCAGCGGATTTCATGAGTATTTTTAGTCCGGTATGAATTGAGATTGGAGACTTGTGAGGCTGTTAGCTCGGCTTATAAGAGTTTCAACTCAAACTATTGCGAATTGCGATAACTCGGCTTACATTTGTGAGTGTTGTGAACTCGGCTTACGGTGCGAATCTAAGGTGTTCGGCTTAATTTGTGCGAGTTAAATGAACTCGGCCTTGGGGACCCAAGTGAGCTTTCTCGTGCTGGAAGAGTGAAGTTCGATCTCTTGTAAACACACGATACAGACTCAAGGTTTCCTAAGTCCAATCAGAGTGTGCGAGATGGGCTCGGCTTATTGTTCTCGGTGACTTAGGAATATTAATGTGCGGGACTGGCCCCGGCTTAATGATGTGGAGTTTACCACGACACTATGTGGGTGTTAGCGAGACGGATCTCGGCTTTTTAGGTTGCATTGTTGAGAAATGCTATCGAACAACTGGCTAGGAAGTCGATATAATACCGATGAGTTCGGTTGGAACTGCAAACATGTTAGTTCGGCTTGGAGGGACATACCCTGTATTTCTGAGGAGTTCGGTTGACGAGCTTGAAAAAACTTTAGTAGATGAGCGTAGTGTAGCTCGGTAGAAGAGGGTGTGTTGCTGATAAACGGTTTGAAAATTCAAACTAACGGGTTGAAAGTGACAAACTGAAACTCTGAATAAAGGCTGAATCTGATGATCTAAAATTCTGAGCGAAAATCTGAGTGGAAATAAAATTCTGAACCAAGCTGAATTTTTTAACCAAACTCAAATTCTGATTCAAAACTGAAATTCTGAGATTGACGAACGGAAGTTGATGACCTGAAGCTGAAATTCTGAGCCGAACTGAGTCTGAATCAAAAATGAAACTCTGATGAATTTGGCGAACTCAAGTTGACGATAAAACCGAACCAAACTGATTGAATTGAATTGATGAACTGAATTCGACGAACTAAAACAGAGATTTGAATTCGACGAACTTAAAGTCTGAGCCGAGCTGAAATCATAACTTAAAACCGAGCTGACTGAAGCTTTGAATCGAAACTGAAAGGCTGAACTGAAATTCCGGAGAAACCTCAAACTGAAATGAAATCTCAACTTTCTGATATAGAACTTGACGAGCTTGAAGCATATATAAAGAAACTAAGGGACTGAGGCTGATGAAATGTATCAATAGCAAGTGTGAGCACGGAGATCGTCTATGGAGCTTCGGAAAAGCGTCTCTTTTTTTTTTATCTTTTTCTTTTCTTTTGCGAACCGTAGCTCGGTTTTAAGGGACAGACCCTGTGAGAGAATGGAGAATATTATTGAATAAAACAAAGATCTCGATTGATGATACCTGGTTTCGAGGAGTTCGGTTTGACGAACTAATGGAGTTGGGGGAGCTCGGTTTGACGAACTAGTAAATTTGGATACTAGCGGGAACAAGATCGGTAACTTTTCCTTCCTCTTTGTTTTCAATCCCGAGCTTAGTATTTCCATGTTGTGTTGTTGCTTTGAAACATCTGGTTTAGTTTGGTAGGCGAACTAAAACCTTGAATTTGACTCGGTCTAGTTAGTGAAATTGGACACTGAGGAGTGTTTATCTGGGATGGTTTTGACAAGCTGGAGCTTTTGATAATATGTCGTTGCTTTTGTGCTGTTGAAACGTCCTAGCCGGAGCCATTTCTTTTTATAAATCCTATGATGTGTTGATAAAAATTGTGAAGATATCTATCCTCTTAGAGATTTTGGATCATAGTACTTAGTAAAGAAGATGACTTAGCTTTTTGTTGGAGGTGCTTTAATGTTGAGCTCGGTGGAGACGATGTCAATTGCGAGGCTTTATGATTTTCACAGGTCTCACGCAAGGTACAGTACTGTGAAGTTGATGAGATCGACAAGATAATGTCAAAAGCTGAAGTCTTTGACGACGTTCCCGAACTTGAACATAGCCGCTAGAATTGTTCCATTGAAGATATTATTGTTGAGATCGAGCCAGATTAAGCATATGTAGAAGTCCAGCTCAGCTGTAAGGAATCTCCGTTGAGAAGGCATCATGAGGATATCATCCAAAGTGAAGATGGTGTGGGAGATGGATTTGGGAAATCCGAGAGGGAAAGCTGCGCCTGCCTTTCTCGCCATGGTTACTGAAGCAAGGAAGCGGAGAAGGTCGTGGAGATTCTTTGCAAGCGATGGGTAAAAGATGGAGACAACTAAGGTCGGAAAAGTGGCGGTTCGTTGGAAGCTGCAGATTTGGTCGGAGATTCACCGGATTTAAAATGTTGAATTGATCAGAGCTGTGTTTCAGGTTCACCGTTGAGGAAGGATCATGAGGGGATTGTGGAGAATGGTGAGGAATGGGCCAAAGTCTTCACATCATCTTGGGCCATAATATGGGCCTTAACTCTCATGAATTCTTATGGGCCAGAAACCTAATTAAGCCCAATAGAAATGAGATCTGATTTCTCTGCAACACGATTTGGTTTTGGTGCAGGTGCGGCGGTGAGTAGCGGTGGCGAAGTCGGAGCTCCTGGAAGCTCGAGCGGTGGTGGCGACGAATGATTGGTCTCAGTGTGAGGTGCCTCCTAGCCCCTACTCCCTCCTCTTTTTTGTTTTGTTTTTTACAAACGAGCTTGGCTGCTTCCTTGATTCAAGTGGATCGTAATTATCGGTGGATTGGATCTTCTTCTTCCTTTTTTTTTTTGTACTTTCTGCTTTTCTCTCGGCTTTGCCTTTGGTTTGAAACTTCTCGTTCTGTTCACAGAAATTATCTCATGTTGCCATCAATCTTTTTCAGTGTTTGAGGAACTCAAATTGTGTAGGTCGATGCCTTGATGAAGTCATGAGGTTGAGGAGATGTGTTTAGAGCTTGGAGATCGGAGAGCGACGTGATGTGAAGGTCAGGTCGGAGATTGACGTGATGTGGACAGTAATTCACCGTGATTGTGCTTAAATCTCTTTTGCATAGAACCTTGGCATTAGATTTAACTCGGTCGTGAGATTTAAGTTTCATGAACTCCATTAAAGATCCGAGATGGCAGAGAATCAGTAATGGTGGAATATTCATCAGAGTCATCAAATCTTCATTGAAGAAGGAATGAGTTTTGCTTCGTCCTCGTGAAAAAAATTCGTCCCAGATGGTAGTGAGCTGTCTCCTTGCCCCTACTCCTCCTTTCTTTCTTTTTTTTTAAAGAAAGACAAGCCATGCAGATTTGAGAACTCGTCTGTGCAGTGGATAGTAAACACGGAGCTCGGTTTAGACTGAATCAAAGAGTCAGAGAAGCGTAAGTGCTCGGAGCTTGTGTTTGATAAGCTTAGTTGAAGTTTTAGAAAATCGGAGCTCGGAGCCGGGATTCTTCATTAGCGTTTAGCATTGACGGTGGCGTTATGTTCTCGGGCTCTTGAATCTTGAATTAGTCTTCTCTTTGGTTTCTTAGTCGGAAAGTCAGATCGTGTGAGTTGACAAATGAGGAAGGAGTTCGTGTTTCGGGCTGTTTGGAGAAGATGTTGAAGATTGATGAACTGAGATAGAGCTCGTTTATCAAATGCCAAGCTGACGAGCTCAAGCAGAGCCGACGAACTCGAGCAAAGTTCGCAAGAGATGAACTGACTTGTTGACATAATCTGGGTGATAGCTTTGGTAGAGATTTGAAATCTGGCTTTGAATCTTTTATGGTCGAAGCCCTTGTGAACGATCTTCTTCCTTTTGTTAGAGAAGTAGTTGTTAAGGACTTCTTTGTGAATTGTGAACGACCTCTTCCACTAGATTTTTGTATCTCTTCTTCTTCATTGCATTGGAAACCTTGTGATATTTCAGCAAAGGACTCCATAGAACGCTGTATGAGGTCGTCGGATTCACAGTTTATTAAGAGCTTGGAATTGAAGATCTAGAGTAGCAGAGCTCTCGTTGGTTTGGCGAAATTTTGGAAGACATGGCGGAGTAGTCTACACCGGTCTCTCGAATTCTAAAAAGTTGAAAAAAACATGTTTCTCCTGTCCATGGAAGAAAAGACTGGTAAAGAGACCATATAATTTGATATGGTTCAACATTAAATTAAACCAGTTGGTTTATTGTAAACCAATAATATACCAAAACCCTAAGTAAATAATTAAACATGAAACTTAGCTTTTGTGATGAAGACGTTCTCGGTGGTATTGTCGAAGACCCATGGTTGTGATTGGAGAATGGAAACATCGATTATGTAGGTTGATTTCGACTTTTGTGAAGTCCTCTACTTTTTGTTGTCATAGTGTCTGCTAAGCCTGCTATATTGTACGGCTATGAAAAACCCAAAGGCTCCTTATTCCCTTGTTTCTTCTTTATGGAGTAAAGCTAAACATCATGTCTTGTATTTTGAATGGAGAACATCTTGAAGAGGACGACATGATTTTGACGAGATTATAAGTCGGAGATACTGCCAACGTTTTTTTTTGTTTAGAATCTTCGATCCCCTACCTGGCGTGCCAATTGTTGATACCGAGTATCACACAAGATTAGAAATTTTATTAAAGTTATAGCTGAACTCGATATGAGCTGCCTACGTACCCAAAAGAGGGATCAAGCCATTCGTAGTTCATATTACAGAGAGAATAAGAAAAAGATGTGTTCTAGGTTTTCTGCAGAATTGTGAATCCCCCCCTTGAATGAACGAGGAGCTCTTTATTTATAGAGGTTGAAGTCGGTCGATTTTCCTTTTTCTTCTTGACTTGATAATGCATACTTCCTTATTTCTCGGAGTAGATAAGAATAACTTCCATTTTTCTCAGGAAATTATATTTTAAGAATATTTCCTTTTTGCAGATAAGATTAAGAAATATTCCGCGAATGTCCGGATATAAAAACCGACATTGTAAATCAGTTAATGGGTCAAATGTCTTTCAGATATGAATCATCGTAAATCGGGATCAATTGAGCCGATCTCGGTTCATACCGGACTAAACCGGGGGTGCGGAGTACACCACCAACAAAAGGTAAAGGAAATTCCATTAAATGCAATGTGTTTTTATAGAGCTCGTTACCTAATAAGCAATGAGAAAAGTAGAAAACAATGGAATATTTTCAAAGACCACAATAAATGTTGAAACAGTCAAACAACTATATAAGCATTATATTAAAAACTCAAAAACAATATTCAAAAAAATTTAAGTCAATTTCTCCTACTAATTTAAAAACAATGGCATCAAGAGCAACATCCGTTTTCCTCCTCTCCTTTACGCTATCTTGTGAGTTTTTTTTCGTCTTTATAACTCTATTTGCGTAAATCTGAAAACTAAACTAACTACAAAACATCTTTCCATATGGTTATGAAATCTTATCACTGATAAACATGTAGGTGCAGTCATGTTGCTTGTAGCGAATGTATCAAATGCAGAGAGACCTCTCAATTTGCCACCATTATGCGGATCGAAAAGTGATTGCGAATTCATATGGTGTCCTCATGGAAAAGGAGGAAAAGGAGAGTGTATAGGGTGGCCGTGTGACACAACGGAATATTGTATGAAGGTTGTTCGTTGCGATGCAACACCAGGGCCTTATTGTATGGAAGGAATATGCACTTGTTAAACAGAAACGCATGGTTTGTATGAAACTAATAATGCATTAATGGAATTAGATAATTTTTTGGGTAATTCTGTTTTCTGGAACAATTTAGTCGAGGTATAAAAACAAGAACATCAAAAATCTTGTTGCAAGAGGTTCAAATTCATGAACACAGAACACTTGAGTTTTATGATCAAGTCGGTGCCATGCTTAATATTATACTAGTTAGGATGCTAGTACAATTTGTTTAAAAGGTTTGATATTTTGGGAAATTAAATCACGAGGATGGATGAACGTAACGATATACGACTGTCTTGCAAAACAGGCAAAAATAATGATATATGTGTTATATGATTGCTAGTGTCTAAGCTGATGTGTTAAATGTGTTTATAATGTTTTGATGGGTAGAGATAATCTTCTCATCGAGCAAAGTCATTACTCACCCTTTTTTTTGCCGTTTTCTTCACGTTCGGATGGAGAGATCTCGAGTAGCTGCTCAAATTTGTCTTGCTCCTTGGTTTTACTTCCTTATTATGCAAAGAACAATTTTTTTCCTTAAATCTTATTTAGTGGGCTGGTTTTATGAGAGATTTCGTATGATGTTTTAAGATTTGGTTGTTTTTTTTTATTTATGAAAAGACATTTTTTAAATAAGAATGTCTTTTCCAAAAATTGATAGTTTACGGAAAAGAAAATCAATGTGGATTAAGATTATGTTGGGAGATGCGTGTTATACACTGGTGTACATGGGATGATTAATATTTCGTTCCACGGAAGACTTTTCAATACAATTAAAAAAAAAAATTGGATGTGCTTTTACTGTCAAACCTCTGTAACGTGAATGGAATCAGAAATTTAGAATTTATATACTATCCTTTATCAGCATTCCCAACATTTCCACTTACATTTTCACCGATTCACTCAAAAACAGTTTCGAAGGTTCATGCATGTTAATTACCTCTCTCCCCGAAGATAACACATCAAGTGTTCTTGAACTACCGAGGAGACCAACTGCGTTACAACTTCGTAAGCCACCTCATTGATGCCTTCGAGAGACACGGGATCAGCATCTTCGTAGACAAATACGAGATGAGGGGTAAAGACCTCAAAAATCTCTTTGTTAGGCTTAAGGAGTCTAGGATCGCACTGGCCATCTTCTCTACCAGGTTTGCATTATTGTATAATAGTGTTCTTTCACGCTTTTGATGAACTATAAGATTCAAGAATCGTAATCAATCTCGTCTTATAGGTATGCGGAGTCGAGCTGGTGTATGGATGAGTTAGTGAAGATGAAGAAATTTGCGGATAAAGAAAAGCTGCAAGTCATTCCAATCTTTTACAAGGTGAGAGCAAGAGACGTGAGAAGACAGACGGGTGAGTTTGGTGACAACTTCTGGAAGCTCGCGAGAGCTTCTAGTGGAGATGAGATCAAGAATTGGAAGGAAGACAAGATGGGTTTGTCGCTCAAAGACATGAGGTACTTACTTCTTAATCACATTCCTTGTTATTCTTTTCCTTCAAACTTCTGATGGATGTTTTATGAATTATATACTTTTTTATATATGACAGCTCTGAAGCCGATTTTGTCAAGGAAATTGCTAAGGAGGTTATGAGAGTTATAACAGCAATTGGACTCGAGGAAGAAGAAAAACATCTAGGGGGAAAAAAGAGAAAGGATTGCAATCGCCTATGTCAGCTTCCTGATTACAAGAGGGCCAAAACCCAAAAAGTTGTGACGCAAATTAATTTTTCCGTATTTTGAATTGTAATATTTCACTTTTTTTTTTCCTAAACGTGGTTTTGTTTATAAAGGTACTTTTGTTGTTGGTTTTTTTTTTTCTTCTTATCGATCTTGCTAATGAATATTTTCGACGAAATTAGATCTATTGTGAGATTGATCCTGAAAATCCACAAAGAATCTCCCACTTTACAAATGTTTATCAAATGTTTACCTTAGTTCACCATTCTCCTATATCAATATATTTCTCGGATACATATCCACTAACCACACACATATGTATTTGACAACAAATCAAAATTTTTGCTAAAATGGCGTGTGAAATGGTTTGTACCAAATTTCATATTTTTTTTTCCTTTTAAACGGACGATATCCAACTTCAGCTCCAACGGCAATCAAGATTCAAGAAGATGACAAATCTTTAGAGCCTATGTCTGTATATGAGGCTACTTCCCTTTTTGGACACTATATTTGGTTTAGAGGTGTCTTTGTATCTCAGTACATGTATTATTTTTTTCTAACTGTTTGTCAATCGACTTAGGTCATCTGTTTTTTTAATTAATTCAATTTTAGTCATATAGTATGATGCATCGATAAAGACTTTGCCGCATAAAGATTTTCACCATCAAGCATCCTTCATCACCCGCACATTTTTATAGTATTTTAAATTTTGACGGCATACTAGCATTTGATTTTTTTAATTAATCAAAAAGAGGGATGATGGCGCAAAGATGCTTACATCACTCTTATACACCACATCCTTTTATAACTTTCCAAATTCCCCTCGAATGTTAAAAAAAACAAAAAGCATTCCACCCTTCTTCATTTAAGTATCATAATAGTAAAGAACAGCTCTAATTTATCCTCTAATAGCATTGCAATTTTGCAACATTATCTTTTCCTTCTCACGGTTCCACCCTTCTTAGTTTAATAAATTTGATATCATAATAGTAATTAAGAAGTACAATTTCATAAAACATATAGGTTCTATATTTTTTTTTTGCTAAACTGTAAATATCATATACATGAAAATTGAGTTTTACAAGAGCAAAGCCCAATATTTGCAACCATGGCAAAAATAAAACAAAAAACATGGAGGCAATAGAAATACAGACCAGATAAAAAGAACCAAATTACCGAGTGCTAACAATTAACAAAGCCAGCACTCCATCAGATCTTTGAATTGCTTGCGAAGCCTTCTAGCAGATATTGTATTTCGAATCTGCTTATCCATTTCGAAGAAAATTTGGGAGGCGGTTGAAGATTGGAGGGTGAAGTGCCTGTTATTCCTCTCCCTCCAGATGCTGTATATCAGAACGTGAGTAACTAGCTTCCTCAAAGTAGAGGGAGCCGAGGCAGATCTTCGTTTCATCCAAGACGAGAGGGAAGACCAAGATGGAAACGTACGAGGCGGGATACCGAGTCTGCTAAATGCCGCAAGCCATAGGGATGAAGCAAAATCACAACCCAGAAACAGATGATCCCTGCTTTCTTCGAGATTGTTACAAAGGCAACATGTGGTAGAGATTAGCATTCCCCAGGTCAGAAGTCTGTTTTTTGTGGGTAGTCTATCAAGCTGAGCCGTCCACATCGTGAACGCAAGTTTTGGAGTGGCACCCTTGAACCATACCGTTTTATGCCAGTCCTTAACATCTGATTTCGGTCTGATCACTTCCCAAGTTCTTTTTGTGGAGAACCCTCTGCAATTTACGCCATCAACAACCCAGAAGAATTCATCAGCATCGGAGGATAGACTTGGAAGCGGAACCGATGTGAGATGAATGTGAAGAGAGAGCGCTTCTTCTGATCTTGGAGAGGCAATCTTCCAGCCACTTTGATCGCAGGCATCCCTCACAAAAGCATTAATGGGAACTCGATACTTCCTCGGGCCATCTGGACCCAACCAAGTGATCAGAGGACCCATTGGAGTCCAGCTATCGAACCAGAATCTTGCAGTCAAACCATTGCCTACCTTGCATTTAATAAAATTCTGGGCCAAAGATCGAAGCTTTAGAAGCGATTTCCAATTCCAGGAGTCATTTGAGCGCACCTGCAAATCCCAGAAACTAGCATTTCTTAGATGATGGACCTTGTGCCATGCCACCCACAAGGAGCCACTCTTAGAAAACAGCAGCCAGATAAGTCTCAAGCAAAGATTGGTGTTCCAGAAAGAGAAACGCCGAAGGCCAAGACCACCCTCATTCTTCGGGAGACAAACATTTGACCAGCTAACCTTTGCAAAACAGTGCCCCTCCGTACCCCCAGACCACAGGAAGCGAGTGCAAAGAGAATCAATCTGCCTGATGCATCTTTTAGGCAGAATAAAAGCCGAGACCCAAAAGTTAACCGTACCAGCTATCACAGATGATATGAGCTGGAGTCTTCCCGCAAAGGATAGCATCTTGACCGACCATGAGTTGAATCTCCTCGCTAATTTATCAATCAACGGAGCATACTCAGAGATTTTCAGCTTGCGATACATTAAGGGCAAACCTAAGTACCGGATGGGAAAAGAACCGGAGGTGAAGCCATATCTTGCAATAGAAGTGGATTCATCAAGGTTCAAGCCCGCATGGAACAGCTCTGTTTTACTCTGGTTCATATGAAGGCCCGACCAAGTGGCAAAATCCTCCAGCGTTTCGCTGATACCATGAAGAGAGGAGGAGGACCCATCGAAGAATATCATTACGTCGTCTGCGAACATTAGGTGCGAGATGTTCAGCTGTGAAGTGTTAGGGTGGAAGGCGATATACCCTGACGCATACCGCGAGTGAAGCAGGCGAGAAAAGACTTCCATCACAAGAACGAAGAGGTAAGGGGAGAGCGGGTCCCCTTGTCTTAGTCCTCTCGTACTCTTAAAAAATCCACTCGAACATCCATTAACCGAGATAGAAAACGATGGGGTTGATATGCATTGGCTGATCCACATAACAAATTTCTCTGGGATGTTCAGACCCCGAAGTGTAGCAAGCACAAAATCCCACCTTACCGAGTCGAAAGCTTTCCGCAAGTCAACCTTCAGCATAGCACGAGAATCGATATTCTTACGGTTATATCCGTTCACAATTTCAGTTGCCAGTAGAACATTTTCCACCAGTAAGCGACCAGGCATGAAAGCAGTTTGTGAGTGACCAATAACAGAATGAAGAACAGAGATGAGTCTCGAACTGAGAAGCTTTGATATCACTTTGTAAAGCGTATTGAGACACGAGATAGGTCTAAAATCAGAGGTGCAAGAGGCATTACTAATTTTAGGAATGAGAACCAGGGTTGTGGCATTCCATTGTCTCAAAAGGCAACCAGATTTGAAAAATTCATCCACTGCAGCAACCACTTCAGAACCCACAATGGACCAACAGGCGGTGAAAAACTCTGAGGAATACACGTCGGGACCACTCGTTTTATTTCTAGGCAGTGAAAAGAAAGCGTCTTTGATATCTGATTCAGAGAAACTTCCTTCAAGCATGTCTCTTTGCTCCTGCGAGCAAGAAAACCCCAATAGAGCTGTGATATCCTCTTGGATAAACATACAAGGCGAAATTGCACTCCCCAGGAGGTCAGAGAAGTAGCTCACGCAGTGATCTTGAATATCCTCTTGCGACTCAAAGCGAGAACCATCGTTACCAATCAGGTAATGAATGGAGTTTCCTGCTTGCCTTGACGCCATGATTTTGTGAAAATAAGTCGAGTTAAGTCTCCCTCGCGAAGCCAAGAGATCCTAGCTCTCTGACGAAGAAATTCCTCTTCAGCCTTTGCGAGAATAATCCATCTTCTTTGAGCCTCTAGCTCAAGCTCAGCATGATGAGAGGAGGGATCGAGGAGCGTTTGCCTTTGATGAGAGGCCAGAATCTCCAGCGCTTCCGCACTTCTCTTCTCAAGGTCAGAGTAGTTTTCTTTACTAAAGCTTCTTATTTTTGACTTCAGATCCTTTAGTTTGCGAGAAACTCTGTACATCTCTGAACCAGTATAGTTGGAGGAAAACCAGCTGAGGCCCACCACATTGTAGAACTCAGGATTCTGTAACAGAAAGTTATAGAACCTAAAAGGTCGTTTCTGTTTAACAGAGCCTTGATTCAGAACCACCCCAATAGAAGCATGATCAGAGAACGCAGGCTCTCCAAATAAACCAAGAGAAGAGGGGAAAAAGCTCTGCCACAGGTCATTTACCAATATTCTGTCAAGTTTTTTTGCAATAGGAGCAGCTTTTCTCTTGTTCCACCAAGTAAACGTGGGACCTCTGAAACTCAAATCCGAAAGAGATGCCTCAATTAAGCAATCTCTAAAATCTCTGGTTCTCCTGTCAATATTTTGCGTAGGCGCCGCAGAGTGCTCAGAGGGAATGATGACCTGATTAAAATCTCCAATAACTGACCAAGCCTTGCCCACGATACTCGGATGACAAGAGATGGAGACAATCTCCTCCCACAACAACGTCCTTACTGCATCATCAGTAGAAGCATATACAAAAGAGACAGCAAAAGCGTACTGGAAATCCGGGAACTTTACCTTGCAAGTCACCATTTGAAGGGATTTGGAGATGATGTTGACCTGAACACTGGGGTGCCATAAGATCCAAATCTTCCCCAGCTCCGAAAAAGAGTAATTATCCTCAAAAAACCAGCCCGGAAGAATAGCATTGATGAACTTCCCTTGCTTGGGCTGCTTTACGTGAGTCTCAAAGAGACCACCAAAAATAGGTCGATGCTGCTTGAACCATTTCTTAAAACCTGTACGGTGACCAGTCTTATTGAAACCTCGTACATTCCAGCCAAAAAGATCTATACACATACTAATTTAGTTTTTTTGGGGCTCTTGCCCCGAGAAATCTTCTGCTGTTTTTTGGACAGCACTTCAGTAAACCCTGCTTCATAATCATCCTGAGCAGCACTATCCTCAGAGTTCGACGAGTTAACATCAGATGAATCAGGTTCCTCGTCGGAGATGTGATCCACAGAGATTGGAGGGGTTATTTTGGTCTCCTTTGAAGACAGAGTGGCTGGGGACTTGACACTAGATTCACCAGT